TGTGTCTGTAACCTTATAGTTTCGTACAAAGTCAAACTAAAGTAAAATCTGTTTAAACCAAATACTAACAGTATCTTCTGTCCAATTTAGAGATTTCCTTCTTTTGCTGTAGCATTTCCACCAGAAGACTTCAAATATTTGAAACGTTAGATATGCAGATTGGTTATATACGAGTATAATATAATAAAGTAAATTGTAATAGAATGTTGATTTATACGACGCATTTATGACATTCTATCACAAAATATTAGTAATATCTTTAACGACAAGTGGTTTATGGTAAATCAATAATGTTTGCATGTAATTTTATCTCACCATTTTTTTCTCACTATTTTCAATGGAAACACATATTATACTAAACATTGTCATTGATTCACGGTGATAATTGTATGAAAAATATGTGTGAATAAAGAATATCTGCCCACGATATCATAAATTTCACCCTACAAACTGGAACCAGAAATGCGTCATAGATGCTTAAAAAGGCTTAACATAATTGCATCAGTTATTTTTTCATATCATATTGTTAACAGTAATATTGTTCTCCCATAATAAAGACATTTGATTATCATATATGACTTGATGACAGAATAAGAGGCGTAACCTTGTGGCTTCAGATACAATCCGTCATGGATGAATGTTTTTATTGAAATCATGTGCAGTAAGCGTTCAAACTATTAAGAGGATATTTTTTCGTTTGAGTGAAATATGGAATATATTTTCATGAAATGTGATAAAATGCCATATATTTACACGAGCCGGGACGGCGAGTGAAAATATGTGGCGTCTTATCATGTTGAGTTGAAGCATTTTGAAATAAAATAATTGATCAGATTCATTTGTTTTTTACGTTAGCTGTCGATGATAAGTTATAAGTTAATAGAAATTTCACCTATGAAAGAAACCTTGGTATCCTATAAATGAATGTCACAGAATATGTAGCATTGACCTTTACCTTGGCCTAAATATTTTTCTTAAAACACCACGAAGACATTTCTTTTTATATTTTATGGACTATTATCTTTTTTCAGAAACAGGAGACTTCGTCTTTTATATGAAAACATATTTAGGTGGCATTTGATGTATGATAAGAGCCAAAAAGATCTTTAGAAATGAAGAAGGTGCGTTTTTGTGTCTGCAGTAAAGCAAATACAAATTATTTCTATATTCACGAATGTTACTGTATTATGTTTAATCTGTACTAAATAAAATGGTAATAATTCTGTTCGACAGATATGTAGAAGAAGAACATACACAACTGGGTCTATATTCTATTTTTCATATTTTCAATTAAATTAAATATAAATACAAGTTTTAGGGGGCTACAATCATATTTAGATTAGAGTGAAAGTATGAACACAATTAAGATTCTGTAACGTAGAACATCATTGTGTTGTCTTGTTATAAGCTGCTTTTCCATAATGTATTGTTGTAAGTTGTTTTTCTGTATTGTCTTGTTGTAAGTTGTTTTTCTGTATTGTATTTTTGTAAGTTATTTTTCTGTATTGTTGTAAGTTGTTTTTCTGTATTGTATTGTTGCAAGTTGTTTTTCTGTATTGTATTGTTGCAAGTTGTTTTTCTGTATTGTACTGTTGTATGTTGTTTTGGTTTATTGTATGGTTGTATGTTGTTTTTGTATCGCATTGTTTTATGTTGTTTGTCATTTTTGTTTTTCTTTATGTTGTTGTTCTGTTTTGTATTGTTTCATGTTGATTTTCTGTACCGTACTGTTGTATGCTGGGTTTTTTATGTATTTTTTTGTTGAATGCTGTTTTTCGTGTTGTCGAAGAATTACAAACAGTAATAATTTTAGTATTCTTTTATCTAATTTTTTGAATTGCAAAATTCAAGTTAACATTGATCGAATATGATAAGATAGTATGATTCAACGATTTTAGTACGTAGATTTTGCTTATCTATACTGAATGTTTTATAGCATACACAGATTGCCTTATTTCGCAATTTATGAATGGTAAACAATGAAATTCAAGAAGAGATTGAACCACGTGATCTTTCATTATACAGTCTAATTGGATTTAATCAAATAAGTCTCTTTTCTAAACATCCATATAAAATCATTATTGTGTATGAAGGAAGAAAATCCTGTCCAAAAGATCTCAGTAATGCACTCAACAATTTATGATAGCCAAATAATACTGCCCTCGATCCAATTATCCCATGAAAATGTCTTAGCAATAACTGAAAAGCTAGCAAGTTACAACTGACATGATGATGGTACTCGCCAATAAACAGAAAGACGGCCAACCACAATAATAAGTAGAGTGACTTATGCGAGAGAGTTAGTTGTAATAATAAATGTCCTACTTAACAATAAGGTTGCGTTAAAGACATATTAATACATTAAATATGTCATATCATTAAGGGGACAAGCCGTTCTGTCCTTGAAAATATAAGGGTCATGTGTAGGAATTGACCTTTTTGTTTTTACACTTGAGTTCATTTAAACTATGTTACGACCACGCTATGCTTAGCATTCTATAAATGAAATGTCAAACAATGATTGCCATTAATTCCATATGTTGGAACCAGGAGTTACATTACCAAAAAGTGGTTGTTTTCTGATATTATACCATAATTACAATATATCGTGTAATGAGACTAATGTTTTATTTTTCAAAAGTTTCATATGTCCATGGATGTAGTAATCAAGCGTAATTTAACAATTCTATTGTCAAGTTGTGTTTAATTATTGAAAGTTGCGATACAGATAAAGCATTGATGATCAAGGAATAATATCATTTATGGTAAACCAATCATATAATTTATTTACTCCGAGAGTGTGCAGCTTCGTTCACATTCAAGATGACATTTATTCTATGATAATAACTAGATCATATTCGCAACAAATAATTGGCATATGTTAGCCGAGAACAACAATTTGCATGAAAGAAACAACTTGTCTAATATCGCAAATTTCGAAAAAAAGGTTTAAATAGTAAAAAATAAGAAGTCAACTGCAAATTCTATTATTCCCTTTAATATACCAATGTTTCGGCTGAAAAAAGTTTTAAATTCTGTATTATTATAAAGATCTTTCTTTCTATTTCACCATAGATAATTCTTTCATATTCTTTTTTAATTTCAATTAGGCTAACTTTTTCATCAATTTAATAAAATTCACAGAGAAGAGAAGACTATGTACGATGTTTCTGTCTTTTAACTTGGATAAATACAAGTTTTATACTAATGAGACCTATTTACATGTATATACATGTAGTTAATAATGTTCCAGGAAGCCTGGAGACTAATTACTCCAGAACCTTTTATAACTACAGTTAGTTGGACAGATTACAATAACAAACTGGAACGAATTATAATGATGTACATATGTTTTGTGTACGTTTCCGGTCGTATCAAGAGGTAAGAATTACCACAAAAGACCTATTTAATATCGTAGTTATGTAACAATGTTGAGCTAACAGAAGAGACAATGTACGAATAAATACAAAATCAAAATTGTCCGATTTATATCTTTGTAAATTTCATCTGTGGTATACACGTAACTGTTGGCTGTTACCAAATGGCAATACAAGCCCAGCTGTCCTATTCAGCCAACATTTCGGAATAAATGCATGTTTGTCAATCTCTTGAATAGTTAAATACTCTTCACAAGAAAGTGCAAAAAGGAGATAATTTAAAGAATGGTACCATTAGGTTATGGTTCTTTCACTCTGCACTTTACCAAGTCACTATTTATCTATACTGGCAACAGTAATAAACATTGTATTTATAAGGCTGGTAACAAGGAATACATTTTTGAAGTAAATTATTTTAGAAATTATAGCATAAAATCGGCTATTTTTCCCTCTTTTGCCCATGTTATAACGGGACCAAAACCATGTGTTAACATAGTCACGCGCTCTTGTTATAGCCCGGTTTCACCTATGCGCAATACATACAGGGCCCAGTAAACAAACAAACAAAAAATGACGATTTGGCCTGTTTGCCGAAGAGTCATGCGCTCTTGTTATATTGAAATTTATTGATTCGAGGGCCTCAGTCGCATATTCAAGTAATTATGCCGGAAAAACGGCGTATAGACATCGGTGCTAATCTTGGTTGTCGCCCTTTCTAAGAAACGGACAGTTGTCAATGTAAACAAATACAGTAGAGTCTACCTGTTATTCAGTTCTCCGATTAACTTACAAAACTAGATAACACAAAATTAATATGAGAAAATGTTTTTTATTTATGTTTATGTTGATAAATGCTCTTTATATTTCTTTGAGAGAATAATGCTAAGTGCCTGATGTCACTGATTTTTTCTACCGTCAATCTGAAATCATTCTAAGAATTTCTGAGGGTCATGTTTTGTCTTTGGTAGAGGGTAGCATAATGTAACGTTTTTTTCTTGAGATAATAAATCTCCAAAGGCCAAGCTTTGTTAAATCAATTAAAATTCAAAATTTCGTTCGGTTCCGAGAATTTCCAAGTTGTTGGCCCCGGAAAAATGAAACGCATACGTAAAACATAGAATTGGAAGCACAAGAATTTAATGTAATTGTGTTTTGTATAAACTATACATCACGAATCTGTTTGAAAATATTATGCTATAATAGCGTCAACGCACGTTTATTTCGTGTTATAAAGTCTGCAGAGTCCCTCGAAACTGTTGGAGCCCTCGCCCTACCGGGCTCGGGCACCAACCGTTCCTCGGGACTCTGCAGACGTTATAACACGGAAAAACGTGCGTTAACCCTATATAAGAAAGTTGAAATAAAAAAAATGTTCATGAACATTCCAAGATTTAAGGGAAAATAATTCCAAAAATATTGGCGAAAGAGGTATGTGCATTGTCTTATATGATATGGATGATGATAGTAAAGATATATTTTATCTTTACTAAGAGCAAAACGTATTTTTCTCCATACCGACAAAGGGCAGAAAACTCTAAATTTACTTTGTATGATCCAGGTAAAAAAAATACAACCACTTCACAACAAGCAGTCTGGAAATTGAAAATAACTAAAACAATTAGACATATTTAAAATATTTTATTGCACTTAAAGGCGAGTAATGTCTTTCAAATAATAAGTTATTCACCTCCATGAATATTGTTTAATGACAAACTAGCAAAAACAGTATTAGTGTGAAGATGTCATTTACAATATAAATTGAAAAGTTGTTCAACAATATATCAATTATTCAAGGTATTCAACTATGTTTTAGACATTTTTTTGTAAAATCAGTTTTTGGGTACATAAACATATATAAATGTTCACATATTACAGGACCTGATATTTTTATATAGTAAAACATGTACATGTATTACATATTCATCGTTTCTCAGTTCATTTAAACGGTGATCAGAGATTTATAAAGATATATAAGTTTTTCTCCTGTATAATGCTTTACTAAAGATAGTATATAAGAAAAATTAACATGATACATGGTTTTACGGCTGTAAGAAACTCTTTTTAACTACTTTATCCGTCATGAAGAGAGGCATATCTATGTTATAAATTTTGCCCTGTATATTGCATCCTCTAGAAAGAGAATAAATCAGTTTTTTTTCTGAACACAATAATTCTTAGATCGTACAATATATTGTATATGATACAAGGAAACACTGTAATAATTATTTATAAGACAGAATTATGACATTTTCCCACAAGTTTTTTCAGACTATAAAAACCGTATATCATTGTTGTTTGCAAATTACTACAATTTTTTTTATCTCCTTCCATAAGCCTCACTGATGTGAGTATCATGCATTCAGTCAAAATAATGCAATTCAAATGAAATCACAACAGGTCTAAAAATATGTCAATATATATGACAAAAATATTAAACAAGAATTTTATGTCAATTAATACAAACTAAACACTTCCCACATTTTACCAGGATATTTGCGTATGAAAATTATGTCTCTAATGCTAACTATATCCCATATTTAAAAGTAAATAACAAAAAATTAAAATATCTGAAATGCGTATCTTAAAAAAAACCTATGGAAAAAAAACTTGAGAAAGTGGTAACATTAAAAGACCCAAATGGGCAGGAGAAAGAATGTATCCACTTAGAAAATTTATCCACAGCAAAAGCACTGTACCTTCCTTACAAGAGATTAACAACCAGTATGATCTTGAATTATTGTTTACAAAACTTAACAAATTTAATGGCAAATAATTAAATAAGTATATATATGTATGTATATGCTGAAGTAAGGTTTTCTGCTGAAGTAGATTTTCTAACTGTAATAACATCTGTACACCTTGAAATCACACACATTGTTGTTTACCAATGTAGTCATGAAGCCTACATGTACTTCCTGCTTAACAGTAAGCTGGTGAGTATAGGTAAATAAATTCTTGTCTGGTAATTAAACAAAATTTGACTAAGCTTTTTATATGAAAATAGTATTGCTACCAAATTGTCTTGCATGTGCTCCTTTAGTCAACTTACAACCATACAACAATATTTCCAAATGCATTATCTATTGATTTGTAAAGTCAAGTATTTATTTGAGGTGAGATTTTTTGTATTTTACACGGTAGATCATCATCACTATCAGACTGCTCATCATCTTCACCACTTGACTGTGTTGCTTGCACTTGTTCTACATGCATTTTGACTGGACTTGCATATTCAAAAATCTTTGTCTGAAAAGAACAAAAAAAATGGCAAACTACATAATAAATGAGCCGGGTCACAACAAAACCAACATAATGTGTTTGCGACCAGCATGGATCCAGACCAGCCTGCGCATCCGCGCAGTCTGATCAGGATCCATGCTGTTCGCTTACCAACCCTATTACAAGTAGAGTAACTGAGAGCGAACAGCATGGTCGCACACGCACTATGTTGGTTTTGTCGTGACGCGGCTCATATGACTATTACCATCTACTGGAAAGGGTTTTATGACCTTATAAAGTTACAACATTCACTCTTTTTTTTTATAAATGTCAACCTACTTTTCTACAAAATGTTCATTGGTCTTTTGAAATATTAATACAGAAACAAGAGATCCCAGATCATTCACCTGAGATCAAATGCTATAAATTGTCACCAACTGTTTAATACAGAAGTAAGTAATATGATCACATTGGTTTTTCATGTTTGATCTCAGCTGTATGATTTTTTAAAATGTTTCATGATTACTATATCAGTTCTGAACAGTGTATTTTTTTACACACGAATACTCCTACACAAGTCTATGTTAACAAAGTGACCCCCAGGGAAATTTAAAGCCGTTTTTGATCATTGAACCATGATTTATATATATTTTATATTATACTAATAATGTTTGTATAATATCTGAAAATGTAGATTTTTGTAAAAAAAATTCAATGTGAAAGGTCAAAAGCAAAAGTTTCTTCATCAATATCTGCCATATCAATATTTTACCTGTTTTCCTTTCATTGTTTGTATATCTAAAGCCCATTTACTGGTCATTCTCACAATCATATCCTTTACCTGTAAATATATAAAACATATATGTAGTTTTCTTAGTGTATTATTTCTATTCCTGTATTTTGTGTAATGTGTTTTTTTAGGTAAACATGAGTATTGGTAGGAATACATCTTCCAGTACTACGACTAACAAACCACCACCCAAAACACAGTCTATAACTGTTGTCATGGTTAAATGGTGAATTCTGCTTAAGCCAGTGGCTGTTAGGGGGCGTGGACTGTGACTTGTATTTTCCAGCAGGCTCAATTAAACCGAGCCTAGAACATTTTCAAAATTGTTGTTTTGGACGTTCCTTGGGGATTCTGTTTTTGTCTATTTTATTTTTGGTCATGTAATAATAGCAAATAATAATATCAAAATATGCTTGAAAATTTCAAAAATATGAAGCTACTGTACATGTATATTTATTACATATAGTCACTGTACAGCAACTGCTGAGCAACAGTGCCCAACATTTAATATCCCCTCCATACCTTCTTATATCTATAATCAATGTGTTTCTCACATAAAAAGGGCTAGGATCATGAGGATAGTGGGTGTGTGTTAGAAGTCAGGCACCTATGATTTAGAGGACCAAGATTTTGGTTGTTGCAGAGAGGTATTTCTCTAGAGGGGTTAAATATTTTGTGAAATCTTGAGATAAATCAGTACTGTTGTTGTAATAAAGTAATTGTTCTATAGAGATCTGTTCTGCACAAGTTTCACTGTATAACATATTTTCTAGGAAAAAGTAATCAGATTATTGAGAACAGATGTATTTCTATATGTTTCCTTGACAGCTAACTGAACACACTACTGTTACTTTAAACAGTAAATGGTAGTGGAACATTCAACTGATATGCAGAAGATTATTAGTACATGTACTTACTTGTGTAAAGGTTGGATGAAGTCTTAATGCAATTTTAGAATATAAGATGAGACTTGCTTTTGGAATAATCACTAAGCGAGACAAAAATTAAAAGACTGTGTTTTGAATGGTGGTTAGTGGTATTGGAAAGTATATAAATAAGAATCACTGAATGAAAAAACATCATTAATATTGCCCTTCTTCAATGTCATTATAACATAAATGACCTTGAAAATAAAAAACCATTTTAACCAGGCAAAATAATTTCACATTCTCAGTAAATAAACTTTGAGGCAAAACATTAAGTAGTACAATAACATATTAAGAATTGCAGAAATGGTAATAGATAATCTAGTTTGCTTCCAAATTGAAATGTTACAGTTTTTCATTTCAAGTAAGTAATAGACAACAATAGTGTATCTGTTAAAGAAATATGAGCTGCGCCACGACAAAACCAACATTATGGGTTTGCGACCAGCATGGATCCAGACCAGCCTGCGCAGTCTTATCAGGATCTATGCTGTTTGCTATCAGTTTCCCTACTTGTAATAGGGTTGATAAGCGAACAGCATGGATCCTGATCAGACTGCGCAGAAGCGCAGGTTGGTCTGGATCCATGCTGGTTGCAAACCCATTATGTTGGTTTAGTCAGGACGTGGCTCATATATCTATACATCAAAATATGTGTCAACAATTCAATAACAATTATAATACAGATGTAAGATATTCAGACAATAAATAATATCATATAACAAATTTTCTACAGTATCTTACAAAAACCTTTTTCAGTATCATCATTTTGTAAATACAATAATTACATTTTTACTTATTTATTACTGTGTCCTTATTTACCTTTATAACAAAAGGCAAGGATGGCCTTACATCACTTCACACAATCAATGCTGCTAAGGCTGTCAAATATTTCTCTATTTTAGTACTGCTTAATCTTAACAGAGTCCAAAGTCAAATTTGTCTTTACATTCCAAAGTAAGGTAATGTGATCTAGATTTTGAAATTTCGTTACCAAGTAGCAAACTGATTTAAAACCAACAATAAAAAAATGACAAGAGGGCAATGATGGCCATGAGTCGCTCACCAGAAACAACTGCTTTTCAGGGTTGGAAATTATCCATTGCCAATATTTTCTGATATTTAATTTGAGCATAGAATATGTTTAAACAATTATTTGAAGAAATGCCATGACCTGTGGCATTTAGGCTTTAGCTTAAACGGCGCCAATTAAATTAATATGAGCAAACTTGATAAAAGACTACCTAATAATGCTACAAAGTTTGGTGATCATCTATCAATGATATTTCAGTAGGAAATGTTCAAAGGTTTTTATATTTTTGGCTTTAGTGGCCCCTAAAAGGGGCCAATCAAATTAATATGAGCAAACTTGATAAAAGTGTACATAAGAATGCTATAGACAAAATTTGGTGATCATTTATCAATTAGTTCCATAGAAGAAGATGTTTAAAGGTTTTTCTATTTTTAACTCTAGAGACCCCTAAAAGGGGCCAATCAAATTAATATGATCAATCTTGATAAAAGACTACCCAAGAATGCTATAGACAAAGTTTGGTGATCATCCATCCATTAGTTCTGTAGAAATAGACATTTAAAGGTATTTCTATTTTTAGCTTTAGCTGCCCTTAAAAGGAGTCAATCACATTAATATGAGCAAACTTGATAAAAGACTACCCAAGAATGCTACAGACAAAGTTTGGTGATCATCCATCAATTAGTTCTGTAGAAGAAGACATTTAAAGGTTTTTCTATTTTTAACCCTAGAGACCCCTAAAAGGGGCCAATCAAATTAATATGAGCAAATTTGATAAAAGACTACACAAAAATGCTACAGACAAAGTTTGGTGATCATCCATCTATAAGTTCTAGATATAGATGTTTAAAGGTATTTCTATTTTTAGCTTTAGCAGCCCCTAAAAGGGGCCAATCAAATTAATATGAGCAAACTTGATAAAAGACTACCCAAGAATGCTACAGGCAAAGTTTGGTGATCATCCATCTATTAGTTCTGTAGAAGAAGATGTCAAAAGGTTTTTCTATTTAAGCCCTAGAGACCCCTAAAAGGGGCCAATCAAATTAATATGAGCAAATTTGATAAAAGACTACCCAAAAATGCTACAGACAAAGTTTGGTGATCATCCATCTATTAGTTCTCTAGATATAGACGTTTAAAGGTATTTCTATTTTTAGCTTTAGCGGCCCCCTTAAAGGGGCCAATCTAGAGACTAGAGACCCCTAAAAGGGCCCAATCAAATTAATATGAGCAACTTTGATAAAAGACTACCCAAGAATGCTACAGACAAAGTTTGGTGATCATCCATCAATTAGTTCTGTAGAAGAAGATGTCTAAAGGTTTTTCTATTTTTAGCCCTAGTGACCCCTAAAAGGGGCCAATCAAATTAATATGAGCAAACTTGATAAAAGACTACCCAAGAATGCTACCGACAAAGTTTGGTGATCATCCATCAATTAGTTCTGTAGAAGAAGATGTCTGAAGGTTTTTCTATTTTTAGCCCTAGAGACCCATAAAAGGGCCCAATCAAATTAATATGAGCAACTTTGATAAAAGACTACCCAAGAATGCTACAGACAAAGTTTGGTGATCATCCATCAATTAGTTCTGTAGAAGAAGATGTCTGAAGGTTTTTCTATTTTTAGCCCTAGAGACCCCTAAAAGGGGCCAATCAAATTAATATGAGCAAACTTGGTAAAATACTACCCAAGAATGCTACAGACAAAGTTTGGTGATCATCCGTCCATTAGTTCTGAAGAAGAAGATGTCTAAAGGTTTTTCTATTTTTAGCTCTAGAGACCCCTAAAAGGGGCTAATCAAATTAATATGAGCAACTTTGATAAAAGACTACCCAAGAATGCTACAGACAAAGTTTGGTGATCATCCATCAATTAGTTCTGTAGAAGAAGATGTCTAAAAGTTTTTCTATTTTTAGCCCTAGTGACCCCTAAAAGGGGCCAATCAAATTAATATGAGCAAATTTGATAAAAGACTACCCAAGAATGCTACAGACAAAGTTTGGTGATCATCCATCAATTAGTTCTATAGAAGAAGATGTCTAGAGGTTTTTCTATTTTTAGCCCTAGAGACCCCTAAAAGGGGCCAATCAAATTAATATGAGCAAACTTGGTAAAAGACTACCCAAGAATGCTACAGACAAAGTTTGGTGATCATCCATCAATTAGTTCTGTAGAAGAAGATGTTTAAAAGGTTTTTCTATTTTTAGCCCTAGAGACCCCTAAAAGGGGCTAATCAAATTTATATGAGCAAATTTGATAAAAGACTACCAAAGAATGCTACAGACAAAGTTTGGTGATTATCCATCAATTAGTTCTGTAGTAGAAGATGTTTAAAGATTTTTCTATTTTTAGCTCTGTTGACCCCTAAAAGGGGCCAATTGAAATGACATGAGCAAATTCAAGTGTGACTGTCACAAGGATGCTACAGACCAAATTTGAAGTAAATCTGCCCAGCAGTTTCAGAGAAGAAGACGATTGTTGACGCACGGACGCCGGAGTATCCCCCTTTGATACTTATAGCTCACCCTGAGCCTTCGGCTCTGGTGAGCTAAAAAGCAACAGTAACACACAATGCCAGCTTAAAACATCTAAAAATTCATGAGTTAAATACAATGTCCTTTTCATTCAATAGGGAGTTCTCAATAACTAGTACTTATTCTGTTAACAATAGCTGTCAGTAGAACAGCATGCTTGAATATTCTCAGTGCTGGACAGTAAAACAGGAGGCTCGATAATATAGAATCTTCTTAATTAAAAAAATCCATGTTTGCACTTTTTGTTTAATTTCAACATTTGTATTTACTGGATACACTGCATTCCATGAATATAAGACCCAGATGATGATGTTTTTCAAACTATTGAGCATTTAAACAGATATACATTTAAACTTGTCTATACAAGGTGTTCCTCATAAATTAACTTTATCAAACTTAAAACACATTTCTAAATGTAACTATATATATATTGACTTCCCTTCCCTTCAATTGTCCCTAGCCACATGTTACAAGAGTAAAGCCCACATACGTAATAATGGAGCATGTGCCTCGTTAATGATATCATGTGACTTGTTAATACTCAGATGTTCACAACATAAAAACAAGAGAACAAAAAAAAAAGGTTTAATAAAATCTTTACAGTTTTGATAAGCTATTACTACCCCTAAAAAATGAACTTTATCTAAATATCTTGTTACAAATACATCAAGAAACATGTTTGTAACATGAGGTACATACACATGTGCTAATATCAAGACATTTAATACACTATCAACCCTTTATTATATCAGGATCATTTATGATCTTGTTGTTTTTTCTTCTTCTATTTTAAATTAAAAGACAGCTGGAAAAAAATTTAAAAAAGAATAATCACAAATAAGTTATAACAAATATGAATTACTTTTTAATTATAAGAATGTCACAGGTAAATGCCTTCTTAATTTTCATTTTTTATACTATACTTGATACAAATGTTCTATAAGAAATATGATACACTTGAGATGAGAATTTCACGTAAAAAAATATCTAACTTAAATGAGAATCAAGAATCACTTATTTTCAGTAAACTATCCTTTAACTTTTCCTATCTGGCATGTTTGTTACAAGACTCCAATTTCATAGTTATCGAATTTCTAATTGAAAATCACAAAATCATTAATATATATTGGGCACAAGTTTTCTTGGTTTTCGTGGATCGGTCAATCTGCAAATTAAAGATGCAACAAAATTTTTATTTCCTCTGATATACAATTATTTTTATTACTGTACATTACATGTACAGTTGACTCTCGGTAACTCGAAATCCAAGGGACTAGGTATTTTACTTCGAGAGAAACGGAATTTGAGTAACGTGGAACTACCGCCATTACGTTGACTTCGTACATGTATATACATGTACCTGATTGAATGTGCAAAGAAGTAGGTTTCTTAATGTTGTTAGCGGCAATGCTGCAATATTTAACCATTGAAATGACGGTAAATCACTTTCAACTACAAATTATAAATGAACAAAAATATATCATTCAAAATCTAATACATGTATATTAATAGTGAAACATAAACACACAATTATATTTGATTTAATTGATAGTCGGACGAAAACGAAATTAGCAACTATCGTGAACCGGAAGTACAAATTAATGTATGCAATATGACGGAACATTAATTATACAAATATCATTTACGTTGATAATACACATCAATACCTATGCTGTTATTTGACTAGGCTGTTATTTGACTAACACCCATCAGACTGGCACGAGTCAATTTTTTTAAAGAAATGTAATTAAATTTTAATTTAGTTATCTAACTGTTAAAACCAATTAAGTCGTGAAACGGATTAAAGACACTTTTACGACGTGTTAATAATACATGATGACCGGCAATTAAAAATTACTATGAAACGTGTAAATCACGAGTGACAACATCTCACCTTGATGTCGCCGACCTTTGATCAGTCGGCTGTTTTCACACTTCGACTAATTGAGATGAAAATATGTGGACTTTAATTGACGGGACCAAATTTTCTTTTCGACTAAACAGGAGTCTCGGTAAGTCAAAATTTGACCTAAGCGGAGTTAAAATACAAAGATAAAGAAGGAAATTTGACGGGACTTTAGAAATTATTCGACTAAGGCGGAATTTTGAGTAAAGCGATTTTGACTTATTGAGAGTCAACTGTACTTGCATTTTACTTTTTTGCAAAAACAGACAATCCACAGATTTCACAGTATTACAGGTTAATGCAACTATTATATATGTTTCCACAAGGAATAAATATATCTAAAACAGCATGTATTAATATATTATCATTAGTACAATTATTACGACTGCTTAGAAAACATAAACTGAATGATTTAAAAACATCTCTTTTAAATAAAATCATTATTATTATTATTTCAGCGTGACTACAAAATAGATACTGCTGTAAGTAACAGACTTCCACACATGGAATATGTAAAACACTAATAGATTTTGTCTGAAAAACTAAGTTTATTGTATCAGAATGAAATTTCATGGCAAGAAACATTGCACTGAAAATGAGTAATAAAGTAATTCTGTAACACTTTAGCCAGAAGCAATCTGTAACGCTTTTGTTTCTGGTTTTTTTTTGGGGGGGGGGGGGAAAGAATAAAGTAGGAGTGATTTTAAATGACTTATTTCATTCACATGATTCTGCAATACATTGAAAGTCGTATACCTCAAGTATAACGACTGAGTTATTTATATGGTGCACCATTTCTAATAGAAATATTGTGTAAAGTAAATGGAAGAGTAAGATTTTTCCAAAATGGGTGTTTTCAGTTCATAAACATGTTAAAAGAGGTATATGCTGACATAAAAGCACAATGAAACTGTACTAAACAAGCTAAATTTTCAAATTCAAGTACAGGTGACTTGAAAACCTGACCATTGACCCCAAATTCTTTATTTCCCTTAAAATGTTTCTGTTATAATGCAAAGCTTAAATAAAATCGGTGTAGTTTTCAATCTGCTATTTGTCTATTTACACCTTCCACATTTCTATTTTGCCCAAGGACCTTTCATTATTCCCTTTGCAATACTTAGTTATTAATTACAAATATCAGCATTACGTACCCTTGTTCTGTCAAGCATACTGACATTATCTCGAACTCTTACACATCTCACCTTCTCTAACAAACATTTAAGCTGCCCCTACAATACAACAAATGTCTCGTTGTCAAAACTCATATCATCAAGATGTTTAAAATTTGCTAGAGAGGATATTGAATGAGTGTAGATTTAATACTAAATTTATTGAGGTTTATTACTAATTTATTGAATGAGTAGAATAAAATCATATTATGAGAGTCTCTGGCATGCTCTAACACTGTTTGTATATAACACAAATGCTGTCACATCAAAGTGTTATAAAACAAGTGTAATTGCGTTTTCATTAAATGGCTTTATTACATACTTGTGCCCATTTTGCGACTCAGTAAAAATGGTATTGCATGGACATGCATATACTTTGACATGACATAATTTGTGTTTAACAAACATGGTGTAAAAGACATGCTAAATGTTAGACATGCGCACCTCAATGAAAAATGATTCTTTTGCATTTAAAACTTTTATTATTTGTATTAAACTTATATCTGAATAACAGCTATGACACTTTCTTAAAACAAATTTATTACCATATATTTACATTTTGATAGATGTTGATATATATAAGAAAATGAAAGAAAAAATTAAATTTTTTTACCACAAAGATAAACCAAACAAGCTGACTCCAGTATACCTCCTTCAAACATGGTTTACAACTTTGTTTACAGGGATATAAAGAAACTTTCACTAACAAGAAACCATGTAACAAACATGCAGCATATGTATTTAGCATAACCTTTTTTTCTTGATAAAAATTTTCTTTAAAAAAAAAATAAATGTAAATAAATTTCTGTAATAAAACAAAACTTCAAATATCACACTTCTTACCCTTTCCTCAGAATTCAAGGTCATATTAACACCAACGCATTTGTCAATCAATGTCACTACACTTGATAATTTGTATGAATCTATCTCTAACACATCCTTTAACTTTGGAATAAATTTCTCCATGTCCTTTATCTGTGAATGATAAAAAGCATATTTGACCAGAATGTCTCAAGTGATTTCGTTTGGTTGGTTCTATGCCAATTTTTACATATTTTTTATCATATCTCAGCTGTTGATTCACCGGATAATCAACCAGTTATTACCAATTTCTCCCCTATAGACTGACTACTTAATCTGACATGATTTCCCAATCAGCTGTAACAGACAAATCACCATTAGACTTAATGTCTGGGACCAACTGTCATGGAGAAAATTTCGTCTTACAAGAAGATTGAATCAGCGACCCTGGACATCAAATCCAATGCACTACCTACTGGGCTAAGCAAGCAGAACAATTTATTAGCAAAACATCTGATGTACAAAAAATTGTCAAGAATTAATAAAATACATTTAAATAGTTATTTCTCATAGACTTTATAAGTTTCTATACAGTAAATTCTATTTTTTAAGCAACCTTTATAATGAAAAAGACTAACAAGAATTAAGGTTTGTCATAAAAAAAACTGTAAAAAAGCAGAATTTCAAGCTGTTTTGCATTAAAGCATTATCAGCTTGGATAAAAGGCTATCTTAGACATCATAGTCATAAAAAAAAGTATCTTTTCAGTTAGAAAATGTCATGTCTGACTGTATTCTAACAGGCACTGATTGTTCACATACTGTCTCTTTTAAAGGTTACTAAAACAAAGTTAGTAAATGAACATCACCTACCTTTATAGAATTCAGTAATTCATCAGACACATTTGTTCTGTCCAGTAATATTTCACTGAGAACTAAATAACAAAATCCTCTCTGAATAAACATGCCTCTAGCACCAGGGGGAAGTAACTCTGCTATATGTGCATTATTATGGTGATGGTCTGTAATTCCTACTAACATTCTCGTCAACTTTAATCTCTGAAATAATAATTGAGCCACGCCATGACAAAATGTCAATGTAAAAGATAATTATGTAAATGCCAATATAAAAATTATGCAAATGCCAATGTTAAAGTTATGTAAATGCCAATGTAAATGTTTCTGTAAATGACAATGTATATTGATATAAAATAAGTTATGTAAATGCCAAAGTCTCCATGTTCTGTTTATGCCAATGTAAAAGTTTTGTAAATGACAATGAAAATGTTATGTTAATGCCAAAATAAATATTCTTTATATGACAATGGCACTTTTGTTTACTTACAAGAAAATATAGGATGTTACAATGGCTGAGGATATATATATGGCATTCTGACCATTTCTCATAACTTTAGCTTTTCTAAAAGACATCAAATATCTAAGATGAGACATAAATCTTTAAAAAACTAGAAATGTGTCATCATGCCACGGATGCCCCCGCATGCAGCCAAAATTTAAGATGTTATAATATTAAGTTCCAAATTTGTTTGCACAAATTATTTTTTTCATTTTAAGTTCAAAGCCCTTAAAACTTTTCAATGTTAACACAAACCATTTTATACAATGTTAAAGGCACTGAAATCATTCAGTCTTAACCTTTTGTAAAATGCATATTGCATATTTGTAGCCAAAATAATGGCTACATACATTTCCATAAAAGTATGAGCGCTGAAACTGAAAATTCAAAATTTTGCCAACATTCATGAAAGATAAATTTGTCCAAAATCATTGAACCATGACCAAATTCAAACTTGCACTGCTTATTCCTAAGATGTATCTATATGTTAAATTTGAGTTGAATGTGTACAACCATTGGGGAGATAATGAACGGAAACTTAAAATTTCTGATTTTTTTTCAAAGTTCAAGAGGAATAACTTGTAGTGTAACGCTCAGATCTGAATAAACTCAATATGAACAAGTCAACACAATATAAAGTTTATAAACGTCATATATATGTATTTATTTTATATGAAATACTGTTCACTAATACAACACAATTGCTTTAACAATGTCTTTAACAACTTTACAATTCTTATACAATACTTAAAACAATAAGAATTAATGCCAATTGCGTATTTAGCATCATTTAACCTTAAGTGAGTGAGTCTGCTTTAACATCAAAAACTACACTGAATAATCAAATATTTCGCTCCCCTTATATACTAAACTACTTTACGCCTAAGATTTAATAACTTAATAATTCATAGAGTATATATGCATTTGTGGACAGCTAAACAATTAAATAACCCATTATGTTTGCACGATCTAAAGTACAAAAGGTACACTTCCCGTTTTAGTGCTGACAGGTCTATTAATTAACTAAATTAAGCATAGTTTTCGTGACAGCTCATTAAATTAATATATCCGCCTATGCATACTGTTAACTAATTACCGGCTAATTACCGTTATCCTACAAACTCTGTCAGCTATCATCAAACCATGACCAAATTCAAAATTGACCAATGCATTCTTATGACATATCCATATCTTTAATTTGAGTTGAATAATTATGCACAACCGTTGGGGAGATAATAAATGGGAACTGAAAATTTCCTTTTTTTCAAAGTTTAAGGGGCATAACTCTGCCAAAAATCATTAACCATGACAAAATTCAAACCTGACCTGCGCATTTCTTTGACGTATCTATATGTCAAATTTGAGTTGAATGTGTTGTACCGTTGGGGATATAATGAACAGAAACTGAAAATTTCATATTATTTTCAAAGTAAAAGGGGCATAACTCTGCCAAAATCATCGAACCATGACTAAATTCATACTTGACCTGTATTTTCTCATGACATATCCATATGTCAAGTTTGAGTTGAATATGTGCAACCGTTACTAAGATTATGAACCGAAACTGATGACAACGGAATGACGGAAGAATGGAAGGACGGAACAGGGTAACACTATATGCCCCGGCCATTATATGGCGGGGGCATAAAAAATACACTACCTCTTTTAGCCAATCGGCATCCAAGTACTGTCTAATCACCATGGTAATACAATTTTGAAATGCTCCTTTTGCACAAAAACTATAACACAAATGTTTGGTTTTATTAGTTACCCCAAATGAAAACATATTTCTTGAACACAAAAAAAAAAATGAAAACACAATTTTGTTGAACATACAAGAAAAGAATGTATATAAAATTTTATTTATCAGAACATATTTTGAATGGTAAAAAAAAATTCAGACAGGTATATAAAGCCTAATAAATAGTAATTGTTAAAATATATGTCAGCTTATCAAAATGGGCATTTGAAGTCTCTTTAAATCTTATTTAAAATTTAGATAAATTTATTTATTACAAATTGCTAACATCACCTCATAAAAATGCAGTTAAATACTTACTGTTTTATTGATGTGTCTAAAGATGCTTTACACAGAGCTACACATAGTAAACTGAGATCATTTGGACTGTATCTCCCACTAGAAATACAATAACATTTTGTAAGTCTCTTCAAAAGCATTACACTATAACCCAAATAATATAATGTCCAATGTTTAATAAATAATTGGTCCATGAATGTTTGACTTTATTCAAGCTACTTCCAAGCCTTTTAAAAGGCCAATATTACTTTTACATTTACAATTTTCGAAAATGCTATTAGATCTATCAAGTGTATCAAAGACATTAATACACATCAAAGACGGGCCAGAAGGTGATAATCGGCCCTAAAATGAATAATCCCATTGGGGTCATTATTCATTTTGCGGGTGGATTCTCACATTCCCACCCTACTCTCTTTACCTCTTAATGCTCAATACATTGCTTGATGTATTTCACAGATTGTACTCAAACTTTGCTGCACATTGCTGTACATTATGCAGCTATAAATAAATATGCAAATTTTTATCCAGATCAATTATTGACAATGAAAAGAAATATGGTAAAAAAGAAATTTTAAGCTGTACAGGTGGGAAATTCAAACATCAAACGCTGATGATACTTTCAAAGGTTATCGTAAAATCCTTACTTTTAAAAAAAATATATATTAGGTAAGAAAAGAAAACAGAGAAAGATGGTTAAACCTTTTGTTCAAAAATGAATACCTTAACTTTTTACAGGTACTCCCTATTTCTAAACGTTACTTTTCACTTTCAAATTTAATATAAATCCATTAAAATTTTTAATAAACATACCAATAATAAAAAAAATGCTCATTACTAATATCTACAAGTTATAAACCTGACACAGGTGTTGTAGATTATAAGAATCTTACACTGGTTGCCGGTACAGACCGAAATATCTAGCTCGAGGGTAACTGTTTACGGCGGTAACGAGGCTCTGCCGAGTTTCTGCTAAACAGTTACCCGAGAGCTAGATATTCCCGTCTGTAGCGACAGCCGGTGTTTGATTCTTTTTCTTGCATATTACATGTCAATTATTTTCAGAACAGAAAATATGAAAACTGATATTCTCATTACGCTCTTTTTTCTTATAGTAGCGTATGAACATACAACTTCATTCATAACGGAAAAATGACGTCATCTTAAGAACGCGATTCATTCATAAAAGGCGCGCATCAATGACGTCATTTAAAGCACGCGACTTGTCTTACATGGGGGGTGTAAGACAGAGTTTTCTAGCACCGGTGTAAACGGTAGATAATCCTGTCTGAGATGCAAGAATATAAGAATCTTACACTGGTTGCCGGTACAGACAGGAATATCTAGCTCGAGGGTAACTGTTTACGGCGGTAACGAGGCTCTGCCGAGTTTCCGCTAAACAGTTACCCGAGAGCTAGATATTCCCGTCTGTACCGACAGCCGGTGTTTGATTCTTTTTCTTGCATATTACATATCAATTATTTTCAGAACAGATATTACTACAACTGATATTCTCATTACGCACATTTTTCTTATAGTAGCGTATGAACTTAAAACTTCATTCATAACGGTAAAATGACGTCATCTTAAGAACGCAATTCATTCATAAAAGGCGCGTGGCAATGACGTCATTTAAAGCACGCGACTTGTCTTACATGGGGGTGTGAGACAGGTTTTTCTAGCACCAGTGTAAACAGTAGATAATCCTGTCTGATATGCAAGAAAGCAAAAAGTATACTTAAATTTTTATCACACAACTTTGTATCTGAACGTATAGTTCTTCCCTAACCCTTTTATTTACCAATTAAAATACATGAATACAGTCAATTTAGCACTTACCTTGGTCCATTCAAACATTGAGCTAGAATCTGTAAAACAAGTATCAAGTTTTCTGTTTTCATCCCAATATTCCCTGCACCTGGTTGATGTATATGTCCCGGCTCTTTTACCAGTTTACCTCTGAAAATATTATATACCCTTCTTTAATTAATCCAGAGTAATCACTTTTTTATTAAACATTCTAAGAACTTGAATGTTAAATGATATTTAATACAATAAAGGAGGTTGCTTTCTTTATTAATCTATACAAACTGTTTTATAACTAATGTACACAATTTGCAAGGACCGATAAAATCATCAAGTGTACTAATGCCTGGCTGAATACAAGAATATTACTACTATTATTTCACTATTATTTGTCAACTTCAAACAAGGGGGCCATTGGTCCCAATGCGCTCACCTGAGTACTAAATGCAATTGATATACAAAAGTTAAGTTACCAGGTCTTAAATTAAATTTTGACCCTAGGGCTATAATTTGAACAATCTTGGTTATTTTAAGAGTTCCACTACACAATACCTCATGCCAAATATCTAACCTTTAGCCTTTGTCAATTCAGAGGTAAAGATTTTTAAGTTTTTACTATATACATATAAGGAAAACCTATGACCCCCTGGGGCGGGGCCAATTTTGACCCTAGGGCTATAATTTGAACAACTTTGGTAGAGGACCTAAAGATAATATTATATACCAAATATCTAAGCTCTAAGCCTTGTACCTTCAAACAAGAATTTTTTTTAAAGTTTTTATTATATACATATAAGGAAAACCTATGACCCCCGGGCGGGGCAAATTTTGACCCAAGGGCTATAATTTGAACAACTTTGGTAGAGGACCTAAAGATAATATTATGTACCAAATATCTAAGCTCTAAGCCTTGTACCTTTAAACAAGAAGAATTTTTAAGTTTTTACTATATACATATAAGGAAAATCTATGACCCCCTGGGGCGGGGCCAATTTTGACCCCAGGGCTATAATTTAAACAACTTTGGTAGAGAACCTATAGGTGATATCATATACCAAATATCAAAGCTCTAGGCCTTGTACTTTCAGACAAGGTGATTTTTTAATTTTGCATTTTTTAAACTCCTTTTCTGGTCCTGTGACCTACTTATCAAACAGACCGGAACCATTTGAACAAATTTTGCAGGGGACCACCCAAGGATCATTCCTGTAAAGTTTGGTTGCTGTGCAGTCATTGGTTTCTGAGGAGATGTTGTTTAAAAAAATAGTTGACGACACACGATGCACTACGACGGACGGTGGGGGATCAAAATTGCTCACCTGAGCACTACGTGCTAATGGTGAAAAAAAAAACCCATATCAAATATTTAGCATACACATGTTTCAACATGTTTTTTTTAAATCACAACTTTAATTGATAAAACAAATGTAACAAATAGACAAATCTTATGATTTTATTAGTACAACTTGTGTATTACCGTATTATCTCTAAGGTACTTGAGTTACAAGGTATTAGTGATTCTAAAGCTGCACCTGAAAACAAATACATCATTAAAATATTTCATTAACATTATTATATTGGAATTACAACTGATGGTAATCATTATTTCAGACATATGAAATTGACACTGAAATCCATTAAAGCTGCCTGCCTGCAGATAAGCCAAAATATTTCAAGAAAATCATATTTCAGAAAATTGTACTGAGATTTTTAGAAAAGTAAAAAGATTTAAGATAAAAGTAATAGTGTCCATGTAATTTGCAATAAATGACCGATTTTGAAATATTTTTTACCATATTTCTACTGCGTTACTAAAAGTTAATTTTGCATATTTTGACCATATTTGGTAATTTACTTGGGTTGTAAGTGCTGTTTTCAATGTGTAAATTATTTTCTTTGTTCACATCACGATATTTTTCTATTTAATACATCTAATGAGATATTTTTGTAAAATTTATAAACGGTAAAATAAAGTTGTTTTCATAATATAACCGTAGATTCTCAAAAGACTTGTAACATAGAATGTCTCTGTTATTTAAATGAATACACTTAAATATTGTATGTAAACAGAATTTAATGTTCCAGAACAAAATATTATGCTACAATTTTTGAAAGCGGGTTAACTGTTTAGCAATGATGTCATACATATGCCATTCACTGTAATGGAAAAATTCGAACATATTTCTTTCATACAGTACTTTGGAATCATTCTTTGTCAAAAATGCAGTAAATGTAAGTGACATAATGTGCAAACAAAATGAATACATTTTTTCTAAAGAGACCATCAAATTTTAATTCATTTTTGTATGTATGAAGAATTTGACAGCAGATTACTTCTGATGAGTTCTGCATATATATGTTTAAGTATGTGAAATTGTGCACTAAGCATACAGTATGATAAACACTCTTAAACAGAAGAACTGTATATACCATAATTGTGCAGGACTGAAAGAATATCAACAAGTCTTGGTGCCCATTTTTGTTGTCCGTCCATGAGTTGGTAATGAAGAATTTCCAGCAGCATCTTCTTACATCCATTCTGTACCTGATGATCCTCATTTACAGACACTGCAAACAACAAACAACTTAAAATGCTTTGTGCATTATAAGAGCCTGTTTATAATGTAAAATTTCTAAGATTAAATGTAAAAAAGGCAATATTTCTGTAAAAATCCATGTTAAAGTTATAGGCCTTTGACAGTGACCTCCTATTATGCTCTCAAATAAGTGACTGAATTTTTTCAACACATTCCCTTTAGTAGTTTTGGAGATACCAACTTTTGTGCAAAAACTTAACCAGTGTATGATGGTGATTACAATTATAGCTCTCCCTTACTCCTCAAAAGTCAGGCTAATAATGAGCAGTCTGTCACCAAAAAAGTACACACTTCATAACTAGAACTATCGCTGAATGCGATTCATACCCCCACCAATGTCCTTGACAGAAGACCACTTAGAAAGGTGGTTAAGGGAATAATTTATGTGGCACAAATACATAAAAAGAAATTATCTCTGGTGAAAAAAAGACTAATTGTACAGGTAATAGTATAAAATATATATTATCAAAACTGTTCGAAACAGTTACAAATAACCTTTCATTTTCCCAATGCATTAAAACATTTTATTTATAAGTCAATTTTTGACCTTCAAGTGTGGCCTTGACCTTAATCTGGCACAAGGGTAAGATGGGTTTTGCACATCACCCATTTTGGGGTGAACATTTGGGTAAAGTTTGAAAGAAAATCCTTCCATCAGTATAGAATTTATAGAGTAGACACAATATATTGTCTAGTATTGGTTGTATGTAAATTTGAAGACTTAAAAAGGGGATAACTTTGTCAAAATGCAATACAGAGTAATGAAACTTGACCTGCATATCTTATTTGCCACATCTCATATATCTTTTAAGTTTCAAGCAAATGCCTGAGCTAGTTTCAGAATTATTCAAGTACATGTTAAAATTTAAGAACATTTTCTAAGTCAATTTTTTGACCTTCAAGTGTGACCTTGACCTTTAGCCGGTACAAAGGTGACATGGATTCTGCACATAACCTTGTTAAGGTGAACATTTGAGTAAAGTTTGAAGGAAATTCTTCCATTGGTATAGGATTTATAGAGCGGACACAACATATTGTCTAATATTTGATTGTATGTAAATTTAAAAAGGGGCATAACTTTGTTTAAATGCAATACAGAGTTATGAAACTTGAACAGCATATCGTATTTGTGACCCTTCAAAAACATTTTAAGTATCAAGCAAATACCTTTTCTATATTTAGAATATTCAAATAAATGTTAAAATTTAAGAATTTTTTCTAAGTCAAGTTTGACCTTCAAGTGTGACCTTGACCTTAAGCCAGCAAAAGAGTGACATAAGTTCTGCACATCCCCTGGTTTGAGATGAACATTTGAGCCAAGATTGAAGAAAATCTTTCAAGTAGTGTTGGACTTACAGAGCAGACATGACATAATGTGTAATATTAGATTGCTTGATATTTGACCTTCAATTGTGACCTTGACCTTGAGCTGACACATGGGCAACATGGGTTCTACACATCCCCTTGTTGAAGGGAATATTTGAGCAAAGTTTGAAGAAAATCTTTCAATTAGTGTAGGACTTACAGAGCGGACACAACATACTGTGTAATATTTGACTGTTTGATATTTGACCTTCAATTATGACCTTGACCTTGAGCTGGCACATGGGCAACATGGGTTCTGCACATCCCCTTGTTGAGGTGAACATTTTGAGCCAAGTTTAAAGAAAATCTTTCAAGTAGTGTAGGACTTACAGAGCGGACACGACATACTGTGTAATATTTAATCGTTTTGATATTTGACCTTCAATTGTGACCTTGACCTAGAGCTGACACATGGGCAACATGGGTTCTGCACATCCCCTTGTTGAGGGAATATTTGAGCCAAGTTTGAAGAAAATCTTTCAAGTAGTGTAGGACTTACAGAGCGGACACGACATACTGTGTAATATTTAATTGTTTGATAATTGACCTTCAATTGTGACCTTGACCTTGAACTGACACATGGGCGACATGGGTTCTGCACATCCCCTTGTTGAGGTGAACATTTGAGCCAAGTTTGAAGAAAATCTTTCAAGTAGTGTAGGACTTACAGAGCGGACACGACATACTGTGTAATATTTGATAGTGTTTGATATTTGACCTTGAATTGTGACCTTGACCTTGAGCTGACACATGGGCAACATGGGTTCTGCACATCCCCTTGTTGAGATGAACATTTGAGCCAAGTTTGAAGAAAATCCTTCAATTGGTATAGGAGTTATAGAGCGGACACGAAAATGGAGACGGACGGACCGACCGACGGACGGACCGACCGACGCGACAAAGCGAATCCATTATAGCCCCCCCCCACATTTTGTGGTGGGGGTATAAAAAGGTTAATGTAACCCATTATTACTTCATACTGTATATATCTATAAGTATAACAATCAAAGTTGTTTTTTAACCTTGCAATCATCATAAACCCACACAAATATTGATATATACCTGTAATAACAGTCTCAGGTGGGAATTAATGAATAAAACAATTTTTAATCAATAACATATAAACAACCAGTAGAAATTCAGTTACTATTCCAAATTTAAAAGTACCTAGCTTTACAATAAGCCATTCTAAACATATTTTATATGTTTAATTAAAGTTTTGTGTGTTAATGATTTACAATTTATATTGAAAGGGATATAATAAAGGCCATCAACCTTAATTCCTTTTTTCACTGAAATTTTCTTAGCTAAAATTGAAAAAAAAATGAAAAAAGTGAAGAAATTATATCATATTTAATAAGTGTAACCTACACATATTGCCAGAATAATATTATGTATTTTTCAGAATTAAAGTTTTCTAGAAGATTTATCAACGACCAATATTATCAGTTATAGGTGTGTATGGTAACAGTTTCAAACAGTGAAATATCAGTTTTATATTTCACTGATATTTCCATAAACCATCGAAAAACATGTAATAAATGCCCTTGAATTTGAGTTTTCAGGCTATTTCAAGGTCAAATATGTAAGACAAGTCTGACAAACTGTTTAAACTATCTCTATTACCCAATCCAAGACCATGCTGAGTTTAAATAAATTCTATCATACAGTTTTTTTTCCAATCTACCTTTTTGCCTATATGAAACTAAATGTAGAACACACCTTTACAACACCTGATATACTGCTGAAGTACTTGTATCCTCAGGTGAGAATAAATGAATAGAACAATTTTAAGCACACATAATAAACAAGAAATTTAATCACCTTAGAGTTAAGTAACAACACCTGATAATCATAGCAATATTATTTATTGCTAGAAAAATCATGTATCTAAAGTGTACTTTAAACAAGTCATAATTTATTTATGATATATGTGAAATCAAGTCAAAGTTTTATTCAACACATTTCCCTGATAAAGTTCTTCAAACTCAGATCAAAACAAAATAAGAACTTCAGAAAACAAAAGCAGAAATTGAAATTCCTAGAAAGAATTTTCATGATCCCTACAGTAATAAAGAAAGGTAAGCAGATGGCACTGTTATAATTATACCTTATACCTTAATTAAGAATTACTACTTGTTTCACATCAGTAATTCAAATAACTAGTACATGTGTATTCACTGCAAACAACCTGGACAGAACAGAACATTGGTGATTTTTTTCTTGAAAATACCAAGGCAAACAAACTGGACAGAAAAGATGATTTCCATTCATTGTAACAATTATTTCATCATATTAACTACAGATTAATGCAATACTTAGAAGACAAGTTTTTTTTTCTTTCTAAAAATACAGGAATTTGTTTGTGTGGTAAGAAAATAAATACATATATACTCATGTACAGACTCAATCAAACTGAGTCTTCATCACATTTTACGTCCTCAAAACAGTTAGCTGTAAAAGTGAAAGTAGGATTGAAGCAAGAATAGCTTGATTTTATAATTAGAATTTAAGCCTAATTTCTACAAACACAGCTTTATTTGGCCATAATTCATTTTGCGGGCCAATTATCACCTTCCAGCTCTACTCTGCCATGTATTAATCTGTTAGTATGAGAGATTATGAGAGAACTTACTTAATAAGAAAAGCCATCTCATGACTGGTGTTTGATGAGTTATCTTGGTAAAACACTGTGAGATTATACCACTAGTTATTACCCTCTTGTACTGGGCTGCAAAAATCAAACAAATAACTTTAATTTTGTGTGTTCCAATTTTTTCAGATGAAAAAACAAACAAACAAAAACATGTTAATTAACACTTTTAAAGTCTTCTATCTACAAATATCTTAAATGTGTCCCAAAATAACAGACACATTTTATCAAGAATTTAGAAACATGGCAATGCATCAAAACAAATTTTTCAATAATTACCATACTAAAATATTTTGTTTTAGTTGAAATACAAATAGATGCACTGGTTAACTTAACCATTTAAATGTAAAGGTTAAGCACTTTAATTTGTTTTCAAATCCAGTCTTTCGTTGTTGAAAAATGAAATATTGTATAATCATTGACAATTTTTATTTATTAAAGGATAAATTTGTGGATAAAAAACAAAAGTGTTTTGTAAGCATTAACCTCTAAAAGTATATAGAAAGTAGACTATAATGACGGCATGGGGCAAAGCCATCAAATAGGCAATACCCCTGGAAAGTTAAATTGGGTAAAAATGATATACTTTTTATTTTTGGGTGATTTTACATTTAGTTAGAATATTTTTGGCCCTTTTGACTGTCTGTAAAAAAACGGGTTCAAAAAAATTTAAATTTTGGGCCCATTTTGGGAAGTTTTATTTTTTTGTGTTTTCTTTGCCTAAATAACTTCCCCTTAAACCCGGGGTAAGAGGGTTCTTTAAAAGTTTTTCTAGGGGCGATCCCCCTTTTCTTTTTAAAAGTATTTGCCACCAAAACAGTGGACTAAAATTTTCTGTGAACAAGCACTGGTAGTTTTCACGTTCAAACACAAATATCCCCGGACGATCTTTACATATAAAGAGGGCTCCTCCCACTTTTAAATTTTTCCCCAAATTTTTTCCTTTTTGGGTTTAAACAGTTATAGGGAATCTTTAAAAATGAAAAATTTTAAAAAACCCAAACTTCATTTAAATTTACTAGGGAAAATACCTGTGTTCTATCTAGCTGTAATAAATTTTTAAAATTTCTAATGAAACTAGCAAATTTTTTGTATCTGTATAATTTAAATCATTTAATTAAAGCCTCTTAGGGACATAACTAAGACACCTAAGGATTATGATGAACTTTAAGTTTCACCATACCCTCATCAATATATACCTTCATTTTAATTTTGATTAAAAACTAACAGATTAATTTAATTGTAATATGACATTTAAAGCCTCTGTCAATATATATGTGAATACACTAAAGAAAAACTTTCTAATCTCCAGACATGGTGAAATGTTAAAATTATGTTGATTCTAGAAAATTGATTTTTTCTTCTTTAAAACTAAGTGTCCAGCTTTATTTGTCAACCAATGAACATGCTGTATTTCTTTAAAAAATGGTGCTAATTTTCATAGAAGAACAGATGTTACTATTAGTAAAAACAGACAGGTAGTTACGTAATAAAGTGAATATTAATGAAGCCAAATAAAACTAGACACCGAAAGCTGTTCTAAAGAAATAAGAAACATTGTCTGGTCAGTATCGCTCCTGTCGAAGTTTCTAATTTCTGTAAAACAGCATGGACGAACACTAACATATACATAGTTTAAATTAAAGTAAAAGTGATGAAATTTTCATCTGGTTTCTGGCAAGAATCCAGAGTTTATTTTCATACAAGGTAAAGAACAGCATATTTGGACTTCAAAAATTGTCCTGTTTGCGATGAAGTCCAAATCATACAGGGTTCAGATTACAAAGTCTCTACATAGGAAAACATTGTCAACAGTATAAAACAAATATAAGATGTTTTCATACCAGTGCATATGAAGCATTACATAATTATTATACATGTATCTTAATGGCACATACCTGCAATTTCGGCATCTTCTTTATTCAAAATATTCACAAATCCACCTTGTTTGATTTCATTCTAAAAAATATCAAAGTTATATGATAACTTCTATCGATAAACATAAATTACTATATGTAATACACATGTTCCATTAAAATCAGTAATTTCGAAGGTTAATAATATATGAGCCGCATCATGACAAAACCAACATAATTGGTTTGCGACTAGCATGGATCCAGACCAGCCTGCGCATCCCCGCAGTCTGATCAGGATCCACGCTGTTCGCTATCAGTTTCTCTACTTGTTATAGGATTTGTAAGCGAACAGCATGGATCCTGATCAGACTGCGCGGATGCACAGGCAGGTCTGGATCCATGCTGGTCGCAGACGCACTATGTTGGTTTTGTCATGACGCGGCTCATATCCTTTATTCAATTTGTTTATATTCTTGAATGCATATACACGTACAACCTTAACGTCACAATAAACAGGGAGTGTCATACTGACTTTAGACAGCTCAAGCAAGTTCCTTTGTCAGCCAGGGACCTTAATTTCTGACCTATTGACAAATTATCAAAAACATTACAGATATTATGCTGCATAAAGTTTAGGTCAAATCTTAAATAGCAAACTCTTAAATGATATTTTTAGGGCTAACCCGAAGACCTAGCTTTCAAACCAAAGTTACCGAATATCAAACACATCCTAGATGAGTGGTGTGTATTCGTGACCACTAGAGTGTAAGATGAAATAATGAAACAGGACATAGAGCAATCAAACAGCTCACTAAAATACCCATTATGCCTCAGAAATGCTACCAAGTTTATTTCTCACAAAACTTTTATATCTAGGTATCTTGTCACAGTTTTCAAAGTAATACTAATTTGCCATATACATGTACTATCCTTTGCAAGTACAGCTCTGTTGGAAGTCAAAATACCATTTTGTTTATATATTGCTACCATTACGACACATTACAAGAACGTTCAGCACTACTTTCTTCAGTTGCTAAACATCTAACATGCTCTAAATCCATTATTTCAACCCTATGAAATACATGTCTGACATTTCTAAAGAAAAAAATATTGATTTCTGAGGCATAATGTACCTTTAGTGTTATCTTATTCTGATGAGTTAAATTGCACTCTTGTTTTATACAGGAACAATACTTTAGCTCCATGGAAAATGGTCTTTTTTTCTTTTTTAATTCTGAGAAAACAAACATAAGTAAAATAAACCTGAAGTTCTTTATCAATCTCGTTCATCTCTTTAACATGATCAGCCTGAAAAATATATATACAACAGCATATATATATATATATATATATATATATATATATATATATATATATATATATATATATATAAACTTATATATATACAACAACGTATATAAAATTATAAACTTAAATATACAACAGCAACATATATAAATTTATAATCTTATATATACAACATCATATATAACCTTATACAGTGTATATAAAACAACATATATAACCTTATACATGTATATACAACAACATATATAAACTTACATTTACAACAACATAAATAAACTTATAATCTTGTATATACAACAACATATATAAACTTACATTTACAACAACATAAATAAACTTATAATCTTGTATATACAACAACATATATAAACTTACATATACAACAACATATATAAACTTATAATCTTATATATACAACAACATATATAAACTTACATTTACAACAACATATATAAACTTATAATCTTGTATATACAACACATATATAAACTTACATATACAACAACATATATAAACTTACATATACAACAACATATATAAACTTACATATACAACAACATATATATTAAACTTACATATACAACAACATATATAAACTTACATATACAACAACATATAAAAACTTACATTTACAACAACATATATAAACTAACATATACAACAACATATATAAACTTACATATACAACAACATATAAAAACTTACATATACAACAACATATATATAAACTTACATATACAACAACATATATAAACTTACATATACAGCAACATATATACTTATAATCTTATAAATACAACATCGTATATAATCTTATTTATACAATACATATAAACTTATATATACACAGAATGCTACAAATACACACTCATACTATTTCAAGCATACATATAAACACAAATTTACTATAAGTAAATATGAATGTGTTGTCTTAAAAATTCTTTGAGGCTTACTTTATCTGCTTTATAACCTGAACAATCTTTTACTGATTAATTGTAAAACCATGGCAATCAACAATATAAATGAGCCGCGCCATGACAAAACCAACATAATGTGTTTGCAACCAGCATATCCAGACCAGCCTGCTCAGGATCCATGCTGTTTGCTTACAAACCATATAACAAGTAGAGCAACTGATATCGATCAGCCTTGATCCTGATCAGACTGTGCGGATGTGCAGGCTAGTCTGGATCCATGCTGGTTGCACATCCATTATGTTGGTTTTGTCATGGCGCGGCTCTATGTGTACTGATGTAGCTGTGACAAAGATGATTTGAAACTCAACGTAACAGTTTTATAATAGGTATCAAAATGTCACCATATCTAACATAAATAAAGTTGCTATTAGAAATAGATGGTATTACAAACTGTCTATGCTCCACTGAAAACATTTCAGAAGTGTGAAAAAAACACATTTTTATGAAGTAAAAATCATATAAAAGAAATCATCTAAATTGTAAGTTTTTCAAATTGTCATTAATTAATGCACTTTAGGTAAGTATTTTATTACCACAACATGAGTGATACCTAAAAACACTTATAAAACCATGTTAAGAAGTAATGTCTAGACACAAATAGCAAGTGCATTGTGTTAAAGTACATCATCTATAGATTAGCAAGCTCATTATTTGTCTGACAGTCCTTCATCATAAATACTAGACAATTACTGTAGTACAACAATTGTTCGTAATCTAGACAAGGTCATTCACCTTGATACTCAAATAATGATACCTAGTCAACATGCTTACTTTGTATTTTTGCCAATGGGCAACAACTTAAAAGTTATAAAAATACAAATTTTGTTATTTTTTGCCTTAACTTCTTTATTTTTGTAAAGGATTTACTTTGTACTTTACGTTTAAGTTTCATATCAACTTCCATACAATAATTAAATGATAAGATTCATAACTCTAGGGTCAATAATTTCTTTATTATCTTCCCGTTGAATTAAATTTTCCTTATTATTTCTTTAATAACTTCTTTATTGCTTCAGGGATATCTGTTTAACTTTCATTGACAAGGTCACATGCATATTATGTTCTGCAAAGATATTAAACATTTGAGTGCTTTCTTGATACTGATACAGAAAATATATCTATATCATAATTTTTCTTCTTCCTTTACTGCATCAAGTATTTAATTAGGAGAGCGAGTCTGTCTCCTCTGACAGCTCTTGTGATTAATTGCACTATCAAACCACTATCAAAATAAAATATTTGTGTACTGAAGAAATAAAATAATGATAATAATAATAATAATAATAATAATAATAAAAATAATAATAATAATAATATTAATATTAAATATTAATAATAATTTACCTTTTCTTCATGGTCAGCTAACAGCCCATCTAGTGTAAACTTGTTTTTTAATCCAGGTCTTTGTGCAACTGGTTTCAGGGGAGACAACTAAAACATGTTTTCACAAGAAAGTGTAAAAGGTTATGTTCTCCTTTTGATAAACAAAGTAATAACTAAAATTTAACATAGGACCATAAGCAAGGAGATTATGTGAAAATAGAATTATGACATAAAACAGCAAGACCTATATAAAGAAATCAAAAGCTTCTAAACTAAAGGTCAATAAATAATTTGAAAATTTTCTAAAAAATGATGAATAATAATATCTGTCATATGTTGCGGTTCTGATTGGACTATCTCTCTAGAGGGGGACCCTCGACAAACCTCCGTACCCAATGGGTGGGTTCCTGAGGGACGGATATTCCGAACCGCAAACATATGTCAGATATTTTTTCTTGCATATTCTATTATATTTTAAAATCACTACCTTAATAAAACAATTTCCATGGTAGAGTATGGCATTACACCTAATAACCAATTTTTTTTACAACAGCGTATTAAATTACAACTTCATTCATAACAGTAAAATTATGTCATCCTAAGCGTGCCATTATACAGCACGCGACTCATCTGGCACCCCCATGCAAGATGAAATTTCCGGCATGGGTAAAACTAATGGAAACGCCAGTCTGGTATGCCAGAATGGTTTTGTCCAGATTGAAAGACAGACAGGTTCATTTCAGATATAAGGTTGGTAGGAGTTAAAGCATATTTACATCACTACTGCTGGAGGTAGTATTACTGTTCTGACTGGAGTCAATCACTTTAGTAGGTGTGATAACTAAAGGGCGACCACTGAAACATAACATTAATTTTTTTCATTTTTTTTTTATTTAATTAGTTTTACACTTTATTATATAATGTCATATGTCCTATCTTTCATGTTACTGTAAAATGTACATTTAAAGTACTTTAGTACGTAATTTATAGTACTTTGGTACATAATTTATGGTACTTTGGTACATAATTTATAGTACTTTGGTACATTAAATGATTAATTTATAGTACTTTGGTACCATAATTTACAGTACTTTGGTACATAATTTATAGTACTTTGGTTTATAATTTATAGTACTTTGGTACATAATTTATAGTACTTTGGTACATAATTTATAGTACTTTGGTTCATAATTTATAGTACTTTGGTACATAATTTATAGTACTTTGGTTCATAATTTATAGTACTTTGGTTCATAATTTATAGTACTTTGGTACATAATTTATAGTACTTTGGTACATAATTTCATTTCATATGTTTCATTTCATATGTTTGTAATATGATATCATAATATCACAAAACAAGTCATTTTCATTAAACACAAATGCTGTACACCAATACACGCCATGCCCTGTACTACAACATCAATTAATAAAATAAGTGATGATAAAAATTTCTTTAATAAAAAGATTTGATCTTTAAAAAAATTCTGTTCATTTAGGAGTAAGAGTCCATATTTCAATATAGCCAAGGGCCTGTCACAACATTTATCACAATGACAGAAGTACATCATGTAAAAATACTCTACATTTGTGGCACAGTATTATGTTATCTTAACAAATATATTTCAATAAACAACTTTTTTTTAATGTGTTTTTCTTACTCAACGGCTTCAAGGCTTCATTTATTAGATAAGATAGGATTTATTCAATATATTGTAGAGAAAGGTACAGTGAACTTACTTAATTTCCTCTATAGATCTGAGGAAAGCTGATGGTGTAACCAGTAATTCATCATCTGATTCATCACTATAGTCCAAGAATGACACTTGAAATATAAAGATACTTAGAAGATATATACATCATGAATATTTCTTTTAATTAGGTTTTCAGTCACATACAATTTAACATTATAATGTATCTAAGTTTTAATTTTGAAAGTTTTATTTTTAAGAAAGGAAAGCTTGACAATTATATGAAGCATCCTCAAGTCGGCTTCCTGGAACTTACCAGTACTGGTGTGGTATGAGGGACACAAGAAAGGCTTAAACCCACAACAAAGAAATCCATTTCCTGATTATTAAGTGTACTTCAAGGTTAAATGATGTTGATTAAAATTAATCTCAACTTCAACATGACTTAAACCTTAAATATTGCGCACCGTATGTTGGCAAAACAGAAACTTCAGAAATTAACACCAATTAAGTCCTACTTTTACTTGCATTTTAAACTTACGATTAATCATTTTACATATTGCTTAGAACTTGGTCAATATTGATCAAAACTTACCTGGACTTGTTCCCATTGGTTTCACATCTTTCTTAACTTCTGACATCCCATTGTCATTGTTGGCATCTCCATTTGACATAGACTGTCTTAGATTTTCTTTGTTTGATTGTTCAGCCACTTCTTTCCTATCATTATATTTTATTACTTTATCATTAACTTCATTTGCCATTTCTGATACCTTCTCTTCATTTTCACCTGTTGGTTCATCCACTTCCATTTCCTTATATTGTTCAGTGTTAGAGGTTGTCTGCTCATGTGGCCCACTTTTCTGATCAGATGTTTTTAATCTATTAACAATATTTTCATACTCTGCTTTAAACTCAGTTTCCTCACTATCATGATCTGTTTCTCCTGGTCTGTTAGTCAGCTGACCAAAACGTTCACTCAGTGGAATAACCTTTTTCAACCCACCATTGGATGATTCTGAAGACTTTTCTTGGGTGTCACCTTTGTTCAAATCAGTCAAAGAATGCATTTCAGAAGCAGTTAAACTGTCTGTTTCTACACTTTGAGTATCCATAGGCTTGTTGTGTTGCTGGTCATTACAACTCTTGTTTATAGATATATCTTCGGTATTGCCTATAGTTTCTTCAGTATTGCCTTCAGTGTCCTCAGTTTCTGTTTCAATATATTTGCTGCTTTGCTTCACACTCGGATTTCCCTACAAGTAGCAACAACAACTATTATACAACAAGCAGTTCTAGAGTTATATTTCAAATTTATCAAAAATTAATAAATATAATCAATGCATATAACAGCTCATCAAAAACTTTTATTTCCTTAAGCTGAATTGTCTGGCTTCCATTTCTTAAATTGTCCATCATGAATTCTAGGGTTATCAAGATGACAATTTAAAGTATAGTCATAGTTAATAGTTGGATGAACATGACCTTTAACTGTGACCTGAAAGTATGGTGTGTAGATCTCAAGAAAGTCATTCACTTATTATGTTTTGAATTGAAGTATGTCTATTTTATAACAGTTTATATTTTGGTCATGTTGAACTGTACTTTACCTTTGACCCCATATGCCTACACTATCTATTGATCAAATGATTATTCAAAAAGTGGTAGGAGCATAAAAATAGCCTGTTAGTTTATGACCTCACATTTCATAGTTCCCTGTCTGTTCGCATTAATATGAACATCACGTTAACAAAATTGAAATTAAAATCTTATGTTCCCCTCATGGCATACATACCTTATATCCATGACAATCAACTTTGTCCAGAGGGATGAATGATTCTCTGATCTTAAATTTCTGCTTTAATGCTAAATCCTGCAGCACTGTACCGCAAAGAAAACAAAAGTATATTAATTAACCAAAAGGAAATCTATAATAAATATAAATACCAAATCTTGGTAATACGTGATCTGACACATGCAAAAATAAATCAAAAAGGAAAATAATGTTAGGTTCACATTTACATTACATTAAGGAACAATATTAAGTTTATAAGTGTTTTCCTAGTAAAAAGTTATTTTGAAGCATTCACAGAATAAAATCTATTTTTACTTATGCAAGAAACATAACACTTATAAAGCTATACATTACATGATTTAGTATATAACATGGTAGTTTAAACTAAGTGAAGTAGTAGAAGTGAGAGCACAAGGAAATTTATTATGCATTCTTACAATGTAGTGTTAATAGATGATACTTGACAAAAATAGTTATTTGCTTTTTTTTTTAGATTAAATCATTTTAAAAACAGATTTATAGTAATAACAGGAAGTTCTCAACATCACTCTTAAATGCAATTTGGAGAAAAAAATGAGTGAGACTAAAAAAAGTGTTGGAGCACGTCCACACTAAATACTGTATTCTGGTATATACCGGACATCGGACCTTTCCCCCTGCCGAAATGCACGTTAGAACGTCTAATTCATCTCTTCACAACAATATAATAATATGACAATGAATAAAAAATGTAAGAATCGGTGGCAGTGAGTTAAATAAATAAAAAAATAAATACATTTATCACATGTCAGATCAGTGTTAACCAAATAATAAAACTGACAAACATATAATCATTTCTCATCAAATGGTAAAATTGCTAAGATCAAGATTAATATCATTAAATATTGAAATTATTTTACTCCAAAAGTAAAGTAACAGTTCAACCTCAGCAAAACAACTCCCTTCAGCCGACATTATAATATTGAATTTTGTGAGTGGTGTTGGTTCCCTAGTAGATGTTATTTACAGTGTATTGCTCAACTGAGGTGGTATTTTGTATACTTACAAAAATAAGTATACATTTAATGTATACTGACTATTTTTTGTCCAAGCATGTTCTCAAGAAATAAATATGACAGCTTACTTAAAATAAAAGTGTTAAGATTTTTTTAATTTTAATATCAACAGTATACAGATGATTGTTATAAAAGTTAAAATTTTCATTATACAAGTACTCTATAAAATTAATAACTATTAATTATAACTGAAAGGTATTGGTGATTAAAACTATGTAAAAATAATAATCTGTATAAATGTGTATACATGTACAACAAAGTCTGAATATAACATGCATGGAAAGGGATGTGTATGTTTACATGCAGCACATTGATTCCTCTTCATTATGAACCAAACTTTGATGATTTTATCAAGGGGAATAATTCTAGAAATAGTCATGCTAGAGTTATGGACCTTGTCACACAACATTTGTGTAATGATAAGAAATATATATTTGAAGTTTGAAGTAGATACCTTAAAAAGTAAAGAAGTTATCATATTTCTTAAAGAAAATCCTAAGTTCAAAGAGAGATAAATGTGTAAATATTGCTTCAAAAGTTATGAACATTGTCACATAAAATGTAATTGATGATAAGGAATAAGTATTTGAAGTTTGAGGTAGATACCTTTAAAAATAAAAAAGTTGTAATAAAAAATAACATTTTTCTAGTAAAATAATCTAAGTTTATGGGGAGATAATTCTTGCAATATTGGTGCTAGAGTTATGAACCTTGTCACATAAGATGTGGATGATGATAACGTAAATACATTTGAAGTATGAAGTTGATCCCTTTAGAAATAAATAAGTAACAGTAAAAAATAATATTTTTTATGGAAAATTCTAAGTTCAAAGGGAGATAAATCTGAAAATATTGGTGCTAGAGTTATAAACCTTGTCACATAAGATGGGATGATGATAACGTAAATATATTTGAAGTATGAGGTTGATCCCTTAAGAAATAAAGAAGTAACAGTAAAAAATAGTATTTTTTAAGGAAAATTCTAAGTTCAAGGGGAGATAAATCTGAAAAAATTGGTGCTAGAGTCATGAACCTTGTCACATAAGATGTGGTTGATGATAAGGAACATATATTTGAAGTTTGAAGTTGATACCTTAAGAAATGAGAAAGTTATAGTGAAAAATATTTTACTGCACCAAAACTTTAATCTAAAATCTGGACGCCGACGCCGGGGCGAGTAGGACAGCTCTCCATATACTTCGTATAGTCGAGCTAAAAACTGTTTATTAAAAATGAATAAATGTGTTAGCATTGAAAGAAGTAACTACATTCATGCAACTCATGCAAAACAACACAAAAAAAACAATGTACAGTATCATACACACTGAATCCTACGTCAATGCAATCTTAATATTAAATTGAACATTATATAGATTTCCATGTAAATGCTTGAGGTAAGCAGTTGTGTCATAATGGCCCTTGATCACTCACCTGAGTTCTACTGCTAGAAATGGCCTGAATTCTTAATCATTGAGTCACACTTAGGAGTCACTTTATAAATAGGGTCATCATTATAGTTTAAGGAAAAGTCCACTATGCAATGTTAAATGAATTGCTAAATACCTACATGGATATTTATACAAGAAGATTAAATGTGTTATCCACAACTTAATGATGCCCTCAGCAAGGGCAGGCTAAATTTTCACCCTTTGAATCTTAAATAAGCTCACCTTTTCGCAATATGTGCTCTGAGGTGTGCTAAAAACTGGTCAATTTACCAGATCAAATTCTAAATTAAGGTTTTCATCAAATAACTAATGAATGTAGCTATTCACCATGATTTCTGTTGGAGACAAAACATACGAGCAATATCAATGTGCTTGACTTGAAGTTTATATATTTGTATTATTAGCATTATCCCAGAGTTTGTCAAATTAAGACAATACTCTTTATACTGACTCAAGTTAAATAGGAAAGGCAGACAAGGCCATATATGTTTATAAATATAGCTTTTAAGAATTCTGCCATGCTTACTGTAATATAACATGTTAATATTATGCCTCACTTGATATACATGCAATATAACCAATTAGTATGTAGGTATTATGCCCACTTGATATACCTGTAATATAACCAATTAGTATAATGCCCCACTTGATGTAAATGTAATATAACCAATAGTCAGTAGGTATTATGCCCACTTGATATACCTGTAATATAACCAATTAGTATTATGGCCCACTTAATGTACATGTAATAAAACTTGATATACATGCAATATAACCAATTAGTATGTAGGTATTATGCCCACTTTGATATACCTGTAATATAACCAATTAGTATAATGCCCCACTTGATGTAAATGTAATATAACCAATAGTCAGTAGGTATTATGCCCACTTGATATACCTGTAATATAACCAATTAGTATTATGGCCCACTTAATGTACATGTAATAAAACTTAATGTATATGTAATACAACCAGTACATATTATGTCTTGATATAGTATGTAATATAACCAGTAATATTCCCCACTTAATGTAGGGGCCTACATGCTATATAACCAGTATGTAATATGCCCACTTGATGTAAATGTAATTTAACCATTAAGTATTATGTCCTATTTAATGTACATGTAATCCTATTTAATGTACATGTAATATTACCAGTATCATGTCCCACTTGATTTTTATGTAATATAACTAATATTTCCACTTGATGTATAATTGTACATGCAATATAACCAAAAAGTGTTCTGCCATATTTGATCTTTTATAACCAGTAAGGACACTTCTGCTACAATTGAGAAAATCGATTTTGAAGCTCGCTCAATGAAGTAAAATTACATTCTTACATTAAAACAAACAAATATTTTCTACATATTACACATGCATGTATGTATCATGCAAATCTCTTTTTTTTAAAACAAAAACAAAAGAGATTTGAAGATTGTACACAAAATTGTAGAAAAAAATACCTCATTTTTCCTAGGCCAACTTTAGAACAGTTAAAACAGCTTGAATTAAAAACTGCACAGTTTGTTTACTTGGTTTTATTATGACTCAAGGACACATTTACTGGTAAAAAATCCTGCCAGATCCTTCAATACATTTAAGTATCTAACAAATCACAATCAAGTCTTGTCAGAGGAAGAGAGAGGGCAGTAATTTATTTACAAGATTTAACATTACAACACTTTATCACAATATTTTATGTTAAATTATTGGTGATATTTAGGTATAATATTATTGCATCTATCTAAAATTGAACAAAACCAGAGGGTTTTTTTACAATCACCCATAAAGTGGGACATTTTGTGATGGAAGTACAGACAGACGGGGAAGAAGTGATCTTAATTCATGTACAGATCTAAATATGTTATATTTATTTGATGTAAGAATTATTTTTCAGTTTCTAGACATATATATATAACCCTTATTGATATTACTTTGACAACAACCTTAGAAAAGGGGAAGTACATGTATGCCAAATGTTTGCATCAAATCTGATAATTCCTCTCATTGTTGCTATTTAAAGACGCAGTAAAGGTCAAACGTCAACTTTACATTAGCAATACTGTATCCATCTGTCCATTATTTCAGGCACAAGCAGGCACTGGAGTAGAACCACTAACGCACCATAAGCAAGATTAGTATAGCTCAGGACCCTAATGAAAGAATTATCCAATGTTTCTATGGGATTCAAACCCAGAGTGTTCAAAATTAACAAATGATTTAAAGTCAGCAATGATGGATGTGTTAATTTGAGGTCAGTGATAGTAACAATGATGATTTTATCATGCTGTCACATAAAGCTGACAATTATACACCCTGTTCAATTTTCAACATGAAGCAGCAACTGTGCAGCAAACACTACAACAGTGAAAATACAATATTAAATACAAACCCAACTTTCCACTCTGCATGATTCAAACAAGTAGCTACAAGTATTATTACAAAAGTTATTGTATTTTTAACAAAGCTTTTCATTAATTAAGTTTTGAAGCCACACTGGCATTGTCAAGGTTATATGGTAACATTTTAGCTTCAGTGATGGAAAAGCTGGGTCTTTTAAAGTTATTTTTAAAAATTAGTAAAAGACTCTGGCTTAAATTTGGTAAAATATGCCTCATTTTGGAAAATGAGCAATTTAAAAAGTAAAGAAATAATCTTAAATACGACTCTTTAATAGTTTTATACATGTGTTATTTTGTTCACATAACCTGTTGCTACTTTAATGAAACAAGACAAAACAGTTCAATTTTTCTTAAAAGTTGAAACATTTTGGATGACCCTTAAAACCTGCCTATCTCTCAGGGGTGATCCCATAATGCAATCCATGTTTTCATAATCACTGTACATTTCATACCATGTCTTACAATCTTTATGTAATCAATGCGTACCAATTATTATAGCACCTTCTACTTCAGATAACTGAACTTTTTTTTAAACCTTTATTTATAAATTAAAGGAACTCTACTGAGGTCCTGGAAGCCTAAAAACATAAAATGTAAATGTCTTACATAGATTATCGGGAACACTTAAAACAGAAAAATATACAAAAGATAACTTATACATTGAATCTAAGTGAAAATAAAATTTTTGTGTTATTCTAAGACTGATTTTAGGTTATTTTTCACAATTAATATAATTATTCTGAGAAAATGATCTGAAAATTTTCACACAAGTTATTGGTCTAGACCTACATAGAATGGAACATTAATATCGAAAAATCATTTCAAGTAATGTCATGCCAAAAAGCGTCAGTGGAGTCCCTTTAACTTGTACCATTTTGTGATAACAGGAAGTAGATTTGCTTATCCATTGTGCACAATCATACTACAGTTAAAAACTGATTAAGTAACTAGCATCAAACTATAGAATGGCTTCTAACTGACACATACATGAACATGGGTATGACTTTTGTGCAGTTCATTTAAAGATATGAAAGTAGTGACTTATACACATTGCATTTAGAGTCTGGGATTGACTATAAATATTGGAAGAGCAATGGGGTCCTGGGGTGGGAGACAGCATTTCAAAACATCATCAAATTCTTACATCAAGTTACATCCATTCAGCTACAGTTGATGCATTTGTATTTCATAATATGAATACAATTTGTATAAAAATTTATAGAAAAATAATGTACATGAAGAATACTAGCATACAATCAAAAGTAAAGCTAAGAATTCAGAAGCATTCAATCAAACTAAATGAACAAGTTATGCAAGAATTTTTCCACAGCAAAAAAATGCAATTAATATATATAAGGTAAAAGTATGATGGTATATGTGTAAGTATGGTAAGTTAGGTGATCAGCACATGCTTCAGCAACAGGCAAAGGAGAGAATTCTGTTTATAAATGATGCAGATTTGAGGCATGTATCTTACCATCTTTACCACTGCAATTTGCTACCGTATCACTTCCAACTTCCACAGCTAGATTTCCTTTATCATAAACCACATCGTGATCTCCAGTTTTCATAGTTACATCAAAATCAACAATTCTATTTTCAGATTCACCAAAAGTCTCATCATCATATGCAGAAATATCTACAATTTCTGTCCCAACATTACTACCATTATCCTTACTTTCAATGATATTACCATCAATTATTTTAACAATGTCCTTATTATTCATATGTTTGGCATCACCTGTTTCTAATGTATTGATGTTTTGTAATTCATTAGCATTTTCACTGTTATTAAAGTAATCTGTTACCACGTCAACCACAGCAAGACTATTATTAGTATTCAAGCCTCCTAAATCACCATCAAAAACAACCACAGCATTACCAGAATTTTCAAATTTAGCATTATCAGTGTTATTAGTGCCACCAGTGTTCAATTCAAAAACATTCCCATTGTTATAAACCTTTTTAAGATTAAGTTCAACATTGTCAATAAAATGCATGCTCACATCAGACATGTCATTAACAAGATCTATTTCAGAACCCTTCACCTGATTAAAACCTTCACACCCTAAATACTCACTTATCATCTCTTCATCTCGGTCAACTACTACTTCCTGTTCAGTATTTGTGAGTGTCTTGAACATGTCCATGCTGTTCTCTTTACTTGAACTGTCAAGACATGCCTCAATTTCACCCTCCTTTGGCTGATTGATATGAACTTTGTATTTTTCATTTTTTGATCTTGAATCTACGTTTGGATCATTGATATTGATGAATTCATGATCAATGTTTGATTCTAAATCAACTGAAGTATCTGTGTCTGTAATAAGGTCTAAACTTTCATCAATTTCCATGGATTCTTCATGACTACATAATTCAAGTGAACTTCCACTTGTATTTAGGTCTTTTTCTTTCTTGAGTATCTCCAATGAACGATTATTGATCTTCTGTACCAAAGAAGTTTTTACTGACAACTTACCAAGCACCCTCTTGTGGAAATCATTAATTTTTTTACTTTTCCAATCATCAGATAATACTTCACCTCCTTGATCTATACATTTACCATTCAAATCTTCATTTGTTTGCAATTCTTTTATATCACTTTCTTTTGCATATTTTGTCAAATCATCTCTGATCTTGCTATAATCAGGTTCTGATACATTAAGTGAGTGCAATACACTCTTATTTCTATGAGATGTATCTTCAACATCATTATCTTGTTCAATTTTGCCACAAGATTTTGAAGTTTCATCCACATTTTCATTTGAAGGATTGACATGTTCATTAAAGTTATCATCAGCTTGTTTTAATGAATTGTTTTTTTCATCTTCCTTATTTTTGTCATCTATTTCTTTATGTACAACTTCCTGTGAAGCAAAGTTCAACTTTACATGCATTTCATCTTCTAATTTCTCAGGCTCTTGTTCATTAGTTACAGAATCTTTCCTTGAGCAAGAAATATCCATGACATTGTCACTTTTTTCAGTCTTATCAACTTTTTCAACTCCAGCTACAGCACTTGATTTAGCTTTAACATTAACATCTGCAGTTTTAGCAGTGCTTTGTGCATTTGCTAACTTCTCTTGCCTGCTGTCCTTTCCTTTGATACTTGTGCCAAGATCAACACTTTTTAATTTATTCACTAGTTCAACCTCACTGAAATTCTGGGATTCGTTACTTAATTCCTTAACATTACAAGTTGCTGTGTCTGAATTCTCTTCCTTAATTTCTTCAATAAGTTTGTCTTCTGTTAGATTTTCTGTAATGCTGTTTTCTTGATTATCTATATCTACTTCCTTTCTTGGTAAGATCTGTTTCTGACATAATTTAGCAGCAGGAGAACCAGGAACTGGGATTTCACTAGACTTTTTATCTGATTGTTTGCTCAATTCATCTTCAGAATCAATTACTTGTAGACTTGAGTTTAATGGCAAATCTACCTTGGGTTCTTTATATGAGGTCTGATTTTCAAAGTTTATAGTCTGGCTTTTCATAGAATCAATCTGCCCAGGTTTATCAAACTTTGGCAGCTCACGCATTGCTGTTTCAGCTGGAGCAGACTCATGATTTCTCTTTACTTCAACAAGAAGACTAGGACTTGTTTGTGGCGGAGTAGTGACTTGTTTCGATCCAGGTTTTGAAATTGTATTGTAAACAATTTTGTTAGCACTACCAGAGCTTCTCTTTGGACTGTTCCATTTTTTAGATGGTGACCGATAAGAACCTCGGCCAGTTAAAGAAGGTATTTGTCTATTATTTGATGTACTTGCATATGACAAGGGCCCACTCTGAATTCTTTCAAATCTGTTAAGACCAGTATCTTTAACAGATTGGAACTGGCTTCTGTTATGGTCAATATATTCATCAGAGTTAGGCTGATGCTTTTTGTAACTAGTAAACTGATCATGATTAAGTGCAGTATATTCATCAAAGTAAGGTTGGTACTGTTTATGACCGGTATATTCATTAGGGTCAGGTTGGTAACTCTTTTGACCAGTATATTCATTAGGGTCAGGTTGGTACCTGATGTCACTAGCATATCTATCAGGGTGTGGTTGATACCTGTCATGACCAGTATATTCAACAGGGTCAGGTTGGTACCTGTCGTGACCAGTATATTCAACAGGGTCAGGTTGGTACCTGTCGTGATCAGTATATTCAACAGGGTCAGGTTGGTACCTGTCATGACCAGTATATTCATTATGATGAGGCTGGCACCTGATGTACCTAGAATATTCATCAGGGTGTGGTTGATACCTGTCCTGACCAGTATATTCAACAGGGTCAGGTTGGTACCTCTTGTGACCAGCATATTCATTAGGATGAGGTTGGTACCTGATGTCAGAATGTGGTTGATACCTGTCATGACCAGTATATTCAACAGGTTCAGGTTGAAACTGGTTATGACCAGTACTAGAGTAATCTCTATAATCATCCTTGTAATATCTTTCACTAACTGTACCTTCATGGTAGAATATGTCATGATCACGATCACCAATGTTTAAATCTCTACAAAATTCTGTATTGTTTTGTGTATACAGCCTTGCATCATTTGTAGGATGATAGGGGGAGTATCCAGGTTGGAGTCTATGTAGGTACCATTCATGTTCAGGGGGCTGATGATGGCCTCTCCTTTGAGCCATGTTAACTCTGTTCTACTGCAAGCAAGTTCTTCAAAGCACAAATAAAAATAAAAGTACATCAAAGCAAACAAAAAAGGAAATTAACTCAACTTAGAATAGACAACAACATAATTTGAGTCATATCTTGTAATATAATCAATCAAAATGATTGACATGCAAATGTACATGTAAATATTTTGTGGAGACCATATTTGCATCGTAAGTCAGACCTGTTTCCTATTTTAATGTATAAGCTAATTATCAATATCCACCAAATTAAGCACATAAACTTCAAGTTTTGTTTAGTAAAATTTAGGAATCGTAATGTGAAACAGTTGGTCATGGAGATACTGTCCTTTAGATGTGGAAATTGCCAGACTTATCCACAAAACAATCAATTTAAATTATTCTAAATGAAAATAAAAGAGATAAGACCATTTTGTACTAAGCTCACAATATTTGAAAGATTGAAAAGTTTTACATACAAGTTGTCTATTGATTGATTATCTATATATAGGTGTACACAATACAAAATGTTTAAAGGAAGATTATCTAAGAACCATTAAGGTGTAAGGAAAAGTCTTAACTTACATTGTTAAAGCCATGATGCATAAAATAGTCATACTGAGAAAAGAAGAAGGTATAATATGTAAATACTACATTCATGTAGATAAATCTTACAAACGTAACCTTCTATCTTCTGTAAAAATAAAAATTAATATTCATCAATAAAACATTTTTGAATATATGTATATAATTCTTTGTTTGTCCTTAATTAATTAACCAATACTTTTCTAATTTAACATAATTCCTTTGCTCTCTAAATTGAATTTTATAAGTCACCTTTTATCAAATATTAGAACAGTAAATTAATATAACCATACTGTTCAAAACAGCATACTTAAGTTAATTCTTAAGGTTATAATGTTTGTGTATAGGTAACAAAAAACCAACTGTGCTGATTGGGGAAATACTATTGCAACCAATAAAGGTTCTCAAAAGTAATGCAGGAAACCATCATATAAAATTTAAATTTTTAAAATGAATGGGCTCATAACTTTGAGAAAAATATTCAGTGGGCAATTACCAAATACAAAACAAACATTATTTTGACCTACAATACTCACAATACTAGTAAGAAATTCTTAACATGAGCGATCAGTGATCACATGTTTCGCCTCATGATGGCCAATTTCATGGGACAAGTTTTGTGAAAGACGGACACAGACAGACAGACAGTGCACAACTAGACTTGGTACTGATCATTCCTGTAAAGTTTGGATGAAATTGCACCAGTAGTTTATGAGGAGTAATGCTGACAAGCTTTTGTGTATCTGGCAACACACAGAAAAAAACACCTTTTTATCAAAGGGCCATAACTCGGCCAAAAATCATTCAACCGAAAAACCCGTGCAATATGCGCAAGGACTTGAGCTACAGATCAATCCTGTAAAGTTTCATTGAAATTGCGTTAGTGGTATAAGAGAAGTAGTCCGGACACACATTTTAAAAATAAATATGATTAAAGGGCCATAACTCATACAAAAATCATTGAACCAGAAAATGCTGACAATATGCACAACTAAACTTGGTACTGATCATTCCTGTAAAGTTTGGATGAAATTGCACCAGTAGTTTATGAGGAGTAGTCCGGACAAGTTTTGTGACGGACAGACAGACAGATGACGGAGAAGTGATCCCTATACGTCGCCACTACTCCGTAGAGGCGACACAAAAAGGTAGTTATGTGGGAAATTACTTGTACATAATTAAAGATTATTACTGTATAACAAATTGTCAATGGCAGAAAAACAATGCCATATTCTACTACAGATCATCAAGTAGATAAAACATAAGTAGACTTAATGCATATAATGTAATGATATAAAAGACTATATTGGCAGACTACAAGTTAAGATTGATACTTTAAAACAGGAAATATGCTGTTATAACCATCTATGAGTGATTTCTAATTCTGTAGATTTGTGGTTTATAAACCAGTATATTGGATTGGCTTTTAAACTTTACTCATTGTTTAAGAATTAATATGACTTAAAGTTTAGTGTATTCCATTTAATAAGTTTTATATTTTAGTTTGTGTGTAGGAAGCTTAAAGCTTATAGACACACTCTTGAATCTGTTCCTGGAACCAACCAGTATTGAGCAATGAGTGTAAAGTTTCTTGCTCAAAGAAACAATGTCCTTGCAATGAAAAAGTGCCATATATAACCTTTAAAAACTCTTTATAACTAATAATACATGTATAACCAACTAATTTATAGATTATACCACTTTGATTCTAACTACTTGTTTTCAATATTTTGGTATGTTACAGAAATATTTTTTTTATTATTTAAACTATACTGCATGCAATGTTTATTAGTTTATAACAGCAATAATGTATATCCAAATGCTACCATTCAAGTACAAGTACATAAAGCAAGGCTTACTATTGAACTAAAGTACTTTCCCAACACAGAAGCAGAACCTGTGAGTAAATATATAGTTAGATGAGTATATAATGAGAAACTATCACAAGCACCAATATACAAGGGGTGATCTAAAAGTTGTTTCACTGTCTTGATTACACAAAAACTTATGACCAGTTTATTTTTACTACATTTGTATAATATATTAATAATAAAATATGATTTCAATTATATTAAGTATTTATACTATAAGTTCAACTATAATAGCACTCAAAAATAACTTTTTTGATAATTTAAAAGTTTACTTTGTAGGCAAACAGCTGCACACCAATATTTCAAATTATTAGGTTTGTTCGAAATAACTATTATAATACTTTCCATAGCAATACATTTTTAAACCTTAAAGCCTTGTTATCAATATGTTTATAGTTTTTAGAAACCACACACAAGCACTTTAAACATTATTTACCTGATTAACTTTTTTTAAGAGCAGGTTATCTGTTAGAGAAGCTGCATGGACTACAGACAGAGAACAACTAATTGTTTAGATGAAGAACTGCATACTATCATGACTCCATTTTGAGTGGTTGGATGATGTATTCCTGAAGTAAGTTATGAGTATGCTGAACAATATTTTCAGGAGAGACATTGTGACAATGTGATAGCAATGTAACAGCACTGACATTCTCATTTAAATCATATCCTAACTGTTGCTCCACTACTCTTCGCTTCCTAGCAAAGAGTAACGGAGCGAAAATGATGATCTGCTTTTAATGAGACAGCACTGACAATGTGTGTTGTGCTGGGTGCTGGTATTACTTATGTATTTATCAGTTGTTGATCAACCATTTGGTTTCTGAACACTAAACTTAACAATGACAATTTATCATATATTAATTTTGTCCATATGTAAACCAACTTTGGTTGTTACACTGCTCCTACTAGATGATTAATCAATGCAGTGACTTCACTTTTGATAACCCCTTGTATTATGATACATGTAATGTGTCAGAAACCATTTTGGTGATCTGAAATATTAACACCACTTGAGTTACATCTGAGTCATAACAATGCAAATTATGTAAATATGTACAACACTTGAAAAATTGTGCATTAAATATTTGTACTAAACTTGATGTATTTCATATGCTAGCATCAGTCATTTCCTATTTACAGGGTAATTTTTTCTGTGTGAGATTGGGTCATGGTTATAACATTGCTAAACAAGAGGGCCATGATGGCCCTGAGGTCGCTCACCTGTATATAGGCCCCCCACCCCCCCCCCCCGCCCCCAACGTTGCAGGGCCAATTTTAACCCAAGGGCTTTTATTTGCACAAACTTGGTAGACACCCATAAGAAGATGTTTCATGCTAAACATCTAAGCTCTAGCTCATTGGGCTTTTTAAAAGAAGATTTTTTTTAAGTTTTTACTTTACACATATAGGTAAAAACAATGACACCCCTGGGGCCGGGCCAGTTTTGACCCCAGGGCTTTTATTTGAACAAACTTTGTAGACACTAACTAGAAGATGTTTCATGCTTAATATCTAAACTCTAGCTATTTGGGTTTTTTCAAAGAAGATTTAAAGTTTTTGCTATACACATATAAGGAAAATCAATGACCCCCTGGGGCGGGGCCAATTTTGACCCCAGGTCTTTTATTTGAACAAACTTTGTAGACACTCACTAAAAGATGTTTCATGCTTAATATCTTAACTCTAGCTATTTGGGTTTTTTCAAAGAAGATTTTTAAGTTTTTGCTATACACATATAAGGAAAATCAATGACCCCCGGGGTGGTGCCAATTTTGACCCCAGGGCTTTTATTTGAACAAACTTGGTAGACACCTATTAGAACATGTTTGATGCTAAATATCTTACCCATAGCTCTTTGAGTTCTTTAAAAGAAGATTTTTTAAGCTTTTACTATATGCATATAGGGAAAATCAATGACCCCCCGGGGCAGGGCCAATTTTGACCCCAGGGCTTTTATTTGAACAAACTTGGTATACACTTATTAGAACATGTTTCATGCTAAATATCTTAGCTCTAACTCTTTGGGTTCTTTAAAAGAAGATTTTTTAAGTTTTTACTATATGCATATAGGGAAAATCAATGACCCCCTGGGGCGGGGCCAATTTTGACCCCAGGGCTTTTATTTGAACAACTTAGTAGACACCTATTAGAACATGTTTGATGCTCAATATCATTGCCATAGCTCTTTGAGTTCTTTAAAAGAAGATTTTTTAAGTTTTTACTATATGCATATAGGGAAAATCACTGACCCCCCGGGGCGGGGCCAATTTTGACCCATGGGCTTTTATTTGAACAAACTTGGTAGACACCCATTAGAACATGTTTCATGCTAAATATCTTAGCTCTAGCTCTTTGGGTTCTTTAAAAGAAGATTTTTTAAGTTTTTACTATATGCATATAGGGAAAATCAATGACCCCCTGGGGCGGGGCCAATTTTGACCCCAGGGCTTTTATTTGAACAAACTTGGTAGACACTCACTAGAAGATGTTTCATGCCAAATATCAAAGCTCTAGCTCTTATGGTTTTTTAAAAGAAGATATTTACAGTTTTTTCTTTTGGTTGCCATGGCAACCAGAGTTCTGCATGGAATTAAATTCTTTGAACAATTTTTAAAGGTGACCACCAAAGGAACATTCCTGTGAAGTTTGGATGAAATTGGCTTAGTGGTTTATGAGGAGATGTCATTTAAAGTAAAAGTTTACGGACGGACGCCGGACGGACGCCGGACGTAAAGCGATCACAAAAGCTCACCCTGTCACTTTGTGACAGGTGAGCTAAAAAAAATGCATAATACCATCCATTGTTAATTTAGGGGATTTAAATACTGGAATCAAGTAGTCAATAGCTCTATATACACTTGTGGAATATGCAATGTTAAAATGCATCTAGTATTCACAACATTAGATCGTTAATTTAAAATCAGACCAATTTGGCATCATGAAACACACCAAGCATCATTGTTATAATACAGAGGATATTTATTTGTTTTGCATGTAAGACTGAAATATAATTTCACTGAGTGAACACCAGATGCAATATTTTCATGAGTGGCGTAGCCACGAGTGAAAATATAATAGCTGGTGTTCACGAATGAAATATATTTCAATCTTATATGTAATGCAAATAAATTTTCTTTTTATTTCATGCTTTTAAGTGACTAAGTATTTTTTACTGATTTTGCCGCGTAACGTCGCGCATTCTCCTTTGTGACGTCATCACATCATGACATCACATCATCAATTTTGAAATATAGTTCTGTTAAATTTCTCTAATTTTGTTACATGTTTAACATGATGTATGGTGACATTGACTTATTTTTCCTAAAGAAGCAAAATTTACGTATGACGGCATTTATTTCTGCCTGTTATTCCATTTAGTTTAATTTTCTTTTCATCCGCATTCAGATATAGTCCGGCTACAGTGAAAATTATATTTCATAAATTTCACTAGTGGTTTATCAGAATATAATCATCTGATATATTACAATAAAACACTGGAAAGAATGAAATAAAAATACTGTATTTGTTAAATCAAAAGATGTTCTACATTTTGAAATATCTAAATACCTGACTTTCCTTAAATGTGTTGATTTTTTTACCTTCATGTATATGCAGATGTATGTTACATAGACTCAGCTTGTCCTGAAAAAGTACATGTATAAACAAGTTAGTATAACTGTGTTAGAATAGGTTTTATGCTTAGTTACAAAAACAAAGTCAATTGGAAACTTGAAGACATGCAAACTAGTAAAGACTAATAAAACATTGGCTAGTAGTTATAAGTCTAGCAAATCAAGTTAAAATGTTTGTTTTTTTCTTTAGGATTAAAATTTTCAAATTCAGTGAATTTCATATGGAAACTTCAGAACTTAAATGGGAGAATAAGACCTTTGGATCCATTTGAGCATTAAAATTACATTATTATAATTATTATAACAATTACATTTATTGATTAATGTAGACTCCTGGCCCCGTGTTCACAAAGATTTAAGGATCAGGATCAAGATCAGGATCAAATTTAAAAACCCTAATATTCTTCATTGTGTATCCTCATAGATAAATATCTAATTATAAATTTGATAAAACTGGACCTGAAATAGCAAGTATATGAAATTTTAGAATAAATTAATTGTTAATTTTGCAAGATATGGGCATTTTACAGTTGATCCAAATATTGATCCTGATCCTAAAATTGATCCTTATTTTGATCCAAATATTTTTGTATTTGTTTTGTTATTTGTTGATTTTATCCCAAAATAGTTTGTTTTCTTTGCAAATCAGCATATTTTTACAATTTGAATATTTACAATTTAATTCAACAAAACACAAATAATTTTAGTAACATTAAACAATGAAAATAAAATCAGGATCACTTGATCCTGATCCTGATCTTTTCTTAGTGAACACGGGGCCTGAGTAGAACCAGTAAACCAATGACCTTTTAAGGGCATACTAGGCTGTTAGGCAGCTTCCTCACATATCAAATTCCATTACTCCCTTTCTTTATCTCATTTTAATCTGTTCATATTTTTGTTCTTTTAAGATATTGTTTTAAACAACCTCTTCTCTGCTGTTTATAAATGTCACGTTAAAATGTTCTTTGTCATTAATTATAGTATCCAAAGTCTTGGTTACACAATCAAATTATTTAAGTTTTCAAGAACAGTGTTATATATTTAACAAATAAAACATGGCCTTGAGGGCAATATGCAAGTTTACGGACTGGTTGGTCAGACTGAGGAAGGTATATGGCCCGAGGTCTGACCAACCAGTCCGTGAACATGCATTTTGCCCGAAAGGCCATGTTTTATTTGTTATACTATACCGAATCTAAATTCTTTCATCCCTTTTGTTGCTGTCATTTTTACTATAATTTGCTTTCATATAATAAATTATTTGTTCAGTGTGTGAAATATCTCAAACCTAGTTGAATTTTTTATTATTTTTAAGCGATACAGCAAAAAAAATCATGCTCTTTTTTTGTTATTCAATTTTTGTTAATGAAATTAAACAGGCAAAAAAAAAAACCTCGAACTTTCAGACTTTCACAAACTGTATAAATAAAATTTATAATCAATTTAAAGACAAATCATGACTTTTGATCGACATGTAATAAATTTATTTGAAACAAAACAATACATTTAGTAAAAAGAATCATTTAACAACAAAATAAAATATTATACCTCATTTGCATGCGCCCTTCTACATTTAATATGACGTCATCCGGTCCATATAAGAATTATGGACCGCCCCCAGTCTGTATGCGGTTTATAGACCCGCATGACGTCATATTAAATATAAAAGGGCGTATGCAAATGAGGTATAATATATATATATATATATATCATGTATGTTGCATTTATTTCTATTGTCATAGTTTACCATTACAAGATCTGCTCACTCAACTTCTATCAGTGTTTGATGTATTAAAAGAGTCAGGATGTAGGAATGTTGGAATTAACAATAGAGAGATTTCATTCATGACAGAATAAGTGTTGGAAATGGACTGACAATTATAATTATGAAGACATGCATGAAATTCCAAGTCAATAACTTGCACACACACCAACATTTTAAATGATAAAGGGCTACAAGTCTACAACTAAAGCAAAAGCCATGCTAGATCTGTTGGTTCTTTGAAGTCAGTGAGTACCTTCTGTAGGTTTTGGGCAGAACTGAACAAATGTCAAGCCCTGTTAAACGGGTGAAATGATTACGATAGACTAATAAGGAGTAGCTGTTAAGACTGAAACGTAATGTCACTAGTTATTAAAAGTCTATGACATTGTAATATTCATAATTCTTGACAAGCACAGTTTGGCGTGCAAACATTAACAATAACATATGTCTAATATTTCAGTATTGCCTATTGATCATGCAATGAGTAAACAAATGTAAACTATAGACAGTACAAATGTACTTTTTATTGATATAAAGGATATTGAATGAGTGTAGGTTAAATACTCAATTTATTGAACGAGTTGAATAAAATTGTAACAAGTAACCAAACTAACATTATGTATAATAATCAGATTATTTGAAAGAGAAAGTGAATTAGGGCCAGTGAATTATCGGGTCGCGAAAACATGTTCCATAAATGGTCTGCGGAAATTCTTCACATTCATTTTGAAAACAAATAGAGATTGGAGTAATCATTTTACTTACATTCAGATTAAAGTTATACAGCTCTTAATCTAAGACTTTAATTAATTGACGCTTCTTTATTTTTATAATTCTAGATCTACTCCTTTTCAACCAAAAGCTTTCAGCGGACACGTCTGAGCGTTTATCTACAATGATTTAAATCCAAGGTAAACAATAATGATTTGGTAATGTTATTTTGAAATTGACTTGACATTTTCTTTTTTGTTCCACTCACTATAATCACTTGAAGTTTTTCAATTATTCCTTGATATTAAATTCTGAGATGGTGTATCATGGTCCATGGATTGCAATTTTTATATTAAAGTTTAAAATTTTTGCCAGAATAATGTTCACTTGAGTGTTATATCCGGATAATAATCATTGGGTGTCAGACCTCGAGGGGGTTATAAGAGATTTCTGATCTCGCGACCCTACGCTGGATAAAGTAAAGTAAAGAGTCTTCATACAACTAAACAATTGAGGCCTAGTGAGGAAGAAAGAGATTTAGGTATCGTCATTCCCCCTAACTTCGTAAGGATTTGCAATTTCGACATCACATAAGTAATTGTATCAATCTGGGACATAAGATCTTATGTCCCAGTATCAAGAAAGCAAATAAAATAACTGGATTGGTTAGAAATACCTTCTTTAAACATGTAAATTATAAAGCAATTTCGGAATCTTTATAAAACACTACTACAGAGACATAGATTACAGAGATAATTAAGCAGCTCCTATAAACTCCATTGAAATATCACTCATGCCTATCAAAAAGTGAAAAATTAGGCATTTTGTAGCAAATAGAACTTCATGGATGTACATTTGATCCTTTAATATTATATACCATTTGAAAGGTAAATCTTTTATCTATTGCTGCATGTTCAAATATTGGTAACTTTCAACGCCTTTCACTTAGAAAAACATGGCAGAACATACACTGTACTCACTGAGCCAGTTTTTTTGTCATTTGAATAGTTTTGTAACAAAAATTATTAAGTAGTTCTCTTCAAAAATTGATGTAACATTTATTTAAATGGGAACTGTAAATATTTTTACCTCCAGCCATAGACAAATGCATAAGCTTTCAGAAAATGTATTATTTTAATGATTTTGATATCTGGTTAATAAGTTTTACTTGCTACAAGTTTTAAGTTTAGCGGGCACGCATGATATTTTTACTGGCTAGGAAGTTGCCTATCTCTGTTATCTATGTCTATGTCTCTGACTAATATAACAGTTATAAGACCACACCTTGAATATGGAAATATTATTTGGAGTCCAAGATTTAAAAAAAGATATTAAAGCAGTCGAAAGAGTTCAAAAAAGAGCAACAAAGATGGTTCAATGTATCAGAAATTTATCATATGTAGAAATATTAAAAATTCTGGAAATTCCTACTTTTGCTTACAGAAGATTTAGAGGTGATATCATACAAGTATGGAAATTATTAAACGGGAAGGAAGATATAGATTATAATGTATTTTTTGAAAAAGCACAACTTGATAATCATCACATCAGAGGCAATTCTATGAGGTTGAAAATAAAATCATGTTAAAAGGAAATAAGAAAACATTTCTTCTCATTAAGAGTTAGTACCAGAATGGAATAGATAACATGTTACGTACCAGATAGCCTGTGGTATGTTCACCAACGCTGAATTCGTTAAAAAAATTGGCCCCGCCCCAGGGGGTCATTGATTTTCCCTATATGCATATAGTTAAAACTTAAAAAAGTCTTCTTTTAAAGAACTCAAAGAGCTAGAGCTAAGATATTTAGCATGAAACATGTTCTAATGGGTATCTACCAAGTTTATTCAAATAAAAGCCCTGGGGTCAAAATTGGCCCCGCCCCAGGGGGTCATTGATTTTCCTGATATGTATATAGCACTTTTTAAAACTTAAAAAATCTTCTTTGAAAAAAAACCCACATTATAGCTAGAGTTTAGATATTAAGCATGAAACATCTTCTAGTAAGTGTCTACAAAGTTTGTTCAAATAAAAGCCTTCAAGGGGTCAAAACTGGCCATTGTTTTTTACTATATGTGTACAGTAAAAACTTAAAAATCTTCTTTTAAAAAACCCAATGAGCTAGAGCTTAGATGTTTAGCATGAAACATCTTCTTATGGGTGTCTACCAAGTTTGTTCAAATAAAATCCAATGGGTTAAAATTGGCCCCCGAGGGGGGGGGGGAAGATCAGTGTTTTTCATTATATGTGTGTAGTAAAAACTTAACATCATGAAACATCTTCTAATGGGTGTCTTCCAAGTTTGTTCAAATAAAAGCCCTGGGGTTTATACTGGACCCGCTCCGGGGGGCCTATATACAGGTGAGCGATCTCAGGGCCATCATGTGGCCCTCTTGTTTTACATACAAACATCAAACATGTATATATATAATGTCACTGCATGCAAAGAGATTGGAATTATAAGTAGATAAAATACCAACATTCAAATTTGAATTGAAACATTTCAGACAGATGGAATGATAATTAATTCTTTGTTGTTGAAGAGTATGGGTTAATTGAAACAAAACAACAAAGCACAACATGTCAAGAGGGAAGGAAGATGTTGTGTCTAACAGACCAGTGGGAAGTGATATGGTTGAGGCAGTGTTTTCAGGAATGCTTGACAAGTTGCCTGATAAAGAGTCTTCAGTTGTACGGATATTTCTCAGCTCTACTTTTACTGGTAATAACAAAAAATGAATTTTCTGCCACTTAATTGACTGGTATGGGTCCAAAATGAAGAACAAGGCATGCCATATTATAACTACAATATTTTTGAAAAAAGTGCACAATATTTCAGGACAAGAGTGAGAACATTTGAATTTACATAGTGATTTTGAATAGTGATAGGGCTGTCATTGAAAATTGCTATATTTTTTTATCATTGATTAACAACATTCAATTCAATATTGATACACAATTTGGAATGATATAAGTATGAAATAATTAAAAACCTATTTCCCAATAGCTTGTGATAATGTATTTTCTTTGTATTAATGTCAGAAAAGTCACTTCTTGCTCAAATTGTTTTAGCTATCTTGAACCCTGAATATAATTTTCAGAAGTCAATGAGAAATAATAACAAATGAACTTAAACACGCTTTTTTTACTATATATATGTTGTGTTAGTGATGTTGCTTCCTCTGTACAAACTTTATATATGATATATTCACATTATTTTTTAAACTTGTAACATAATGCTGTTGTTAAATATTGTTTTAGATATGCAAGCTGAGAGGAACTGGTTGATGAAGAATGCTTTCCCACAACTGAGACAGTTTTGTCAAGAGAGAGGTCTTGATTTTCAGGTAAATTGTTTTTAATTTTACTTTGTTTTAAGTAATATGAAAATATAGAATTAAGATGAAGGTTGATGGTTCTACCTGAAATAATGCATGAATGGGGAACCTGAGGGCTTCCTTTACCATTAAAACTGGAAATTAAGTAACGGTTTGACCTGTACTGTATTGATGTGACTTAAAACCCAACAAAGCAATCATAAAATATATTTCAAATTTGTTGCAGTATTTGATGCTGAAAAACCACCTCTTAAAATGTTGGCCCTTTTACAGTTATAAATGTGTCACCTCATCCAGCTTAATTGTTTGATTAAAGCAGCATGTCTCTAGATCCATGGTTATTTTCATAAAAATTTTAAAATATTGAATATTTAATATTGTATTGAAAATCAAAATATTGTAAAGTGAGCAAAAAAGTAATTAACACATTGCAAATCTATGAAAATTAACAATAATGGGTGAAAATGTGCAAAAATATTATATAACCCTTACTGCCATAGTCACACAGTAGAGTTTATGGTGATGACTACTTCAAAATCACTTATTAATTGCATATAACATGTTAGTTACTTCTTGAATTGTGAATTTAATTTTTACTTTTTTTTCATGGTTCACAAGGTTGATTTTCTTGAAATATTTTGATCATCTGGAGGCATGTAGCTTGAAGAAGGAAATTCATGTATTGATAAAGTCACAAAATAACTTACAGGTTATCTTCCTCATACTTCAACATAACTACTGATGTCTGCATTTCTTATTTGTTTAGATTGCAGACATGCGTTGGGGAGTACGTGAAGATGCTTTAGATGATCACAAAACCACTGAACTATGCCTACATGAAATAAAAAATTGTCAGAGGATTTCAAGAGGACCAAATTTTGTGGTTAGAGTTATATTATAAATTGTTTTATCTTAAAAAAAAATACTAGTATGCTTTTATCATTTAGGAAATAGATATCATATGATTTATTGCAGATACTGATTGTATTTAATATATTTTTGCTTGTAAATTTTTTTTTATTAAATTAAGTATATTTCACATATATTATTAAATTTAATATTTTGTGCTTGAAAATTTCTTGTCTTTTAATACCATGATAACTGCGTACCAAAGTTTGTCATATTGAAGGTATTCCTCAGATATTTGTATGCAACTTGTAATACGGCCTGCTGTACAAAGTATTAATTATCTAAAAAATAATCATGATTGTTTGTCTTGAATATTATGTCTTGCAATTTATTACAGAGTTTTATAATATCATGAATTGATTTCATATGTTTCTGAGAGATTGCACATATAAGTGTACATTATGTATCTATTTGCAGGCATTTCTCGGTGACAAGTATGGATTTAGACCTATACCTTCTATTTGCAGGCATTTCTTGGTGACAAGTATGGATTTAGACCTATACCTTCTATTTGCAGGCATTTCTCGGTGACAAGTATGGATTTAGACCTATACCTTCTATTTGCAGGCATTCCTCGGTGACAAGTATGGATTTAGACCTATACCTTCTATTTGCAGGCATTTCTTGGTGACAAGTATGGATTTAGACCTATACCTTCTATTTGCAGGCATTTCTCGGTGACAAGTATGGATTTAGACCTATACCTTCTATTTGCAGGCATTTCTCGGTGACAAGTATGGATTTAGACCTATACCTTCTATTTGCAGGCATTTCTCAGTGACAAGTATGGATTTAGACCTATACCTTCTATTTGCAGGCATTTCTCGGTGACAAGTATGGATTTAGACCTATACCTTCTATTTGCAGGCATTTCTCGGTGACAAGTATGGATTTAGACCTATACCTTCTATTTGCAGGCATTTCTCAGTGACAAGTATGGATTTAGACCTATACCTTCTATTTGCAGGCATTTCTTGGTGACAAGTATGGATTTAGACCTATACCTTCTATTTGCAGGCATTTCTCGGTGACAAGTATGGATTTAGACTTTACCTTCTATTTGCAGGCATTTCTCGGTGACAAGTATGGATTTAGACCTATACCTTTTATTTGCAGGCATTTCTTGGTGACAAGTATGGATTTAGACCTATACCTTCTATTAGCAGGCATTTCTCGGTGACAAGTATGGATTTAGACCTATACCTTTTATTTGCAGGCATTTCTTGGTGACAAGTATGGATTTAGACCTATACCTTCTATTTGCAGGCATTTCTTGGTGACAAGTATGGATTTAGACCTATACCTTCTATTGCAGGCATTTCTCTGTGACAAGTATGGATTTAGACCTATACCTTCTATTTGCAGGCATTTCTCGGTGACAAGTATGGATTTAGACCTATACCTTCTATTTGCAGGCATTTCTTGGTGACAAGTATGGATTTAGACCTATACCTTCTATTTGCAGGCATTTCTCGGTGACAAGTATGGATTTAGACCTATACCTTCTATTTGCAGGCATTTCTCGGTGACAAGTATGGATTTAGAGACCTATACCTTCTATTTGCAGGCATTTCTCGGTGACAAGTATGGATTTAGACCTATACCTTCTATTTGCAGGCATTTCTTGGTGACAAGTATGGATTTAGACCTATACCTTCAGAGATAGAGACCTCAGAGTTCAAACTCCTGAAAAATGCAGCCATGAAACTCGGGCATGATATTGGCCTCCTGCTCACCTGGTACCTTTGTGACTATAACAGGGAACCAGACATGTATACACTGCAGCCAATCAGCACTCAGTATCCACAATATTTTGATCTGACACCAGCCAATTCTGGTGCCAGGCAGCAGGTAAAGAGTTGTTAAATATCATACAGTTTTAGATAATTGTTGTGCACATACATTAAACGCCCATTATGCCTCAGAAATGAAATAATTTTTATCATTCGAAAACATTTTTATTTTTGGTATCTTGTTACAGTTTTCAAAGAACTACCACATTTGCCATATACATGAACTATTTGTTTCTTCTTTTGCTCTGTTGGCAGCTGGTATAATTATAGTGTCATAGGGTTCAAAACCGGGACTCTCAGAATACCCTACCACGGCTCTACCAATTGAGCTATCCGGCCCCTTACACATCATCTCCCCTAAATAGTGAACAGTTCCTAACCGCGACATACTCTCCTGCTATATTGAAATTCGTCCTGGAATTTCACAGAGATACAGATCAATGTGAATTAAACTCTGACCTATATTCAGTCACGGTTTCCGGATGGGCACCAAATGTCACAGGTTGAGAATAATGTGCAGCCTGACAGGGACTCGAACCCGGGACCCTCGGAATACCGCACCACGACTCTACTGACTGAGTTATTCAGCTGCTAAATAGTGAACAGTTCTGAACTGTGATAATAGTGTATCACTATTTTGTATGGAAGTCAAAATACTATTTTGTTTACATTTTGCTACCTTAATGACACATTACTGCATGCTCAGTGCTATTTTTCTTCAGTTGTTAGACATCTAATATGCTTTAAATATTGTTAAACACATGTTTGACATTTCAAGGGAATTGAAAAAAAAAAATATATCTGAGACATGATGTGCCTTTAAGAGCAAAAAAAAAGTTTAAGTTTTTAAACCACCAATATGTGAAAGGTATTTGCTGTGAATTCTTGAAACTTCGTTCAAAATGCTCTAATGTATTCTGCTTGCCATATCACCATTTTAAATAAGTCACAGATTTTTATTTCAAAATAATTATACTCTTAGGTATGGGGAATTTATAAGTAACACAGCTTTCCTGATAGTAGAACCTGTCAATCAATTGTATATATAATTTTAAGCAAAATTACATGCAGGATATATTTTTTTAGTTATTTGTCTTGTAAAGAATTCAGATAACAATTGACAATTTGTTATTTACTTGTATAATGTATTTTAGGCACAGAGAGAATGGTGGGGTATAGTAGATAAATTAAGTACTCTTCTACAAGAATCTGCTGGTCGTTTATATCAGGAAGGCAAGATTTCTGAGCAAAACAAACACAAATATTTTCAGTCTGGTAGGTATCTATTTAAGTTTATTAGAAGTCTTGTTTTTTTCGAAGCCATACAAATATGCATTCAATTTGAATAACAGACACATTTATGTTGATGTATATTTTAGTTTTTCTTTTTACTTGTTATAAGTCAAGTTAGATTTTTCTAGTTTCAAAATGGGGCTTGACACCAGGTAAATCTGCAAATTCATCATTTCCACAGATAATTGAAGCCAATAAAGTGATCTAAAGTTTTAACAACCAGAATTGTAAACTTTGAAATGTGAAGAACTGATGCTTTACATCATCTGATAAGTAAAATAATCAAATCTGTCTACATGTTCTTCTGAAGATAAGTTCAAAATTGAGCATAGTTTGTTTGGTGTATACTATTGTTATCATCTTGATTGCATAACAATTCAATTCAATATTTCATTCGGCAAAAATATTTAAATGTTCATCAATAATACAACATATATACAATGGTCGTAGTGTTATAATCACAGTGTTATATCATATACATGGTAAGTTTTTTTTTCAATTTTCAGTTACAGAAAGTGAGGTGTATTCTGGGATATTGTCAGTAGATGATATAGAAGACAAAGTGCTGTGTTTCGAAAGAACTTTCATTGACTTGAACCTGAAGGACAGTTTAGCAAGTATGTTTGTAATATACTTAGTCATTTAGTATTTAAAAAGGCTGATAGTATAGAATGGATTTATATAACGTGTCAAAGACAATATGTTTATACCTCTTACATTAAAATAGCAATTTAAACAGTTTCAACAGGTTTAATGATGACATTAGAGCTTTTCTGGTGATAAAAGGAAGTCCTTGGGTTTCAATTTAGGCATTTATTTTTGGTATTGACATACAGCTTAGTAAAATAGCCATCTTAAACAACACTACATTTTGTAATATTATATATTGTTTTGAAAAACAGTAATGATGAAAAAAGATTACTATCCAACTAGCTTACGGAAAGTCGGTGGTTTTATTTTGGTGCCCGTTTGTGCTTGAAATAATGCATGGAAGGGCAGGTGAGGTCTTCCTCCACCAGTAAAGCTGTTGCCATATAACCTATACTGTGTTGGTGCGATGTAACTTAACCGATCAAAAAGTAGAATAAAAAAAAGTTAAAAAAATAATCTTATAATGTGAAAAAAAAATAAGACAAAAGGAATTGAACCTATTTTGTTTAATAATCTAGTTCGGTTCACTGATATGATAGAGGGTGCCAGGGACCATGAAGCAGACGAGTTACGTGAAAATCTACGCATGAAGAAAATTCCCGCCAAAATGAGCCCTGCTAGTCTGTACAGATATAACTTACAATGGGATAGAATTGGTGTAAATATATACAAGAATCAAGAACATATCAGGTACAGTATTCTTAAAGACATCTTGGAACACATTTACTGCTGAGGCCTCGTTTTTTTGGCTTAATTAGCTACAAAAAGAGGAATAAAAAATTGAGTTGAAAGAACAGTTTCAAGCTAAGTAAAATTTATAGGATTTTTGTCATTTAATTAATAATTACATGTATATTTCATTATGATAACTTAATTGCTAACTTATTGTGTATCATGAGACCATTTAATCTTAATTTTTTTGAACTGAAAATTTGATTGTATTAGAGTTATTATTCAACAAAGAAAATAATTTATTTCAAATTCATGACCATGTACATTTAGTCACGGATGTCAGTTTGCCCATGTCATGATGTTTTTACCGATTGTTTTCCTTCAGTTACATTCAACAGTTTGGGAGTGACTTCATTACTAACATACAGAAGATGATTACAACTTCTACACAAGTAGACACATCCTCTGGTTATCGATCCCCACTCTTTGAAGAAGTGTTACATCATCTTCATTTCTGCTTGACCAAATGCGAATATTTCTGTGGCAGAGAAAACATGTTAAAGAACATTCATCAAAAGATTAAAATTCTACACAAAGAGGACAAAGTAAATGAGGGAAATGAGAAAGACATGGATACAAATGAAGATGAAGATGTAATGAAAGAGAATGAGAGCGCTGAAAGAAAAGAAATGCAAGCAAATACGAGTGAGCTTGGTGTGAAATTAACTATGGGCGATGTACTCAATGACCTTGAATCTGATCCAAATTTCAATCTTCGAGACAAACTGACCAGACTACCGGAGATAACAGAATACTCCAAACCTCTAATTGTGCATGGAAAGTCAGGCTCTGGGAAAACTGCACTTATGGCAAAAGCAGCAGAAATGACAAAAACATGGTTTCCTAAATCTGTTTTAATGATACGCTTTCTTGGCACATCAACAATGTCTACCACCATCAGAGGAGTGATTGCAAGTCTTTGCTCTCAGATATGCGAGATATATAATATACAGAAACATACAGGAATAGATATTGAGTCAGATTACCAGTTCCTTGTGCAATACTTTGTAGCTCTTTTATGGAAAATTGATACAAAAGAGAAAGATCTGGTGATTATTTTGGATTCTATAGATCAGCTTAGCCAAACAGATCATGCCCATATGTTTAACTGGCTACCTCACAGACTTCCGGCCAATGTACACATGATTCTATCTGTGGTTAGCGACAGACTTGATATCCTTAACAACGTGCGTCTGCTGTTTTCTGATCCGGAGCAATACGTGGAAATCACTCCGCTTGAAAGTGAAGTTGCTACTGACATTATCACAACTTTCTGCAACAAAGCACAGCGTCATCTATCGAAAAAGCAGAAAAATCTAATTTTAGATCATTTTGCTAAAAATGGCCAACCTTTGTATCTGAAGTTGTTGGTTGACATGTCTTTATCATGGAAGTCTTATACTCAGGTTGATGAAACTGCACTTGGAGTGACAGTAAAAGAGGCAATAAACCATCTGTTTGACAACTTAGAAAAGAATCATGGTGCAGAAATTGTTAAGAAAAGCATGGGTATGATTTCCTTTCCTCTTTTTTTTTTTTCCTCTGTCGTTTTTTGGTGCAGACTGAATTTCTGTGTAAGACCACACGATTTTAATCATTGCTGATTTAATCTGATCTTCTCTTTCTATCTTTGAAATGAAAATGCTGAACATAACTTTCTTGATTGTTAGTTTAGTTCTGTATGATATTGCATCAATGTTTACACTTTAAACAAATATGTTACCTGGTGATTATGTTACAGGATATCTGTGTGCAGCAAAGGATGGTCTGACTGAGGCAGAGATGGAAGATCTACTCTCATTGGATGATGAGGTGAACTATCTTTACTATTCATGGACAGCTAAAATGCTAAAAATGATTTTGATACAGTGTATCAAAGACTGTATCAAAATCTATATATTATTAAGATATGAAGTTGAAATGAAATGTTAACAACATTAAAGAAATCAATATCATAAAAGTGTGTACAGCATTAAAAGGTATCTGTGACATTAAAGATATTTATGATAATGACAATGTTGGTGACATTAAAGATATTTATGACAGTAAAAATCACTTACACATTGATGATTTTTATGCCCCCACAATGTGGGAGCATATAGCGTTGCACTTGTCCGTCCGTCCGTCAGTCCGTCCGTCCGTCCGTACGTCCCGAAATCTTGTGAACGCAACTCCTCTTAAACCGGATGGCAGATTTTGCTTAAACTTACAGGGATGAACAACCTTAATGTGTAGATGGTAGTAAAGGAAGGAATTTTCGCTGCGACAAAATTTAACAAGAATTATGGCCCTTTGTTGATTTTTTCACTAGATACTATGTAGAAATTTTGTGAACGCAACTCCTCTTAAACCGGATGGCAGATTTTGCTTAAACTTACAGGGATGAACAACCTTAATGTGTAGATGGCAGTAAAGGAAGGAATTTTTGCTGCGACAAATTTAACAGAATATGGCCCTTTGTTGATTTTTTCAACTATATACTATGTAGAAATTTTGTGAACGCAACTCCTCTTAAACCGGATAGCAGATTTTGCTTAAACTTACAGGGATGAACAACCTTAATGTGTAGATGGTAGTAAAGGAAGGAATTTTTGCTGCAACCAAATTTTACAGAATTATGGCCCTTTGTTGATTTTTTCACTATATACTTTGTAGAAATTTTGTGAATGCAACTCCTCTTAAACCGGATGGCAGATTTTGCTTAAACTTCCAGGGATGAACAACCTTAATGTGTAGATGACAGTAAAGGAAGGAATTTTTGTTGCAACCAAATTTATCAGAATTATGGCCCTTTGTTGATTTTTTCATTATATACTATGTAGAAATTTTGTGAACGCAACTCCTCTTAAACCGGATGGCAGATTTTGCTTAAACTTCCAGGGATGAACAACCTTAATGTGTAGATGGTAGTAAAGGAAGGAATTTTTGCTGCGACCAAATTTAACAGCATTATGGCCCTTTGTTGATTTTTAGTTTTCAACTTGTGGCACATGTAGTCCAAAAAATATTTGACCTAGAGTCATAAGATTGACAGAACAGTGGCGTGTGGGGGCATCCGTGTCCTATGGACACATTTCTAGTTAAGATATCATTTAAGTCAGTGAGAGCCTCAGTCTGGTGAAAAAAGGCAAGACTACAATTAAACACATACAGTTAAATACCTCAGCCTTAAGGATTCAGACATTATTAATGTTTTTGTTACTTACATTTGTAGGTTCTACAAGATACATACATCTATCACCTACCACCAGATCCGGAAGTTATACGTCTGCCACCGTTGCTATGGAGACGTGTAGAGTATGATATCAGTGAATATGTTGTGGAGCGTCAGTCAGGTGCGAAGACAGTTGTCACCTGGTATCATAGACAGTTTGATGAAGCGACTACAGAGAGATATTTGACAGAAGATGTTAGGAAAAGATTTCATCAAGGATTAGCTGAATATTTTCAGGTGAGCATTATTTAAGGTTATATCATATATCCACTGTTGATATAACACTAGAATGTGTATAATATATATATATTCAGTCAAACCTGTTATCAAAGTCAGTCCAAGGGAGAGGCCACACATTTCCATTAAAGACAAGTGGTCTTTATTTAGAGGTAACATTGTTCTTTCTAATCAATGAACGGTTGTCTCAGAGTGGACATTATAAACATGGTGATTGTTATTCAGAGGTGGTTTTAAACACAGGTTTGAAGGTACCTAGATGTTATGATGGCACCTGGAGATAAGTGCCAAAATATCTTTCTATCAGATCAGTTGCATGTGGTTCCATTTTGTCATAGTGACTGTTGTGAACATTTATAATTGTGTATTGTTGTTTTTTTTTTTAAAGTAACTGCATTAATGTTTTATCTAAACACTTTACTAATCAATTAATGGGCTGTCTATTAGATGCGAAAAAAAGACCACTTATCTAGTTGGTAGTTGCTTGTCCCGTTATAATATGTCCCTTATATGAATTTGACTCATTTTCAAGTAATAGACTCATTTTAAAGTAATAGACTCATTTTAAAGTAATAGACTCATTTTCATGTAACAGATCTCCTTTTTGTTACAAAAACAATACTGAATGTACATTCAGCAGGAAATGAAAATTTATAAAAAAATAAACATTGTGTAAATTTGCAGGGTATCTGGAGTGACAAGTGTAAACCTTTGCAGCTGACAAAAGGTAAGAAAGGCAGTTACCCTGTTGCTATGAGACAGGTCCCAGCTCAGCCAATCAAGTTTGGTCCCAACTTATATAACACCCGCAAGCTCAATGAACTGCCATACCAACTTATACACAGTGATCAGTTACAGAAAGCACTCGCTGACCTTTTCATTGACCCTGATTGGCTGTATGCCAAATGTTGTACAATGACCTTGACCTCATTAATGGAGGATTTCAGACTAGCAGAAGAGAAATGTGTGGTAAATATAGACAGGAGGAAAGTAGAAATGTTGACAGCACAGAAAGACGGGAAAAGAGAGGATCCCAGTGAAGTTGCTAGGCTAAAAATTGATGAAGAGGTTTTTCAAGCTATCAAACTTGTGACCAGGATGGTCCTTCTTGCTGCTGATAATATTAGGAAAGATCCTGTCAATTTGCCTCTTATGGTAAGAGTTATCTTAATGGTTTAGGTGTCTGTCTTGTAACCCTAAGATCATAGGTAAGAGCTTTACCTGGTCATGATAAAGCACCAGTACTGGATAGGTCGAAGAAGCCTGCTTCATGGTAATTGATACAAGTAACGCCAGAGCTTGTGTCATAATTATGTATATATAAATATACTTAAAGATTTACTCTGGTATTGACTTAAGTTTTATGAGAGATTGTACTTCAAAAGGTAAACTCTATGTTCATTCTGAACCAACTGAGCTATAAATATGAAAAATCAGTAGCTTAATTTTGTCATTCTAGCTTTATTTTCTGTGGAATATAGATCTTGTTATCTCTCTGATGCAAATACATATATACATGCAGTTTTGAAATGTATGTCTCCAGTTGTTGTCGCAGCTAGGACCAGACTATAGAGGCAGTGTATATATTGAGAAACTAGTGCAGGGCTGTGAGAAATGGTGTAAAGAAAGCAGTTTTCCATTACTTGTACCTAGCAGGGAGTGTATGATGAGACCTGAAGGAAATCTTCTCTATACCATCAATGTTGATGTGGCCACTACAGGAGGTATGCATGTATACAATAAAACACTACATTTTTGTGATGTTTTACTCTTTCAAAACATATTTATATTCTGCAGATGTTTATAAATTCAAAATTCCACCATTAGCATGATTAAATGTTGAATTCTGCTTAAGCCAGTGCTAGGGGATATGGACAGTAACTTCCACTTTCCAGTACCAACATGAACAGACTCAATCAAACTGAGTCTACCACATTTTAAATTTTGTTGTTTTGGGCATTCTTTAGGGGTTCTGTTTTACTCTATTTCTATAACTTTAGTTTGTTGCCAATTGAAAAAATTACAAAGTAGTGGGCACTTTCAAATTCGTTAAGACTTAACTAAATTGTATATAAAGGAACAAGATTACATGTATGTCATTCATTTCGACTATACAATTTGTTTAATTTGTAAAATACTATAAATGTATGTTTTATGCGATACTTATATAGATTATGATCAGATATATGTACAATGTGTATTGCTAGAATGTTTGATCAAAGAGATTATTGTTTATATGGTTCAATATGAACAGTTTTAATCTTATACAATTGTCTGTACATAGCTAGAGAGACTTCAGCAAACAGGTTTTATCATACTGCTAGACCTGTTGCACAACGTCAAAATTAAAACGACATATAAAGTAATGGAAGCCAGAACTATCTGTACATAGCCATATTACATGTCTAAAGTCCTTATAAATAATATTTTATTATAATGCTGCATAATTGTTAAGCAGCCATGTACTGTAATGTAAAATCAAATTGCCAAATGAAAATTCATATTATACATACACGTATGTTGCAGTGTAATATGATATATTATTTCAGAGACAAGAGATAAATATTATAACGGTACCTATCTACGTGAAGACACCATGCAGTTGTATGTTGTCACACAACATGGTGCGAAGCCTGATCAGATTTGTATATTTGATCTCCATGACAACGGTTCTTGTATAACAACAGATGATGTCAATGTATATTTGAGAAACGTCAAATTTGTTGGAGAGAATAGGTACACACATATTTTTATGCTCCGGAAGGGAGGCATAACATAATCGCACCGTCTGTCTGTCCGTCTGTGCTCCCCCACTTCATTCGTGTCCGGACTGTAACTTTGTCATACATTGAGGGATTTTGAAATAACTTGGCACAAATGTCTACCACATCAAGACGATGTGTCATGTCCAAGAACCATTTCCCTACCTCAAAGGTCAAGGTCACTCTATCATATGAAGTTTATTATTATCGCAATTAGAGTAAATAGGTACACACATTCGTGTCTGGACTGTAACTTTGTCATACATTGAATGATTTTAAAATAACTAGGCATAAATGTCTACAAGATCAAGACGATGTGTTGCGTCCAATAATCACGTCCCTACCTCAAAGGTCAAGGTCACACTACCATTTTGAAGTTCACTTTATCACAATTAGAGTTTATAGGTACACACATTCATGTCTGGGCTGTAACTTTGTCATGCATCAATGGATTTTAAAAAAACTAGGCATAAATGTCTACCACATCAAGACAACATGTCCTGTCAAAGACCCATGTCCACCTTCAAGGTCAAGGTCACACTTATAATTTGAAGGTACTCATTCTCTCGAGAAGAGTTTGAAGATAGACATTCATTTCCGGACTGTAACTTTGTCACGCATTGAGGGATTTTGAAATAACTTGGCACAAATGTCTACCACATCAAGACAATGTGTCTCGGCTAAGGCTCATGTCCATCTGTCTCCACTTACACAATAAGCATGTCCAGACTGTAACTTTGTCATGCATTGAGGGATTTTAAAATAATTTAGCACAAATGTCTAGATCATAACAACATTTTGTTGCATCCAGGAATCATGTCCCTTCTTCAAAGGTCAAGGTCACACATATATTTTGAAGGTTTATGCTATCACAATTAGAGATTACAGGTACAATAATACAAAGAACAATATTCAGCAATTGCTTACTTTCATTCTCTTTTCTTTTCATAATACCTGCATGCTTAAGAAACTTTTTCAGGGGCATTCGTCACTTGGGTGACAGCTCTTGTTTTCATATATGTAATTCAACAGCGCTGTAGTGATTTAGTCATTTAAACCATTCTGGTTATTTACACGTCTTACTATAATAAGGTCAGTTTCTCAAAAACTGTCAAAGTAAATCACTTTATACTTGTAAAACTCATGCAATTTTTAGCTCACCTGAGCAATGCTCAGGGTGGGCTATTGTGATGGCCCTGTGTCTGTCGTGCGTCGTCGTGCGTCGTCAACTTTTAACATAATCAACATCTCCTCTGAAACCAATGGCCAGAAAAGGATTTCAAAAAACACAAAATTAAAAAATCTTCTTGTCTGAAAGTACATGGGCCAGAGCTTTGATTTTTGGTATATGGTATCATCTATGGGTCCTCTACCAAAGTTGTTCAAATTTTGTCCCTAGTGTCAAAATTGGCCACGCCCCGGGGGGTCATAGGTTTTTCCTTATATGTATATAGTAAAATCTAAAAAAATCTTCTTCTCTGATTTGGCAAAGGCTACAGATTAGATATTTGGCATGAAACATTGTGTGGTAGACCTCTACCAAGATTCTTCAAATAATGGCCCTCGGGTCAAAATTGGCCTCGCCCTCGGGGGTCATTGATTTTCATTATATACATACATACATGTATAGTGAAAACTTGAAAAATCTTCTGGTCTGAAAGTAAATGGCCTAGAGCTTTGATATTTGGTCTATGGTATCATCTATAGGTCCAAAACCAAAGTTGTTCAAATTTTGTTCCTAGAATTAAAATGGGTCCCGCCCTGGGGGGTCATAGGTTTTTCCTTATATGTATATTGTAAAACCTAAAAAAAATCTACTTCTCTGAATTTGTAAAGGCTACAGGTTAGATATTTGGCTGGAAACATCTTCTAGTGAGTGTCTACCAAGTTTGTTCAAATAAAAGCCCTAGGGTCAAAATTGGCCCCACCCCAGGGGGTCTTTGATTTTCCCTACATGCATATAGTAAAAACTTAAAACATCTTCTTTTAAATAACACAAAGAGCTAGAGCTAAGATATTTAGCATGAAACATGTTCTAATGGTTGTCTACCAAGTTTGTTCAAATAAAAGCCCTGGGGTCAAAATTGGCCCCGCCCCAGGGGGTCTTTGATTTTCCCTATATGCATATAGTAAAAACTTAAAAAAATCTTCTTTTAAATAACTGAAAGAGCTAGAGCTAAGATATTTAGCATGAAACATGTTCTAATGGTTGTCTACCAAGTTTGTTCAAATAAAAGCCCTGGGGTCAAAATTGGCCCCGCCCCAGGGGGTCTTTGATTTTCCCTATATGCATATAGTAAAAACTTAAAAAAATCTTCTTTTAAATAACTGAAAGAGCCAGAGCTAAGATATTTAGCATGAAACATCTTTTAATGGGTGTCTACCAAGTTTGTTCAAATAAAAGCCCTGGGGTCAAAATTGGCTCCGCCCAAGGGGTCATTGATTTTCCCTATATATATAGAGTAAAAACTTAAAAATCTTCTTTTAAAGAACCCAAAGAGCTAGAGCTAGTTATTTTGCATGAAACATCTTCCAATGGGTGTCTTCCAAGTTTGTTCAAATAAAAGCCCTGGGGTCAAAATTGGCCCCGCCCCAGGGGGTCATTGATTTTCTCTATATGCATATAGTAAAAACTTAAAAATCTTCTTTTAAAGAACCCAAAGAGCTAGAGCTAAGATATTTAGCATGAAACATGTTCTAATGGATGTCTACAAAGTTTGTTCAAATAAAAGCCTGGGGTCAAAATTGGCCCCACCCGGGAGTTATTTATTTTCCTTATAATTATGTGTATAGCAAAAACTTAAAAAATCTTCTTTGAAAAAACTCAAATAGCTAGAGTTTAGATATTAAGCATGAAGCATCTTCTAGTGAGTGTCTACAAAGTTTGTTCAAATAAAAGCCCTGGGGTCAAAATTGGCCCCGCTCTGGGGGACATTGATTTTCTTTATATGTGTTTAAGCAAAGACTTAAAAATCTTCTTTGAAAAAAACCCGAATAGCTAGAGTTTAGATATTAAGCATGAAACATTTTCTAGTATGTGGGGGTCAAAACTGGCCCTACCCCAGGGGTGTCATTGTTTTTAACTATATGTTTAAAGAAAAAACTTTAAAAATCTTCTTTTGAAAAACCCAACGAGCTTCCCGTCTGTAGATTTTCCACAGTCTTTCTGGAAAAACTCTGGAAAATAACTGATTTTCCATGAATTTCCATGAATTTTCATGGGAACAAGCTTTTTTCCACAGTATTTACAGAGTACTCTGGAACAATTTTCATGGAGAACTCTGGAACTTGACTTTTTCATCAAAGAAATAACCATGAAACAGTTCTGGAAACTCTGGAAAGTTAACACTTAGACAATTTTCAAGGAGTTTTACTCTGGAAAACACTTAGTCATTTTTGAGAAAGTTTTGGACTTAGGAAATTTTCATTTGATTTCTGCATTTACATATACTTCACTTAATACATTTAACTTTAATATTTTTTCCTAAGTAGGCATAAATAGTCTTTTTAATATAAGACAGTTTTCTGGTTTTAAGACATAATGAAAATAAAGACAATTTAAAATATGGCATTGACACAATTGTAAATTGTTGAAACAGCAAGAACAAATGAATTTAATTACTTAGCATTGAGATTAGTCATACATGTGTACTCATTGTAATTAAAAGTAGCAGTTAGCAAAATAAACACTTATAGTTAAACAAAATGAAACCGTTATAAGCCCTTCAAGAGCTCAACTGTTTCTTTTTTTATTGCAAAAAAAAAAAAAAAAAAAAAAAAAATAAAATAAAAAAAAACATGCAACTCCATTGCCACACTTTGGCATTGAAAATGCATTAAGGTATTTTTTCATTTAACTCTCATTATTTTCAAGGTCTCTCATATCAAGCCTCAGATCTGAGTGGCTCATTATTATTATATATTACCCTCAGTTAGAAAAAATAAATACACAATTAAAGAGAAACACTAAGTTAAATTTAAGAACAAATGTAATTGTTATGCACTTACAAAATGTATGTTTCTTTATAAATTGATGATAAATTTATTATGTATCTCTATTGAAGTATATATTCATCCTGTGTAGAAGTAACTTATGTATAGTGATTAATTTCTGGAACATTCAAATCAGCATCAGCCACAATGTAAATATTTATGACCCCTCAAGTGGAACCCACTGTTTTCATAAACACCAAAGTTAAACTCACCTATCTGATATAAGAGAATAGAAAGAGGTAAAGCAGGTTTACAACATACTATATTACACTGTAGTTCCCAAGTAACTTAATACCCTTGCAGAACAAATCACAGGTCAGAACACTCCTTCCAGGCGGGTCATTTGAACAGAAGCATTGAAAGATAATGTTTATTAGTGCCTAACTGCTTAAAAGTTATAACTTGAAAAATTATGTTTGAGCATTGGATATTAAAATCAAATGAGTTTAAACTGGACAAATTTACAAAAGTTTTCTGAAAATATGAACTTTTAAACATGTGTATTTCATGATTCAGTTAAAATGGAGGGAACTACATGTATATATAACCATTTCTAACAGTAAGTACAAATGTATTTTTATTTTTTAACACTTATTATTTTAGTTTTTTCAAACTTTCTTTGCAAGTATACACTGTTTTAGTGATTGTATTTCTACATACATGTAATTTTTCAATATTAATAGTTAACAAAATCTTTTTCATTTTTAAATAATGGCGGGAAATTTTAAATCAGAGATTATAATTTTCCATTCAAAATATTTTTGAAACAGATTCCATATCAAGCAATGAATTTCCAAATTCACATTTAATAAAATTCATATGCCTTAATTGTAATTTCTTGTTACTCATGTACATATGTTTATTTTTTCAACATATTAGGTTGCAAACTTTCAAGTCTTGGAGTCACATGAGATGTTTCCTCTCAAAGGATATCAGATGAGGGAAAAGTGATAAATGTACTGTTGAATACAGAATGCTTACAGAACTATCCTGGTAATGATTTAGTTTGTTCTGTTGAAAAAAGTCAAAGTAACATGTTTTCATATAAATGCACGCTATTTTCCAAACACTGAACAAAATGTTGTTCTTCATGTTTTATGCATATATTATTGTTAGAACACATCTCTATTCTGACTCCACTGAACACATCTCAAACTTTCAGTGGTAACTAAGTACTTGTGAAGATCATTGAGTAATTTAAACTGCCATTACATAAAGTTGTCATTACATAGATATAGGAAAAGCAGGGAAATAATTGACACAAGTTTATCATAATGTTGATTTTGACCAAAAAAAATTATTTTCATCAAAGCATGGTATTTACTTGATAACTCTGTGCTGATGTTCTGATTGAAAGTTTTCCATCTTAACTTTTTTCACCCTTTCATGTTTTTTATCAATCCTGTTTAAACAATACTAATTATATTGACATTGTGCATATAACACAAGTACATGTATTTATATACAATTAATTCATATTTTTCAGTATCCATCAGAGAGGTCACACCACAAGTCAAGAAGATGTTGCATCATGTGAAGTGAAGGATATATACATGTGTACTAGATGGATGTTAAATTACATTTGTTTGAATAAAATTCTCTGACTTAGAAATAATTGTGAAATGTGCAAATTACTATATGTGTTTGAATTCTTGACGACTAGAGTGCTTTTTTGGATTTGCTAATAAAAACATATTAAATGCAAATTAAAAGGTCATTTGATTTTAGTATGCAACCATCATTTCAGTAATCCCAAAATGTTCCAGAGTGAATTCCATAGTATTTCCAGAATTATTTCAAGGCTAATGGCATCTTACCCCATATCCTATTTTTAACTGCGGAACTTTCTTCACAGCGGCTCCGGAACATTTTCCAGAGTAACTCCGGAACATTTTCCAGAGTAACTCCGGAACATTTTCCAGAGTCACTCTGGAACATTTTTTCCGGAGTAGAATGTCATTTTAGCAGAACAATTTCCAGAGTTGCTTTGAAGACTCCGGAACATTTTCATGGAAAACTCCGGAAAAGTTTTATGAAAAAAGCTCTGGAAATTCATGGAGAAAGTACATGAAAATTCGCGATTTCTTTTTCAGTTTTCTTTGAACAACTCCGGAAAACTAGTCCGAATTATCCAGAGTTGGCAATTTCCATGAAAATTCCGGAAGTTTTCATGGAAATTCATGGAAAATGTACGGACTAAGACCTTAGATGTTTAGCATGAAACATCTTCTAATGGTTGTCTGCCAAGTTTGTTCAAATAAAAGCCCTGCCCGATTTAAACTGGCTCTGCTCCAGGGGCCTATATACAGGTGAGCGACTTCGGGCCATCATGGCCCTCTTGTTTAATTTGCAAGTAACGTAATCATTTTTTTCTCAGTTACGTCCCTTTTATGACTTTGAATTTCAAGGTGAAATCTTTTGTTGTTTCTCAAAAACTGTCAAAGATATTTACTTTAAACATGGAGTACTTACTCACTTTCAAACTTGAGATGCATAAGGGGCAGATAATATTGAATGCCATTTTGCTTTGCATATATCATACTTTATTGCACTCAACAATCCTATCCCTTCAGAGGGTATTAGAATGTAAGATAAATAAAGACTGTTGTATTTTCTTCAGGTATTTACTACTTGATGTGTACACAAAAAAGGATCCATATGATCCAGAATCTGAGGAAAGGTTGTATGAATCATCATCTGCCACACCAGTGACCTTTGACCCCAAACCAAACTGTATTGCAGTGTCCAACAGCGGTAGGATTATAGCATGTTCAACAGGTAGATTTTTGTTCAAATACCAACATTTGTTATGTAAAGCAAATTTTATGGTATCATTTTCTAATATCAGGAAAAGGAAGTTAAGTGACATTTTTAACACATAATAATTTAGTCAGATCAAAGTTTCTGCTAATGTAATGTTCATAATGCTTCAATTTCTTGCTGAACCTTTACCACCCTAAATATCATAAATGGACTTGTCCATCTTTCAGTCTTGACAAAACCATTCATCATTTTGAGGTAAATTTTTAAAATATGCACTGACTAAGTGTTGGACAGTGCAGACCATGATCAGATGGCACAGTCACATGGGTAGAATCTGTTGCCACCAGTAGGCTAAGGTTTCAGAAAGAGTGCTTACATTAGGCCCTAAGTGATCTGAAGGTTTTGTTTAAATGTATGTTAAATGTTCACAATATAAGTTTCTTATAATGATTCTATGTTGTCATTGTTTTCTTCAGGAAATGAGATAACTTTATACAAAAGAGATAAGAACTCCAAACTTCAATCATTCTTTACTGCCAAGCTTCATGAAAAAGATGTGACTGCAATGATTATGTCCCCTGATGAAAATTTCCTTGTATCAACAGATAAAGTGGAATCAACATATTTTGGTGGTGGGAAAGACAGTACCATTTGTGTATTTGACTTGAAAACAAAGAAAAAAATGTATGACATAGACACTTCAATAGATGTTAATAGGTGCACATTGATTACTGGTAAAAATCTTCTTGTTACAAAAAAATCGGGCTACAAGCTGGGAGGGACTCTTGTCATTTATGACCTGGTAGAAGGAAAGATGAAGCATGAGATTGCCATAAATGAAACATACAGTATTGAAAGGTGGTTGCTCCATCCGTCAGAAGAGTATGTCTTTATTTTCTACCAAGATACTGGAGTTATAAATGGGATAGAAAATAAATATCCTGAATTTGTAAACATTGGTTCTGGAAGGAGGTGTGGGAAGTCTCCAGAAGTGTATAAAGGTCCTCATTCTGGAGGTCAGGTGTTCGGATTTAATGATCTGTACTATGCTATTTGTTATTGGAACGATAATAAAGTCACTATTCTTTATGCAGGTATTATGAATATTTTTGTGTTAGTAGAACATGTATTGCCTTTATACTGGTATTAAGAATCAAGAACCAAATTCATATTGCAAAATAAATCCAAAGATGCTCTTATAATGATCTTGATAGGTAAAGGTGATGAGGGGTGTCATGAAATTTCAATTTTTATAATTAAATGCAGTTTTAAGCATTATCAGAATACATTAAAGTGTTTATGCCTGATGTAATTATCTTAATTTAAGACGGTCTATCATGTGTTTTGTTTTTGTATTTAACATTTACTTTTATTATACCCCCGCACAACAAAGTTGTAAGGGGGGTATACTGGAATCAGCTTGTCCGTCCGGCCGTCGCCCCGTCCGGCCGTCTGGCCTTCTGGCCGTCCGTCAGTTTTTCCTTGTCTGCCCAATAACTTAAGATTCCTTTGACCCACAGTCTTCATATTTGGTATTTAGATTGGTCATGGTAAGTAGATGTTCCCTATTGATTTTGAGGTCACTGGGTCAAAGGTCAAGGTCACAGGGGCCTTGACTTCAAAAAGCTTGTCCCCCCAATAACTTAAGATTCCTTTGACCCACAGTGTTCATATTTGGTATTTAGATTGGTCATGGTTAGTAGATGATCCCAATTGATTTTGAGGTCACTGGATCAAAGGTCAAGGTCACAGGGGCCTTGACTTCAAGAAGCTTGTCCGCCTAATAACTTAAGTTTCCTTTGACCCACAGTGTTCATATTTGGTTTTTAGATTGGTCATGGTTAGTTGATGATCCCTATTGATTTTGAGGTCACTGGGTCAAGGGTCAAGGTAACAGGGGCCTTGACTTCTAAAAGCTTGTCCGCCCAATAGCTTAAGATTCCTTTGACCCACAGTCTTGATAATTGTTATTTAGATTGATCATGGTTAGTAGATGATCCCTATTGATTTTGAGGTCACTGGGTCAAAGGTCAAGGTCACAGGGGCCTTGACTAAAAAAAAGCTTGTCCGCTCAATTGCTTAAGAATGCTTTGGTCAACATTCTTCATATTTAGTATTGAGGTTATTTATAACTAGTAGATGACCCCTTTTGATTTTAAGGTGACTATGTCAAAAGTCAAGGTCACAGGGATTTTAATATAATAAGCTTGTCTGCTCAAATGCTTAAGAATGCCTGTCCGCAGTGTATTGATTTTCACATTTTAAGCATGTAGAATACATAACTTAGCAATGCACTGGGTAAGTAACCTCAGATTTGGCAGGGAGGTTTTCCTTGAGCTTTAAATGGCCACTGTTGATTCTGACAAAGTGGTATGCGGGGGTATTCACGCCATGGCAGTGGCAGTTCTAGTTTTTTTTGTATTAAACATTTACTTTTATTTTAGTCAAAGATTTTGTCAATGTTAGGTGGAATGTGCTGTATTATAATCTAATTAATTAAAATCACCATCTTTTGTTTGACTTTGCTGATTACATTTTCATTTCTAATTACTGTTAAGTAAGTACTGACATTTAATTTCATGTTAATTTAAGTTCCTGAATATCCCCCATGACATTACAAATGTTTTGTTTTTATTTGTTGATATTTTATCAACTTGTATTATCTATTGCTACACTTTCTATTTGTTCTACTTTAGGTCAAGTGATTAAACCCCTTGATGATGCTGTTGTTATACACATTCTGATTGGTCACAATCAGCCAATCACAGAAATGATTATTCCCAGCAGTTTGGACATAATGCTTACTGTCTCAAGGGATAATACAGTTAAAGTATGTGTAGTAAAATTCATTAATCTTTTATAATACATTGTTTTCTCATATTATGATATTTCTGAGAACTTGAATATTATGTTTAATATTGATATTTAATATTATTGTCGCATGTGACATAATTAAGCACAAGAAAACATGTGTTAGAGGTAATGTAGAATGAAAAAAAAGAGACTCAAAGGGACTTTACTGTAGTTTTTTTACATGAAGATGTAAATGTTTCTTTCAGAAGTGTGTTCCAATTGATGTGGGTTTGGATTAGTAAAATATTTCTGATCATTCTTTACACTCGGTTTATTTTGCAACACTCAATTTGGTCATTTTGCACAATAAAAATATTTAAGAAATAATATATCCAAATTGGTGATTTTATTGCTTGATAAAATCACTGTTTGTTGTTGGCATGCACATCATTATAGATTCACTAGGGCTACGCCCTTGTGATATGATTTTATCGCATGTTTGGGATATACTATTTCTAAAATATTTTTATTGTACAAAATGACCAAATTATTAGTGCTGCAAAATTTTTCACTCAAACCAGGTTAAAGATCATGCAGAAAATTGATTTTCAATTTAACTCTTGGGCTAAATGTGCACTTATATTTGATATGTATGCATGTAAATTTGCCTTATACTCCTATTTTGATAAACATGTATATGGAAAAAGTGACACTGTGCTTATGGCAGATGAGAAAATGAAAATGCTTATACATGTATGTACTGATTTATCAGATTGTGAAGTATTCAGAAGATAAAACACTCTCTTTTCAGGTTTGGGATTTAAAATCCATTTTAGGACAGTTTCACTCAGAGTTGTCTACCATAGAACAAAAGCTGGCTACCAGCTCACCCAATAGTTTCATTCAGGGTTTACCAAATCATATAGGTGAGGAGGAGAAATCAGTGGACCTTGTTGAGGTAGTCGCTCATTACAAATATGAAGATATTGACAGCAGACCTGTGACTACGTGTCTTGCTTTCAACAGGTATGTTGAAATTCTTTATAGAGTTTTAAAGTGGGTTAGTCTATAATGGAAGGTCTGTATTACAATAGATAATTATGTTGATAGTATTGGACATAACAACAAACCACGAAAGAATTATATATAGGAGTTGTTGTCAAGTATGAGATACATGACGAGTATATGTGTATATGTTTATATAGCAGATAATAAAATGCTCTAGAACAAATTATTATTATTTATCATATACAAAAATGTAAATGTTCATACTAAATCACATAGGAATCTATCAACAATTCTTTTTCAAGTAATGATTTGTAGAGTATAGAATTTGCAAAAAGTTAGAAATGATACATATATACTAAAGATGTAACTTTCAAGGGGTATCATTTTGTTCTATGACCAGACACTAGACAGATATTTACTTTTATATCCAACATAATGTAGGAATCACAATACATGTATTATGAAAACTCTATTGCTTATCTTTATATCAACTGAGTCAGAATTTTTTTTTAGTGCTAGAGATTGTATTTCAACAAATTTTGATAAAGGTCAAGTCAAATCCAGACCTGTATATTCACAAAACTCTAATTTTTAGATGCATACCAGGATAATTTTATTGTATGTCTATTTTTAGACTCATTAAAGGGGAAAAAGTCTAAAATTGCGGTATTGCAGGGGGGTGATACTGTAAATGATTCATAATGCACAGATGTTTATGTAAACTTAAACATGCAAAGTCATATGGATTATATGAATTGACAATACTGTCAAGCCTTAAAGGGACTCAAATGTGGTTCATAAGCCTAAAACATAAAATATAAATTTCTTACATAGATAAACTGCCACGCTTAAAACTGAACTATGTGCAGTACAAAAATAAGATATAAACTCGGAAATGAATTGAAATTCATAATTTTATGATATTCTTAGCCAGATTTAAGTAAAAGGCATTGCAACGCTTTTCAATTTTAGGTCATTTTTCACAATAAGAATAATTATTCTGGCAAAATAGAGTGAGTGAATTATCTGAAATTTTGCACGCAAGCTATTTGTCTAGACATACATCAAATGGATTATTGATCTCAAACAAAAAAATTATTTCAAGTAAAAAAAACCTCAATGGAGTCCCTTTAATTAAAAGTTTATTTATTTCAGGTTTGGTGACAGTTTGTATGTAGGTACAGACAATGGTAAATTACAACTGTATGATGTAGATATGGCAGAGGTCAAGATTTCTACTGACCTGGACATTGGCTACATACAGCGTATGAAGTTATCAAAAAATGGTAGATTTATGATAGTAGCAGGGAAAAAAAAAGTACACGTAGAGGATTTGTTGTGTAAGTTAACATGACGTGTGTAATAGAAAGGTTAAGTTTTAGCCCTGTAAGCAGGAATTGAGCTATTTTATCAAGAGCTATTATATCAATATTTGAAATTTTCATATTAATATTTTTCTTTGTATACAATTATTTCACTTTGATATATGTCCAGTAAACAATTTGTCTAAAAATTCCATATACAAAATAAATTCAAAGTAATGCAAAGTTGGCATGTTAATCAGTATTTTATTGACCTTTTCCTTGTAAATTAAATCTCTGATATCTTTGTTCAAAATTATTTACTTTGTTTTTAATGATTTCAAAAGGAAGGGATTTACTGTTATTATGATATTGACTCAAAAATATATCAAAAAAATTATTCTGTACATATCATAATCATGATAGTTTATTACATTTAGCTCAGAATCAGTTGAAGTTAGAAGCTAGAGGGAAAATTTCTTGTATGGCAGAAAGCAACAACAAGCTAGTGGTAGGTTCAGCTGGTATGGAGGCGAAAGGTCGTGTGTGGAACATAGAAACTGGTATTACTCCATAGAACTTGCTCTTTTACTACAATGTTCTAAGATGAAAATCTTTTACTTATCCTTGTGGCTTTTTTCAAGAAATTTAGAATTAAGAGTATTTTTGATTTATTTTACTGATTTTGATTGTACATAGTTTGTTGTAATTTGTTGTTTTTAATTTCTGCAGTGAAATGATGGTATATTTTTTGTAGCTCAAGTTAGCACTAAATTGAATTTATATGAAGACATGATGTATTGTTTAGCTTACATATTTACCCACAAATTTTGACAGATCAACTAAAGATTCTTTCAAAATTTATGCATATTCAAACCTGTAAACAAAGGCCATCCAAAAGAGATATTAAACATGGTCTTATGTACAAACAGTCTTCATTTGGAGGTTATTCTGTTTTATTTAATCAATGAAAAATTGTCAAAGATTGGTCCTTATTTATAGGGTGACCTTTATAACGAGGTGGCCTGCCTCATAAATTAACCTATAACCTGCTATATTTTTGTCCTGATTTGAATTTGAAACAATCTTTTCAAAGTTCAAGGGATTTCAATATCAAAATACAAAAATTGAGCTGCCAACAGTATAGAGCCTGGTTAGACTGCATGGATTTACAGGCTGGCCTGGCTCTATACTGGTGGCAAAAGCTGATTACTTTTGATTCCAGCAGGTTAAGGGTTAAAATAGGAAACATTTTAGGTTTTTGTTGTTTATTAATTACTCTGTAACTATGAGATATTTGACATGTTAGGTTATCAAATAAATGCCCTATACTTAAACTATTTATAAACATGACCATGAGTTTAAAATGGCCAACCATTTTTGAATGTTTTCTCTACATTTCAATCAAGATAATGATGTAGACACTAAAGGACCTTTTGCTTATGGTTTTAATCTTAGGTTCTGGAATAAAACTAAAATGAATTGTAACATTATTATTCTACTTTAGGGGAGATTATCAAAGACTTTGAGCTGTTGTATTCCTTCTACTGTGTGGCAATAGATAGTACAGGCACATTTGTAAGATAATTTTCTTTTTTACTTATATGTTTTTGAATTATCATACTTAAATTTTAAATTAAGTCTACATTTGATGTTACATTTATAAGTAAAATATTAATTGAAATAATAAAAAATTTTAGTTAAAAAGGGGCATTACTCTAAAAATATGGCTTTCACAGGATGATGTCTCTTGTTTTCCAACTGCACCTTTTCATGATAAATTAATATGGCAAGTTTGTTGTTGATTCATTTCTAAATATTTGAATAATGGGCTACATTTAAGTTTTTGCACAACAACAATGACCACACAGCGAGCATAATAGCTGGACTTTTTTTCGAAACAGAGTAGCTGAAAAGAACATTATTTTCCCAAGCATATTTTTTTAGTATGAGATATGTGGACTGTGAGCATTTATTATAGAAACTTGCTAGATAATCCAAAATGTTGTCTAAACATAGGATATTAGATGATTGTGGACTGGTATCATGTGATTAAAACAAGCACCTATATAGTGTTACCCTACTTAAACATATGAAGATCTGAACTAAGTTTTTTTTTATTCCCAATTAATTTAATACATAATCTATACAAGCCTGTCTTCAGTATATCACATACCCTTAGAATATTGAGAATTATGTATACCTTGTTGAACCTTGCCTCTGTTTTAACAAACGTGACACATGTATAATTAGGTGCATTTAGATGTAAAAAAGAGCTGTGTCATACCATTTTATAGATTCAATAAGGAGCAGGAGTATATGATACAAAATTCAGGCCAGTGATTGGCAGGTTTTTACATTGTGGAATCATACTTTATATTTTACTAAAACTCCTCGCTAAAGGTATGTGTATTTACTAGTCTTAAGAAGTTTTTCTCTATATATATAGGTGGTATCAAGTATGTTTGACTTTCCTGTCATAGTAAATATACTAGATCCAGACAACAGTCCTGAAATAGATCCCAACAAGATGGACACGATGATGACTGGAGCAGTATGCTGTGAAATCAGTCCAGATGATAAATATGCTGCAATGAGTTCCACTGATGGAGCCGTTCGTGTAGTAACAATGGATGGACACTATACTTACCGCTTTCAACAAAAGTCGTCTGCTGTAGCCATGGTGTTTTCTCCAGACAGTCAGGTTGTGTTGTCATCTGGGTATAGGTCTATTTATGTCTGGTCTATGCTGGATGGATCATGCAAGTATGTGAACAATAATTTATACCATTTTTATTTTTATGTAAAGACTATGCCATAAACAACTGTATGTTTATAATTGTTTTCAGTAATATACAAGTTGCTTAAATGATTTGGATCAAAGTGCAGTGGATGGCATTTTGTCTTATGGTTTAGAGTCTTAACAGACAATGAAGTCTGTCAATTCAAGCAAATCAATCTTTAACAATTTCAAGTGATACTTTGATCAAGTAAATGTAAAGTTTTTTTCTACAAATTAAGCCTAGAATTATGCCGATACAAATGTACCATAAAAGTGCGGGAATGATGCATAAAGCTATTCTAAAAACTCTACATTCACATTGCTCTTATGTTTTGATTTTAGTATCTGGAATAGGATTTTTAAAAGGTGATATTGCTTTCTTATACCATAATTTCAAATTGCAAAGGCCCAAGAACTACAATATATCCCTACATACCCATAGAAATAAAGGGTTAATGTACCTTTTTTTGTGGATTATTGTGGGCAGATATATGAGAATCATTTATAGCTCAAAAACCCACAGGGCTAAAGATTTAATAAAGTTATTACATGAATGTAAAAAGTAAAAACAAAACTTTATTTTTTTTTTTTGTAATAATAATCTACCATTTCAGGTTCAAGTTAACAAGACATTTGGATTTTGTGAACAACATCAAGTTTGATAGCTTGGGAAAGTTTATTGTGACTGTATCCCGGGATAAACAACTGGTGTTATGGGACTACAACAGACTTGTATCAATTGCTACATTCCCAGCCAACTGTCAGATCAACGCTGTAGATCTATGTCCTAAACTTGAAAGCATTGCTTATGTCCCAGAGGGTATCTCCGATGTTGCCATTTTAAAACCCAATCAATCATTGTGCAATGTAATGGCAGGGAAAACTAAGGCAGTGTCCTTGACTCCACAGGCACAGGCTGTGGTGCTGGCTTTTAGTAGTCAAAAATCTAAGAAAGGGTCCAAAAGCATAGCATGCTGTTTAAGTTGAATATTTTCATTTAAGTTTATGTACAACACCTTCCACTTTTACTAAGTATGCATCAGCACTTTACAGCCAAATTTTTAGTTAACAAAAGTGTTAAAGGAACTCTACTGAGGTCCAAAATCTTAAAAACATAAAATTTTAATTTCTTACATAGATCAGCTGGGGCATTTAAAACAAAAAGACATACTCATCATTGTGTTTTTTTGCTATTCTTATCCCGATTTGAATGTAAAGTGTAATTTTTCACTATGATAGAAACAGAGTGGGCCAGAAATCTGAAATTTAGCACACAAGTTTTTTTGTCTAGACTTACATCAAATGGAGCAGTTTTAAATATTGAAAAGTTATTTCCAGTCCCGCATTTTAAAAAACCTCAGTGAAATCCCTTTAACTTATTATAAGTAAAGTTGCATATTCAACTTAATATATTATAATGCTGTCAACAAGACATACCTTTATAACAGTAATCACTAAAAAATCTCTGAATATGCTAAGTAAGGGAACTTCAAGTCAGGGTTATTCAAATGTTTTCACTTCTGTGACAAGACCAAAATCTCTTCACATTTAAGTGAGTGGCACTTTTTCAAATAACTTTCCTACATCTGTGTAGATTGAAATCATGTTTGAAATAATAAATTCTTTCAAGATATGAAATTCTAATCATGTAAATGAAGGTCTAACTTATAGTATGCCTTGTTCTCAGTTGATACCTCAAATATATGTTGTAGCATATCAGAACAGATGTTAGTTTTGTTGTTGTGACTTACAAATAACAATATTGCAGCAAGTTATCATTTTTGTTATTTCACAAGTTGTTTTTATAGTTTAACCTGTAGGACTCTTTAGTTTAAAATAAGGCTACATGATCCAATTGGAGGGTTGACCTCAAAACTGCAGTTCCTTGTATGAAATAAAGGACTTACAATGGTTTTGCGATCTACCCTCGAATTATAATACTATTAATGTAATATAATAATATAATATTAATTTTTCACAGCCATAATAATACAATTATATAGCCAATTGTTTGTTCTCTTGATTTTTTATCTTCCATGACATTTTTAAAGCCATATCATTTTCAGTTATTTTTCAGTGGAACAAGTAGCTATTAGTACCCTAACCAGCAAGGTATTGGGACTCTAGGTTTGCAGTCCATTTGTCTGCCAATCTACAAAAACAGGATCTTTACATTCTATATATCTGTCAATCTACAAAAAATTGGATCTTTACATAATTTTAAAAGTACTCAGAATATTTTCATGAAACTTGAAGATGGATAGAGACTTATATTGAGATTATGCACATTATTTTTATGTTGAAAAAATTTGTTGCTGTGGCAATAGACTTGAAATATTGTATAAATTATGTTATACTTTTAACTGTCTAAAGGTGTTCAATTTAAACATGCTTGATTTTGAGAAACAAAAGGTCAGTGCCAATGTTATGTCCCATAGTCCTAACCATTGGTTTACAAAGTTATTAATCTGTTACTGATATCAAAAATATTCTAAAATTGTACTTACCTTATAAAGTAACAGCATTTAATCAATTTTTTTATATAAATGTAAATTTATATTTTGAAATACTTAAAGTTTTTATCAAAAAACTTTATTAAAAAACTTTATTTGATTTTTGGTTCTATCTAGTGTTAGGAGACCTTTTTTTGATAGAAGATTTATTGCTTGGCAATAGTCTAACTTGTTTTACTTGAAGTAATAAATTGCTGATTTGAAATTCTTTACTCAGGGTTAATGTAAATTTGTCTTCATTGTTGAATTTTACTATTTAGTATATGCTGTAAGAATTAGTTGTATTAGATGTTATAAATTCATTATTTGTTATTTTTTTCATTATTTCTTAAAGGACCTCCACTGAAGTCCAAAAGCCTAAAAACTTAATTTGAATTTCCTTAATAGATAAACTTGGGCACTTAACAGAGAAAAATATGCACACAATTATTAAGAAATATACTCAGAAGAAAATTAAAACTAATATTTTGTGCCATTCTTAGCCTTGTTTGAGAAAAATGTGTTGCAGTCCTTTTCAATTTTGGGTCATTTTTCACAATTTAAGAATAATTATTCTGAGAAAACAGAGTGAGCGATTGATTTGAAATTTTGCACACATGTTATTGAACCTATATCAAATGGAGCATTTACCTCAGAAAAATTATTTCCAATCCCAACATGTCCAAAAACCTCAGTGGAGTTCCTTTAACCCTTTACCTGCTGACAGCTAATAGACCAAGATCAGCCAGCACATCACTGCCATCTGATCATGGTCACCACAGGAAAGTTATGTCCAGACTTAAAGATGGACAAGTTTATTAAAGATAGCATCTCAAGGCAAATCTATATTCTGTCCATCTAATTTACTTAGTGTACTTGTTTTATTTTTCTTATATAGTTTTATGATAAATTGTTATTTATAGTGACTTATGCCCTTTTTTACTTAGATGTTTACAGATGCTCAACTTTTTTGTCATTGATGATCTCATCTTTTGTTAGTCATATAAATTTATTTTAGATTATATTTCTTAGATTTTTAGCTCACATGTGGTGAGCTTTTGTTATCGCTTTTTGTTCGGCGTCCGTACTTTTACTCCTCATAAACCGCTAAGCCAATTTCAACCAAACTTCATAGGAATGTTCCTTTGGTAGTCAACCAAGAATTTAATTCCAAGCAGAACTCGCAACCGAAAGAAAAAAAAAAAAATCTGCTTTTAGAAAACTGAAAAAGCTAGAGCTTAAATATTTGGCATTAAACACCATCTAGTCAGTGTCTACCAAGTTTGTTTAAATAAATGCTCTGGGGTCAAAATTGGCCCCGCCCTGTGGGGGTCATTGATTGTCCTTATTTGTATATAGTAAAAACTTAAAATATCTTCTTTTAAAAAAACAATATAGCTTGAGCTTAGATATTAAGCATGAAACATTTTCTAGTTGGTGTCTACCAAGTTTGTTCAAATAAATGCCCTAGGGTCAAAATTGGCCCCGCCGGGGGGTCATTGATTTTCCTTTTTTGTATATAGTAAAATCTTAAAAAAATCTTCTTTTCAAAAACTATAATAGCTGCAGCTTAGAAATCTTTTTTTAAAAACCCCAAAGAGTTAGAGCCAAGATATTTAGCATACAACATCTTCTAATGGGTGTCTACCAAGTTTGTTCAAATAAGGGCCCTTGGCTTAAAATTGGCCCCACCCCATATTTTATTTATGTGTATTGTAAAAACTTAAAAAGTCTTCTTATAAAAAACCCAAAGAGCTAGAGTTAAGATACTAAGCATGAAAAAGCTTCTAGTGAGTGTCTACCAAGTTTGTTGAAATGAAAGCCCTAGGGTCAAAATTTGCCCCTCTCAGGGGGGTCTTTGTTTTACCCTATATGTATATAGCAAAAACTTTTAAAATATTCTTATAAAAACCCTAAAGAGCTAGAACTTAGATATTTATCACGAAACATCTTCTCATGGGTGTCTACCAAGTTTGTTCAAATAAAAGCCCTTGGTTTTAAATTGGCCTTGGCCCAGGGGCCTATATACAGGTGAGTGATTTCAGTGCCATCATGGCCCTCTTGTTGTAACAATTTAACTGCTTTTTTTTACATTTTTTACATTACATACTATAATGGCATTCTATTTCCATGTAATTTTTGTATTTATGACTAAACAGTTTGGCAGATACACATGTACATATATTTCAAGTCTTTTGTGTTCTTTTCTTGATCTGTTAACTTTAAATATTAGAGGTTCTGCACAGGACATAAATAACAAGAGCCACCGCCGGGCGGGGGCAACGCTCGACTTTTTACTTTTTCTAAATGCAAACATAGAAAGGTTTGAACATATATTAACGTTTCCTTTTTATAAATTTAGTTGGTCTGTCTTGTCACATTAGTTTTGTTTATATATTTTGTATATATATATGAATAGAAACATTAAGCATATTTCTAAAAATAGCAACAGTACGCAATTTCTTAAAATAGCAACATGACGCAATTTTTAAAAATAAAAAATGACGCAATTTCTAAAAATAGAAAAAATGACGCAATTTCTAAAAATAAGAAAAAATGACGCAATTTCTAAAAATAGCAACAATTTCTAAAAATAGAAAAAAAATGACACAATTTCTTAAAAATAGAAAAAAATGACGCAATTTCTAATAATAGAAAAAAATGACCCAATTTCTCAAAATAGAAAAAATGACGCAATTTCTAAAAATAGAAAAAAATGACGCAATTTCTAAAAATAGAAACAATGACGCAATTTCTAAAAATAGAAAAAAATGACGCAATTTCTAAAAATAGAAACAATGACGCAATTTCTTAAAATAGTAAAATATGACGCAATTTCTAAAAATAGAAACAATGACGCAATTTCTAAAAATAGAAACAATGACGCAATTTCAAAAAATAGAAAAAAATGACGCAATTTCTAAAAATAGAAACAATGACGCAATTTATATATATATATATATATATATATACATGTGTGTATATACATATATACATGCATATATATATATATATATGCATGTATATATATAAAAAAATATATATAAAATATATATTTATATATATATATATATATATATATATATGTACATATAATATATATATATATATATGTATGTATATATATATATATATATATATATATATATATATAATATGCATGTATATATAATCATGCATATATATATATTATATATGTTATATATATATAATATATATATATATATATACATGCATATGTATATATATATATATATAATTATATATATATATATATATATATATATATATATATATATATATATATATATATATATATATATATATATATATATATATACACACACACATTTATATATATATATAATACATATACTATACATGATATATATATATATATTATATATACACACACACCAATAAATGCACAAATCTGAGAAAATTCAGTAATATAACCTTCAAGGTCAAGGTCATTAAAGAGCCCAACCAAATTTGGGTTAGATAAACAACAAGGTCTGGTCCTTAAGAATGTTCTGTTATAATATGAAGTTTATCCCTTCAATAATAGCAAAGTTACAGTCAGTTACCGCCAAAACAATGAAAATTTCAATAATATGACCTTCAAAGACAATGTCATTAATGAGTGAAGGTCAAGGTCTTTCGGTATATTTTTAACAGTTATCTTTGAAGATTATTATGTTCAAGTTTCAAGACAATCCATTCAAAAATAACAAAGTTACAGCCAATAATAGCCAAAAAAATGAAAATTTCAATCATTTGACCTTCAAAGTCAAGGCCATTGATGAGTGAAGGTCAAGGTCTGACTGGTTATTTTTTAAGGGATATCCTTGAAGATTATTATGTTCAAGTTTGAAGACAATCCATTCAAAAATAACAAAGTTACAGCCAATAACAGCATGAACAAGCAAAAATTGGACTTTTAACCTTGAAGGTCAAGGTCATTTATGGATGAAGGTCAAGGTTAGTGTGGTCTACTGAAAGGTCTTGTCCCAAGGGTTGTTGTGGCCAAGTATGAAGACAATACACCAAGAAATAAAAAAGTTATGATCCAGGTACAAGTTTTCGGACGGCGGACCTGACTACAACAATACCTCTACTTTTTTTTTCAAAAAAAAAAAGTCGAGCTAAAAATGATTGTTGAAATTCCTTACAGGACAGTAAAGATTATTTTACATGGATTGCACAAGTCTGTTACAGAAATTTGTGCACATGTAGCTACAGGTCTGTATGACTTTACAATGTACATGAGATATCCCTAGTAGCTAAGAGTTAATTGTCAAATTTTTCTTTTATATAAATCTTCTACTGCAATTTTGTTCAGGTTCTTTTGAAACACATGTTTGAAGTGTTCATTTGTAAATCTATTGTTATTCTGCAACACAAAATATTCCAAAGCATAGTAAAATGTGTTAGAGATAGCAAAACATATGTGGCATATATATGTTTAGAATTCATTCATTTGCTTTTACTCTTGCAATATGTAAATGTACTATTTTCTTCTCATATTCAAGTTTTAATACAGTTTATTAGTCCCCTACCGGTTTACCGGAGGGGACTTTAGGTTTACCCTCCGTCCGTCTGTCCGCACAAACATTTTAGGTATATGAGCTAACTAACGGTACAATGGGACAAAAGAGAACAAAGGAATTCATTCCGTAAATAATAGTTAGCTCATAAGGAAACAATAGTTAGCCCACAAGGAAACAAAAGAAAAGAACAATAGAAATAGCTCATAAACCTGAAAAATTGGTACGTCCGTCCGTCCGTCCGTCCACAAAACTGGATCCCGCGATAACTTGAAAAGTACTGAAAATATTTTTATGAAACTTGATATATGGATAGATGGCAGTATGGAGATTATGCATGTCTTTTTCTTTTCTTCCTATGTTGAAAATTCTGGTTGCTATGGCAACAAATAGGCTGAAAATATGGCAAATTTTACACATAAACTGGATCCAGTGATAACGCAAAAAGTACTGGAAATATTTTTATGAAACTTGAAATATGGGTAGATGGCAGTCTGGAGATTATGCACAACTTTTTCTTTTCTTCCTATGTTGAAAATTCTGGTTGCTATGGCAACAAATAGACTGAAAATATGGCAATTTTTACACATAAACTGGATCCAGTGTTAACGCACAAAGTAATAGAAATATTTTTATGAAACTTGTAATATGTGTAGATGGCAGTCTGGTGATTATACACGTCTTTTTCTTTTCTTCCTCTGTTGAAAATTCTGGTTGCTATGGCAACACATAGACTGAAAATATGGCAAATTTTACACATAAACTGAATCCAGTGATAACTCAAAAAGTACTGGAAATATTTTTATGAAACTTGACATATGGGTAGATGGCAGTCTTGAGAGTATGCATGTCTTATCTGTTCTTCCTAGTTTGAAAAAATATCAGTTGCCTTGGCAAAAAATAGGCTTAAAACATGGCAAATATAACAATATTTGTGATTAGTCAAAAAGAGCTGAAAATTTTTATGAAATTGCATCTTTAATTCCAGAGTTCTCCTCTTTAATAATTTTGCTTTTTAAAATGTTATATTTTGGTAACAGGGATGTTTCAAATATTAACTTTAGAGTGTCTTTCAGTCCGTCTGTTCTGTTCATAAAAACTTTTTCCTGTGATCACTTTTAAAGAACTTTTCCAACAAATTTACTTAAAATAGAGAAAAATTTAAACATTAGTGAATGGCCAATGGCCCTTCAGAATGCTGATGGGGTTCTAACCGGTAGGGGACTTATGGATTGCTTGCAATACTATGATAATTGCTTGTTAAAAAATGTTCTGCAAGCAAATGCAATTTTCATATTGAAATTATACACTTTTTGTCTTTAATAAGTACACTGTTTAATATTTATTGTGATACATGTTTAAACTCTTAAAATATACACACATACATGTATATATGACTTTTTTGTATATTTTGATACCTTATAATTTACACAAGTTGTGTTTTGTTTTTCCATAGATTTACACATTTTATATTCTGTTATATTTCTACACACTGGTTATATTTTAGTAAATTTAATAAAAAAAACCACGTTTTTGTTTTTTATATATTGACCATTCCTAGCAGATACAATTTTAGTACATTTTCATCATGAAGAGTTTGGAACAATAATATTATTTTATGTCAGAATATTTGGAACTTGTATTTGACTTGAGTGGATTTCATTAAACATGGATCTCTCAAGGTGAAGCAGCAAGCATATTCAATCTGGATGCATGAGAGTTAAATACAAGAATTAGACCAAGAAGTTCTTAAAATAACCCTTTTTGTCAAGCCTGCTTGCGGTGAGCTTAACTTAATCACCCATTTTGGTGTATAGTTTGGTGTATGTGCGTCCATGCGTCAGTATGTCCAGTCTATATCTTGCTTACTCCTTGAAGGATTGCAAAAGAATTTGGTGCAAATGTTGACAATGATGGGGTGGTGTGTTGCACACAAAAATCAGGTCCACTGTTTGAATGTCAAGGTCATATTTGGGGGTCAGCACAAAACCCATGTCCGGAGCATTTCAGCAATATTACAGTGATACAAGTTTAAGCTGGAATATTTAACAATCACAATGAATTTTTGGTTGGTTGATTGGACATGGCAAACAAAGTCTGACTTTAGGTCCAAAAAACACTACAATTCTATGAAAAATAATCTACTGTAATAAAAACAAAATATCTTCATGACTGTTCGCTGTATTTATTCAAATATTAACACAAAGTTGTTGCTGTTAAAGTTTATGAAGCCACAATCCAAGCCAAAACACCACAGTTTATACATTTATATCTTAAATTAATAAATAAGATGCTCAGTCTTTATGACAATTTTATATTAACTAGAGCATCATTCATTAAAGCGATGGGATTTTCTTAAATATTGGTAAAGCACTACATCTTTCCAACCATTTCTGTACATGTTCTGGAACACTAGCGAGCTGTGACTGAGAAACTGCCGACCACATGACTGCATCCACCCAAGTAAATTGATCTCCAACAATCCAATCATTCTTTTTAAATCGGTTATTCAAATTTTTGACAGCAGATGTCCTCTGTTTGGAATTGCCATTTATCATGGAGATATCTGCTACATCAAGCCATTCATCGCTGTAAGTTGCCATGACAATATCTGCAGTATCAAATGTAGGGGAGAGAAGTCTGTTGATGTATCTTGCAATATTTACCTCCCCTATTATAACAGATTGTTTAGCTGGAGATACTATCAGCTCTGGTCTTCTCTCAACTGAAATTTAACAATAAAGAAATTTTAAAAGCCTCTAAGGCCCCCTAGCATTAAAGGGACATTTTTATTTGATCAATAACATTTCCAATAAAAAGTATTATCAATTTTAAACTCAGACAGCTATTGCATTTGTATCTTATATACCATAAAGTTTTAAGCATTTACATACAGACATAATAGCACATTATGAAGGTGCTGATTCTAATGGATGTCTTCCTGAATATTATATTTTCTGAAGACATTAACAAACTAATAATGAAGAAACGCTACTAGCTATAGTATAATACACATATAGATAAAAAAATTTGATTCCTCAATTAACATCAAGGAAAATATTAACACCAACTTTCCTGTAATAAATCAAGCTTTTAACTGACTTACTAACAGGTAATACTACGCAATTCATAATTAACACAGAATTTTGTTTCTATAAAAGAAGATATTTATGGCAAAATATAGATATCATGATATTTAAGGCATAATATAGATATGTAATATACATTGTAATATCAGTATATATACCATTTTTCCATACAACAGAAAGAGCTAGGTCATGATCTCCTCTCGTAACCTGGCAACCATTCTTGATGATATCACATAGTTTCTTGTCTGCTTTCACAGTTGAGTGTATATAGGAAGTAGCTAGGACCTTGTACTTTTGTTTCAACATTTCAAACAGTACAAACAAACTAAGTGGGGGACTTGATGGATCTGCATTGATAACTATGTCATGTATTCCTGAGCCCTACAACGAGAGAAATACTATAACATGATTATGAATATGAAATTTTTTCTAAAATTTACAAGGTGGCATACAAGTTAGTTTATCAATATTAAAACATGCAAAGACAAAATGCCAAAAATAATCAACACTTTAATTATCCTTTATAATGGATTCATATATAGGTTTTGGTAATTCAATCAGTCACAAAAAAGCATTTGGCTATTATTAGTATGGTGAAATTGCCATTCTTTTTGGTCAATGTAGCTGAAACATTCCCTAACATCCTGGACTTCATTTTCAGCAATAATTTTTACTGATTTCCATCATTTAATCCATGTCTGAAGGAAGGAATAGTAACAATTAACAAGAGGGCCATGACGGCCCTGAGGTCGCTCACCTGTATATAGGCCCCCGGAGCGGGGCCAGTTTAAACCCCAACGCTTTTATTTGAACAAACTTTGAAGACACCCATTAGAAGATGTTTCATGATGTTAAGTTTTTACTACACACATATAATGAAAAACAATGATCTGCCCCCTCCCCCACGCCCGGCAGGGCCAATTTTAACCCCAGGGCTTTTATTTGAACAAACTTGGTAGACACCCATAAGAAGATGTTTCATGCTAAACATCTAAGCTGTAGCTCATTGGGTTTTTTAAAAGAAGATTTTATAAGTTTTTACTATACACATATAGTTAAAAACAATGACACCCCTGGGGCAGGGCCAGTTCTGACCCCAGGGCTTTTATTTGAACAACTTTGTAGACACTTACTAGAACATGTTTCATGCTTAATATCCAAAATCTAGCTATTTGGGTTTTTTCAAAGAAGATTTTTAAGTTTTTGCTATACACAAATATAAGGAAAATTAATGACCCCGGGGCAGGGCCAATTTTGACCCCAGGGCTTTTATCTGAACAAACATTGTAGACACTTACTAGAAGATGTTTCATGCTTAATATCTTAACTCTAGCTATTTGGGTTTTTTCAAAGAAGATTTTTAAGTTTTTGCTATACACATATATAAGGAAAATCAATGATCCCCGGGGCGGGGCCAATTTTGACCCCAGGGCTTTTATTTGAACAAACTTGGTAGACACCCATTAGAACATGTTTCATGCTAAATATCTTAGCTCTAGCTCTTTGAGTTCTTTAAAAGAAGATTTTTAAGTTACTATATGCATATAGGGAAAATCAATGACCCCCTGGGGCGGGGCCAATTTTGACCCCAGGGCTTTTATTTGAACAAACTTTGTAGACACTCACTAGAAGATGTTTCATGCCAAATATCTAAGCTCTAGCTCTTTGGATTTTTTAAAAGAAGATAATTAAAGTTTTTTCTTTCGGTTGCCATGGCAACCAGAGTTCTGCATGGAATTAAATTCTTTGAACAATTTTTAAAGGTGACCACCAAAGGAATATTCCTGTGAAGTTTGGATGAAATTGGCTTAGTGGTTTATGAGGAGATGTCATTTAAAGTAAAAGTTTACGGACGGACGCCGGACGAAAAGCGATCACAAAAGCTCACCCTGTCACTTTGCGACAGGTGAGCTAAAAATGGATAGTTATTAATTACACTTGTTACACACATTCGTGAGGCAAACTACAGGGGTAAACAATTAATCTTTTAATTCATTTTCATTATTGTAAACTCAAAAATTGTTAGTCTGAGAGGTTCGCATAGATTGACCTATCAAAGTATTACTTTGTTTCCAATAACAGTATTCTTAAATAATTAATATGAAATTGCAAATAAGATGGCATAAAACTTATTGTTCTTGCTGCAAATAATATAATTTCAGATTTTCATTTTTACATGACCAAAATTTTCTCACGGATGCCACCTTGACAATCATTTGATTTCCAAGACAAACCAGTGTGGACATCAGACACATTAAGGCATTTATGCTAGAAGCCATAATTTATTAGTTTAAATATTAAAGTATATACGTTAACTAAATTAAAGAAATACAATAATTATGTAAAATATAAAATAATACATACTAAAGGACTCTTGATCTTGGCACTTGAAGATGTTTTAACTGAAGGTACTGCAGCTGCTTGTGTATTAGTGGAAGATGAAGGCTGTGTAACCTGGTATTGACTTGTTAACTTGTCTAGAGTTTGACGAAGTTCAGCAAGTTTGGAGAGTATCCTATCTTGCCTTAACTCTAACGCACTGACTGGATCTAGGTTTGATGTATCCATTGTCTAAAATAAAAAGAAAATATTGTATCAAGATTAATATACATGTACTCATATAGTAAACTTAACACAATATAATTTCAATCATCAAACATGTATTATTTACACACCCCTATCTACAAAATACACCGAATCCTTATTTTCACAAAAAAATTTTGTTTTTTTTGTTGGTTTTTGCCAAATTTAAACCTTTATATGGGTATGGACTTTCCACTTTAATGGGGGGGAACCTCAGGGAAACAGGGACCAAATAGAACCTTGGCATTCTGTAAAGTAGCTAGATAGCTTCCTCAAATGAAAGAATCCAAAGTCCTTTTGGGTTTAGAACCCACAGCAGTGAGGGGCAAGAGGTTTGAAATCAACGACCTTAACCATTTGCCCATTGATGGCCCATTCAGAAATGCCTTTTCATGAGATTTTCTGAACCAATCATAAAACAAATATATAAAACCCTAAGGCACAGACATAAATTTGGTTTATTAGTCTGATCAATAATCAGAGCTCTGTTTTTGGAATACATTCTGTGGAATTATATTATATGGAAATCTTGCCAGCAGTTTGACCTGTTAAGAGCCTGAAAGTGTTTTGAAAGTGTTTTTTTTTTTTCTTTCTATTTTTAGCTCTTTCATTTGCGCAGCCATATGCACAGCAAGAGTTGTTACTGCACACTCCTGTGAAGTATCGTCAAATTTGCAAAATTATATGAAATTGGAAAATACATACATGTATACTATTTAAATTTATGTTTTCAAATGAAGAACAGCAAATGTCTTCCGATGCTTAGACAATACACTGTGTCCTGGCTAACCGTATGTGACTAGAACTTTTGGCTAGCAACTGCCTTAGTTATGATGATTTAATTATGTCATTCTGTTAAACTCTGACATAAATCAAGAAAAGGAAGGACTAAAAACAAGGAAGCATAATAATATTAACACTTTTTCTGAGGGATCAGACACGTCAGAAATACAACAATCAGAAATGATAATATGACTAAGAATGCAAACAAAGTATACAATAGAAAGTAAGTTATATTAATGAGCAAAGCATGAGTAAATACAACAATTCCTCACATCAATAATTAAACATCAGAATTTGAAAAACACTTAAAACGTCACATTATTAAACAAAACATAAAACATATCAAAACACAAATAATACATTCTCATTCCAACATTTAAAATAACACAAATAAAACATTCACATTCCAACATTTAATCTAACAAGCAACAAGAGCCACCGCCGGGCGGGGGCAACGCTCGACTTTTTACTTTTTCTAAACGCAAACATAGAAAGGTTTGAACATATATTAACGTTTCCTTTTTATAAATTTAGTTGGTCTGTCTTGTCACATTAGTTTTCTTTATATATTTTGTATATATATGAATAGAAACATTAAGCATATTTCTAAAAATAGCAACAGTACGCAATTTCTTAAAATAGCAACATGACGCAATTTCTAAAAAATAGAAAAAATGACGCAATTTCTAAAAATACAAAAAAATGACATAATTTCTAAAATAAAAAAAATGACGCAATTTCTATAAATAGCAACAATGACGCAATTTCTAAAAATAGAAACAATGACGCAATTTCTAAAAATAGCAACAAATTCTAAAAAAAGCAACAATGACGCAATTTCTAAAAATAGAAACAATGACACAATTTCTAAAAATAGCAACAAATTCACAAAATAGCAACAATGACGCAATTTCTAAAAATAGAAAAAAATGACGCAATTTCTGAAAATAGAAAAAAATGACACAATTTCTAAAAATAGAAAAAATGACGCAATTTCTAAAAATAGCAACAATTATGCAATTTCTAAAAATAGAAAAAATGATGCAATTTCTAAAAATAGCAACAATGACGCAATTTCTAAAAATAGAAAAAAATGACGCAATTTCTAAAAATAGAAAAAATGACGCAATTTCTAAAAATAGCAACAATGACGCAATTTCTAAAAATAGCAACAATGACGCAATTTCTAAAAATAGAAAAAATGACGCAATTTCCAAAAATAGCAACAAATTCTAAAAATAAAAAAAATGACGCAATTTCTAAAAATAGCAACAATGACACAATTTCTAAAAATAGAAAAAATGACGCAATTTCTAAAAATAGCAACAAATTCTAAAAATAGCAACAATGACGCAATTTCTAAAAATAGCAACAAATTCTAAAAATAGCAACAATGACGCAATTTCTAAAAATAGAAAAAATGACGCAATTTCTAAAAATAGCAACAATGACGCAATTTCTAAAAATAGAAAAAAATGACGCAATTTCTAAAAATAGAAAAAAAAATGAAGCTATTTCTAAAAATAGCAACAATGACGCAATTTCTAAAAATAGAAAAAAATGACGCAATTTCTAAAAATAGAAAAAATGACGCAATTTATATATATACACACACACACACACATTTATATATATATATATAATACATATAATATACATACACACACCAATAAATGCACAATCTGAGAAAATTCAGTAATATAACCTTCAAGGTCAAGGTCATTAAAGAGCCCAAGCAAATTTGGGTTTGATAAACAACAAGGTCTGGTCCTTAAGAATGTTCTGTTATAATATGAAGTTTATCCCTTCAAAAATAGCAAAGTTACAGTCAGTTACCGCCAAAACAATGAAAATTTCAATAATTTGACCTTCAAAGACAATGTCATTAATGAGTGAAGGTCAAGGTCTTTCGGTATATTTTTGGCTTGCAGCCACGGCTGCAAGCCATTTCATTTGGAAAACCTGTTCCGGTTAGGTGGTTTTCTGCTTACATTTATAAGTGCATGATTGAACGGGAAACCAGCTGAAATCGTGCCAATCGCAACTTTTCGGCCTTTTCCGTCACTCTTCGGATTAATGATAATAGCCGATGTACTTCCGATTGCAATCGTGACAATTCGGGTGATTCCGTCATACTGCGGAATCAGACGAAGTAATAATACGGAAATCTAAGCTATTTTAGTTACTTCGGTAATCCCAGTTTGTTTATATAAATAGGATTCGTATTTTTACTTGATTTATTGATTTAAACCGTAATAAATTATAAACGAAATTGTTCCGTTTCAATTCTTTTTCAAGACGCAAAAGTTAGTTTCTTTTATAATTGTTTTTTGTCTGTATTAGTTTTACACAATAGAGGATGTTGACTGTAGTAGTATTCCGTCTTCAAAGGGTGGTCCAAATCACACAGTGCATGATCGAGTTATATTTAGATCTACTGAACTTGGTGAGGTAATCTAAAAATAGCCCATGCATATCATTAACCTTACCACGTGATGATTTATAGATAGCGCATCGTATCTGGGAACATGCTTATTAATTAAATGAAATGTGCACACTTGTTTCCTTTCAGTATGATAGATCTTCACGTTAGTATTTTTACGATTGATTATTTTCTTTATTAGTTTTATACAATAGAGAACAGATTTCAAATCGTTTTGACAAAAATATTCGTTTTTACAAAAATAAAAACAAATAAATATGTTGGGATGAAGGCACAACTGTGCAAGCCTTTCCTTTTAAAAGGAAACTTTATTAACAGTTATCTTTGAAGATTATTATGTTCAAGTTTGAAGACAATCCATTCAAAAATAACAAAGTTACAGCCAATAATAGCCAAAAAAATGAAAATTTCAATAATTTGACCTTCAAAGTCAAGGTCATTGATGAGTGAATGTCAAGGTCTGACTGGTTATTTTTAAGGGATATCCTTGAAGATTATTATGTTCAAGTTTGAAGACAATCCATTCAAAAATAACAAAGTTACAGCCAATAACAGCATGAACAAGCAAAAATTGGACTTTTAACCTTGAAGGTCAAGGTCATTTATGGATGAAGGTCAAGGTTAGGATGGTCTACTGAAAGGTCTTGTCCCAAGGGTTGTTGTGGCCAAGTATGAAGACAATACACCAAGAAATAAAAAAGTTATGATCCAGGTACAAGTTTTCGGACGGTAACGGCAACGGCAACAGCAACGCCGACCTGACTATAACAATACCTCTACTTTTTTTTTCAAAAAAAAAAAAAGTCGAGCTAATAAAAATGGGTGAGAGGGAGTGGCGAAATTGAAGAACAACTAAGAAACGACTGGTAACTAAACGTGTCTGACAAAAACAGTGCAGATTATGCTGAGTATTTATAGACAGCGTAGAAAAACAGAAATTCAATGAACCAAAACAGTTAACCCTAGTAAATACAAACGACGTCACCAACCCTAAATATAGATAGGGAAAATCCTTTGCCAATCCATAAAGGCATAATTAAAAGATTTTCTATGAAGAAAATGCTATACATTGTTAATAACGTCTCTTTAGTTATTGTTTCTTTTCTGTGTAAAGGGTAGAAAAGACTATTCTAATTTTTACCATGCCAATTTAGTCTTTACTGTTTACAGTTCTGAGTAGCATACAAAAATTATAATAAATTGACCTTTTCGAAAACCTGGCTAAACACCGTTTTCCGGTACGTTACTGTTTTAGCTCTGGGGAATTACACCAAATGAAGTACATAACACAGTTACGAGATATGTCTATTTTTCTATCATTATTTAACCGTTTAAGGTGAAAAAAATGATGTTTTTGAAAATTATCAATATTCGTTTAATACCTATAGGAGAGATTTACCACCACGTCACTGATAACTGCTGTGTGGACTACGTATACACACAATCTTAGAAGGTCGTACATTCACATGTAAACAATGATAGCATTTTCTGTAAAATTAAGATAAGATGATGTTCCTGGGGCAAAGTTTTAAAGATCAGAGTTATCTGAACATATATTTTTTGTAATATTCAAAATGAAGAAAAAAATACAAAACTAATTTCTAAATAGTATTGACATATTTCATATATAAGATAAGTGTGATGTTATAAAGGGTTAAATTTTTGCTAAACATCTACATGTACTTTAATTTTTATGTCTATATCAATCTTGAAGCAACTCGCTACATGTGTTCTATGAAATAGCATTTTTATGTGAAATATGCCTGCTAATTGCTCAGTTTTGTTTCATTTTCATTTTCCCTTTTTTCACCCTGTCAATGTAAATATGTTTTATGATTCAAGGGTATTATATTTTAGCCATTGTTAAATGTATGCTTAAGACCAAAAAACTGAGTGTTGTTAACATAAATATAATTTAAAACTTTATGCTTAGTTCATGTTCAGTTTTAAGTATTAAGCAAGTTAAAGTGACATTATGCTCATATTTTCATAGTCAATTTGAGCTAAATTTACTTAATATTTCAAAAGATTGACTGTTAAAATGGTGTTTGACCAACAGGTGATATTTGAAAATGTTTGGGATAAATTTAATTTATTTAAAAAGTTGACAAAATCCCCAGTTAAACATGTTTACAGCAGCCAATATAAAAAAGAAAAGGCAACATAATTACTCAAAATAGTCATGTGTCACATCTGTGGTTGGAAAAAAATCTGGGATCAGGTAGATAATGAGATATGATAATGACCTCCGTGAATTTATTTCAGAATACAAGTACACCTCTAAAACTATATCATACTTATAAGCTAGACATTATATATTTGATGTAGTTAACTAATTATAACTTTTTTAAGGCCACATATTATAACAAATATCTAAACAATGTCTTTAAAAATTAAAATTGTTCGAATATTTCTTTTGCCTACAGTTTTTATAATTGTTTGAAGATTTCTTTTCCCTACAGTTTTATTTATTTTCAATAAAAAATAAATAAATAGGAAATATGAGATAAGAAAGATTGTTTTGTTTATATAATTTTGTAGTCAGTACTTTTAAAAGTACAATAGAATTGCATCGTTTCATACAATAATTAAACTTTCCCAGTCACTTTGCAAGCTTAATGTTAATGATTTACTTTAATTATTTTTAATCACCTGTTTTATTCGCGATGAATTAAGTTTACGATGAATTAAGTGTACGTTATTTTTGGCTGATTTAAAAAATGATAACAGTTTCTTGACACTATTTCTAAGCAAGTTTGTTTCACATATAATGTCTTTCATGTAAATAAATAGTTACTCAACATATTGTTAATCTTTTCTTTTTTCATGAACCATTTAACTGATATTTTCTTAAATTCATTCTATTCGGGGACTAATGATGCTTTAGCATCAAAACTTCTACTTTATTGAAACAGAGCTCATATTTATTTCTTAATAGACATACACACCATAGTTTTCTTATGTAAAATGACTAGGTAGTACAAAGAGAATGTACGACCAGCAACGGTTGCTATGGTCAGTGCTTATCAGCAATTCTATTTTTAGAATATTGGCCACTGGTAAATTTCTCCTATTGCAAATTATTCAAAAAAATAAATTGTTTATAATGAAAATCAATAAAATTCAAAAAGACGTAGTGGAATCTTCCATAATAAATAAGGTTATTTTCTGCGTAAACTTGTGTATTTACTTTATTTTTTTGTATGGAATTATTCATACAATGATATTTAATTATTTTCTTATAAAGAAATAACTGATTTATTTCAGTTTAATTTAAAAAAAAGGCCGAAAACATTGAGTTCACTATTACACTCCATAAGGTGAATTCCCCAGAGCTATGTACAGAAAGTACCGAAAAACGGCGTTTAGCTAGGTTTTCAAATTCGTGAATACTGGCATGCGAGCAGTTCCCGTACAAAAATCATAGTTACTTAAAAATTATATTTTATTACGCTCACTCATCAAAAAATTGAATGTTAGGCATCAAAATTCAGCTCCTCACACAAATTATGGAAATTCCATTATGTTCTAAACATAGAATAACCCTTAGTTATGAGGCCTCATAATATGGGGTACCAAAATTATCCATTATTTTGTATGAAGAGAAGTAGTTCCCGTACATAAAATAAAACCCATTGTACTTATACAATGTTGTTATATCAGACCCATTTTTCATTTATGATTGTTGAAGAGATCATTTTCCCCGAGGAAGGTAAATACAATTCAGGATAAAGAGCGTAGATTTAACGAAGACCATGTATTACCCGGTACCGGTACCTCAACACAAACAAATGCAATGACGTGCTTGTATGCGTGATATTTTACTCATTAAAGCCATAAAATTATTTAATATAGTAATATAGGTCAAAATTCTGATAATTAATCAGGTTTATGTCGCATTGCCTACTTATCTGTATGCAGGCGGTATAAGCGGAAAACCCTGTAATAGGCCTCACATGTAAGTATTGTTGCGCATGCGCCTTTAAACGGAATCCCCCAAAGTTAACAAGGTCACGTTTTGACAACGCACAGGTGAAAGTGATTTAAAATGAAAACTTTTTATATGTACTGCCGAACTGACACTTAGATTTTGTCTCGTTTATGCATCTGCTTGATTTGATATTAATTTTTGAAGAATGAAAGTAAAAATCAAGCGTTTAAACGAAAAATACGGGTACTGCTTCTGTATGGGAACTGCTCGCATGCCAGTACAGTACTGGTGGGAGACCATCAACCGGACACTTTTGGACTATTTTTCCATACAGATTGCATAATTTTTAACCTAGAGACCAAAAAATTTGACACAGTTCAGCTAGGTTCTTCTCCTAACTAACGAACTAGTTTGTTTATTTCTGATTGTATTGACACTTATATATGAGGCTCGACAAGGAGGGTATCAAAATTACCTTAATTGTCTACACTACAGTACCATATGTGTCCGGACAGATATGTACATGACGTGACTTCATTCGGATAAAAGCTTGGGTGTATTGATTTTTGATTATTATCATGATATACAATATGTCAGCAACAAATGCTGAAGTTTTGGATATTCTATTATTCACTCTGCAAATGATTATAGATGGAATATGATGTCAGGCGTTGCTTTCTTGACCCCAAATTTCAATGTCAACATTCTTGAAAAAGACATTACAATATTACCATTTATGGAGGTTGAAATAAATTTATTTACTTAATTTTAAAAGAAACATGCACTTATTGTTGATACAAATTTGACTGACAACCACTGAACAAAGAAAATACTAAATTAAGCATTTTAGGGGCCGTCCGGGTTTGGTGGTTGTCCGGTTTTGGTGGTCCCCAACCAGTAGAGAAAACAGAAATTTGAGAAAATGTTTTTTATTTTTTCTACAAGATCACGAATCTTATAATTATCAATTTACTGTTATAGTGAGCTCGACGAGCTGGCCCGAAGGGCCTGCTCGCAAAGCGAGCTTTACGGTAACGCGAGTACCTGCTAAGTGATGGTTTTGAAAACTTTCGTCCAAAGTACCAAATTGGACACATCGCAACCTTTCGAATTTAAAGATAACGGTAAAAACTGAGGAATTCTGACTGAAAACAGATGTGTAGACTGGTCACACGCGCACGTCTATGGGAACCATAATTGACAGGGAACCAGAACAACGGAAGCTGTGTATAAAAAATTGAAAATCGAAGGCGCCCGATTTTGTTTGAAATCTGATAAATAAAAACAATTTTTTGTCGAATTTTGTTGTGAAAACTATCAAGAATGAAAGAAAATGGTCTAACTAAGAAAATGAATTCGAACACCAATATCTTTTTATTCAGTCGTTAACGCTGTACAGACGTTTAAAGTATTGTTTACGTGACGTCACCAATGTAGCGCCAAACCACAGGAGCCTGAAAATTATATCAAAAACAAAAAAAAATAACGATTTAAAAATATTCCCATATATATAACTATAAAAAACACAAGGAAGGCAACAACATTTCCCCACCCACTGCTACATTTACAAGGAATATTTATTAAAACGCCTGGGATTTACTTCCGAGCACTTTTAATCAATAAAGCACATTAAAATCTTTCAGAAACACTGATTACTCTTATCAAGTATCAACAATTACGCCAATTGAATGAATTTATCACTGCATTTCTCCATCGTCGGTTCCATTGCCAGTTCTGCGCTAAATTCCGTCATACCGTCATTGACTGGTTTTTGTAGATCCCGAAATTCTATCAAAAACGAAAAAGAACGATTTAAATAAAAATCCCATATTATAAATACTATTATAAATATAGGATTTTTATTTAAATAGTTCTTATTTTTTTTGTTTTGGAAAGAATTTCGGTATCTACAAAACCGGTCAATAACGGTATGACGGAATTTAGCACAGAACTGGCAATGGAACCGACGATGAGAGAAATGCAGTGATAAAATTCATTCATTGGCGTAATTGTTGGATAGTTGATAAGAGTAATCAGTGTTTCAGAAAGATTTTAATGTGCTTTATTGATTAAAAGTGCTCGGAAGTAAATCCCAGGCGTTTTTATAAATATTCCTTGTAAATGTAGCAGTGGGTGGGGAAATGTTGTTGCCTTCCTTGTGTTTTTTATAGTATATATATGGGAATTTTTTTTAAATCGTTATTTTTTTTGTTTTTGATATAATTTCAGGCTCCTGTGGCCAAACAGCACGTGCAAAACAAACAAATCAAGTACGCTATTTTAATGTCGCAAACGTTATAAGTTTTACATTTATTTCACTTAAAATAATCTTTATTTCGCTTGAAAAATTATAGAGTGAAATAAAATAAACAAAGTTTTATCAACGTTTTCAAAACTCGTTATTCATTTCACGACAGGGGCGGGGCCATATTTAACACAGTACGTGTGACGTCACACGCACTCGTTACTGCATTTGAAATAAAAATGAGCGATTATTTCATACTATTTCACGTAAAAAGTACATCGAGCTCGCTTTGAGGCTTTGCCTTTTTCATATTAAATATGTGACAAGTTGGCCAGTGCCGACTTTGAATTGGTAAAGGGTCAAAATGAATCTGAGACCGAGTTACTTTAGGACCGAGTTGACCAGGATCATTTCAGACAGACACGTGCATCATGTGGATGATGTGTTTACTGCATGACGTGAAGTCTATAAAATGATAAAATCGATCATACCGTGACAGATGGTGAGGACTCATAAAAACTTTTCACTTTGTACATGACATCTGGGAGATCTACTTTACAAGAACTTTCATAAAATGGTTCAACTTTGTACATTTCAGCCGGCATTTTATGATTTTACCGAAATAAGGTAAAAATGAATAAATCTTGGTAATGAAACGTTTGAATGCTTACTTGAATGAAATACATTTGACAACGGAAATGACTTACCTGCGGTAAAAACTATATTAAGTTTTGAACAAAAAAGTTCTAAAAAATCAGAACAAAACCAAAAAGATAAACATGGAATGAAAGCAAATTCTTGTTTCCTTAAAGGTATCAAAGACTGGCATGATCTAGCAAATCTCTATTTTTACTCGATTAAAATTCAGTTGAGGTGAAAACCAAACGCAGAGAGAAAAGTCTGGATTAATCAGACGATTGTTTACAATTGGGAAAGAAAGGCGTGAATCTTCAAAACTGTCAAAAAAATGTGGAAGTCCTCAGAATTTTGCGACTTTAACTTGTCGTGGCAAAGTGACCACGATCCAAATTTTCTTTCAACTTATACTGTCATTCAAAACGATGATGACTGGTAAGAGCTGTAACATTATTTGTTATAGCATAATTTAGCATTTCAATAAATAAATGAATTCTATAATTTGACTAATTGAGTGAGAAATTTATTCATTAATGCACTTCTATAAAATATATTTTTTTATGGGTAAGGATATTATGTCATACAGCTAATATGAAAAAGGCAAAGCCTCAAAGCGAGCTCGATTTACTTTTAGTTTTACCGTGAAATAGAATAAAATAATCGTTCATTTTTATTTTACATTTTCCGTTTTAAAATTGCCATTCGGAATTTTATACACTGCTTCTGTTTATTCCGGTTCCCTGTCCTATTATGGTTCCCTTATAAGTGCGTAGGACATCAATCTACGCTTACGTTTTCAAGCAGAAAACCGCCTCGGTGGTCAAGAGTCGATGACTAATCCAGTTACCTCTCTGGCGTGGGTTCGATCCCCGGGAGATGCTTTGGTAGTTTAGCGCGGAGGAAGGTAGTCTAGTACTGGTGTAACTCTCCAGGAACGATGGTTAGGAAACTACCTGCCTATTCACGAATTCGAAAACCTGGCTAAACGCCGTTTTCCGGTACCTTCTGTACATAGCTCTGGGGAATTCATCTAATGGAGTGTAATAGTAAACTCGATGTTTTCGGCCTTTTTTTAAATTAAATTGAAATAAAACAATTATTTCTTTATAAGAAAATAATTAAATATCATTGTATGAATAATTCCATACAAAAAATAAAGTAAATACACAAGTTTACGCAGAAAATAACCTTATTTATTACGGAAGATTCCACTACGTCTGTTTAAATTTTATTGATTTTCGTTATAAACAAATTATTTTTTGAAAAATTTGCAATAGATATTAAAGGAACATTGATCATTTTCAAAGACATCAAGTTTTTCCACCTTATACGGTAAAATAATGATAGAAAAACAGAAATATCATGTTAGAGTGTTACGTACATCATTATGTGTAATTCCCCAGAGCTAAATCCGTAACGTACCGGAAAACAGAGTTTAGCTAGGTTTTCGAAAAGGTCAATATGACTGAAATACTGTTGGGAAAAGGCGTAAAATGAAACAAACAAACAGAATACCTCTGATTTTATCATTATTTTGTAATTCGAAAAGTTGCGATGTGTCAATAATTCATACATGTATGTAACTTTGGACGAAAGTTTTAAAAATTATCACTATCTAGCAGGTACTCGCGTTACCATAAAGCTGGCAATTCGCTAATACTGGTATGGACAGCAACAGGGTTTATACTGATGTTGCATATCCCTCTTTACGATGATATGGCATTCCGTCAATACATAGAAACAATTACAAAATATTTACAACCACATTACCAGGGTCTTAAAAAATTACACTTAATTGACAAAAAAAAAAAATTCTAACACATCTGATCTCTAAATTTGAAACTGATAGGGTGAAAACTGCTCCGAAAGTCATTAAATGAAAATGGAAAAGGTGCACAATGAATGTATGGTCTTTTTAGCTCACCTGAGCATGCTGAGGGTGAGCTTTTAGGATCGATGATTGTCCGTCGTCCGTTCACATTTAGTTGTTAACACTCTAGCGGTCGCATTTTTGCCTCAATCATCATCAAACTTGTTCAGGATGCTTATCTAGTTGATAGCTCGGATGAGTTCGAACATGGGTCATCTCGGATGAAAAACTAGGTCACAAGAGCTAAAAATAGAAAAACCTTGTTAACACTCTAGAGGTCACATTTTTGCCTCAATCATCATCAAACTTGGTCAGGATGTTTGTCTAGGTAATAGCTCGAATGAGTTCGAACATGGGTCATCTCAGATGAAAAAGTAGGTCACCAGATCTAAAAATAGAAAAACCTTGTTAACACTCTAGCGGTCACATTTTTGCATCAATCATCATCAAACTTGGTCAGGATGATTGTCTAGGTGATAGCTCAGATGAGTTCGAACATGGGTCATCCCGGATGAAAAACTAGGTCACCGGAGCTAAAAATAGAAAAACCTTGTTAACACTCCAGCGGTCACATTTTTGCCTCAATCACCATCAAACTTGGTCAGGATGCTTATTTAGTTGATAGCTCGAATGAGTTTGCACATGGGTCATCTCGGATGAAGAACTAGGTCACAAGAGCTAAAAATAGAAAAACCATGTTAACACTCTAGGGGTCACATTTTTGTCTCAATCATCATCAAACTTGGTCAGGATGCTTGTCTAGGTGATAGCTCAGATGAGTTCGAACATGGGTCATCTCGGATGAAAAACTAGGTCACCGGAGCTAAAAATAGAAAAACCTTGTTAACACTCTAGCGGTCACATTTTTGCATCAATCATCATCAAACTTGGTCAAGATGCTTGTCTAGGTGATAGCTTGGATGAGTTTGAACATGGGTCATCCTGGATGAAAAACTAGGTCACCGGAGCTAAAAATAGAAAAACCTTATTAACACTCTAGCGGTAACATTTTTGCCTCAATCATCATCAAACTTTGTCAGGATGCTTGTCTAGTTGATAGCTCGATAGCTCGGATGAGTTCGAAGATGGGTCATCTCTGATGAAAAACTAGGTCACAGGAGCTAAAAATAGAAAAACCTTATTAACACTCTAGTGGCTACTGTTGTGATCCAAATATTCTGTAAATTGGTCTGAAAGTTTGTTTTCATGATTTCTAAGTCAAGTTCGAACATGGGTCATCTTAAATGAAAAACTAGGTCACACCGTCCAAATATGGAAAAACCTTGTTAACATTCTAGTGGTCACATTTTCGACTCAATTATCATCAAACTTGGTCAGGATGCTTGTCTAGGTAATTGCTCGGATGAGTTCGAAATCGCATGTGAAACTAGGTCACCGGAGCTAAAAATAGAAAAATCTTGTTAACACTCTAGTGGTCACAATTTTGACTCAATTGTCATCAAACTTGGTCAGGAAACTTGTCTAGGTCATTGTTGGGATTAAATCGAAGATGGGTCATCTCGGATGAAAAACTAGGTCACAGGAGCTAAAAATAAAAAAATCTTGTCTAGGTAATTGTTTGGATGAGTTTGATGGGTCAGGTGAGCGATCTAGGGCCATCATGGCCCTCTTGTTCAATTATTGCTCTTCTTGGCTATCATTGACTTGGTCAATTATTACTTAACTGGTTAGCTTTTTAACTAAAAACACAGGGATAAGACGTTTTGATTATCCCCTATTGCTCAGCTGCCGCCTCCTCCTGTCTCATTTACAACTCGGTAAATATTATTTAAAGTCAATTTCCTCATTTTTTACATTGTGTCATATTATTGTTGTAATGAATGCTAAATCTGGAGGGAGTGAGATGGCCCTTGGGGGTAGCGGTTTTTGGGAAAAATTATCAGTTTCAAAGCATTTTTACCCCTTTGGGGTGTCAAATAATATAAATTTTTTGTTTAAAAAGAATTTGATTTGGATGATTAAAGTACAAAAACACCAGGGCCCAAAAATTTTAAATTTAAATAAATTTTTTAATTTAAGTTATAAATTTCCTTGATAAAAATTTGGAAAATTAAATTAAAAGGGAAATATTTTAAAATTTAATTTTGGGTTACTTCAATATCTTATTTTAGGGATGGCACAGAGGAGATTGCGGATGAAGCAAATTCATCATTTATTACCTGTAACAGGTGTGAACACTCATGTTCACTAGAGATCAGTTGTGAGTGTAAGCCTCATCATGGTGTATCTATTGTTGGCTTGATTGTAAGAAGTCAGGCTAGAACTCTAGAGCTGTATTCTAACAGTGATGGTTACTTACAGACAGCTAGAGGGAAAAAAGTGCATGAAGATGGCATATTCTGCTGTACATCAAAACTTGAAACTCCTTTTCAAAACAAAAAAATTTAAAAAAGGAAAATTAAAGTTTTTTTTAAAATTACGGGCCCGGGGAAGGTTGTAAAACTTTTTTTTCCTGAGATTTTTGTTGTGAATTTTAAAGGTTTTTCCATTATTTAAAGTGTACTTTTCTTTGCTGGTTTTTCTGACCAAATCTGAAATCGGGAGCCAAATCCTTTGGGGAAGCCGCTTTAAACGAAAAAACCAACATAAGGGGTTTTTGCGCCAGAGGGAAATCCGACCAGCCTGAGAAAAACCCATTCCTTTTAAGTCAAAAACCAGTTAGCCCGATTTGGGAGTTCATTAATGGGGGATTAAGATATTGGAAGTTCATTTCACTTTTTTCATTTCCCAATTAAGATTAATGCTTTGGTATAACACATTTTAAAATTTTTTTGAAAAGGGTTTCCCAAATGTTTTTTGTAATATATAACTCCTATCAAGAATGAAAACAGCCTTGTATTTATTACAAAAATATTATAAAAATAACAGGGCTATCCTACTCCATGTGGCATCGATTTTTATATCGGCATTACATTTTGGTTTAAGTTTTATTGTGCAACTTCTTGTCCATCATCATATCTCATATACCACTTAGGATGTTTGCTTGTATTAACTTCAAAAACTCATTTGAGATCAAAACTTTAGCATGGACTTTGACAAAATATTGGCTCTTTGTAAACTTGGAAAATTCCTGGTTCAAGTTTTGCATGGAACATCAAAACTACAAAAGATATTCGCTTGAAATATAATACAAGTGGTTGGGTTCATAGAGGTTCAGTCAAATGCCCATAGCATTTGGCATTGATTTTAAATGTAATATTGCCCTTTGTTAACTTGAATAAAATTTTTGGACAATATCCAGGAATATGTCATGTAATTTTTTGAATGAAATCTGCCTTTTTGTTAATTCCTTTATTATCCTTACTCTTGTTTTACTATCAAGCGCTGAGAAAAATCATCAAGCACTGAGAAAAATCAATAAACATGCCCCCTTTCCTACTGACAGGTCTTATTGTCAATTTTTAGCTCACCTGTCACAAAGTGACATGATGAGCTTTTGTGATCGCTTTTCGTTTGGTGTCCGTCCGTCCGTAAACTTTTACTTTAAACGACATCTCCTCATAAACCACTAACCCAATTTCATCCAAACTTCACAGGAATGTTCCTTTGGTAGTCAACTTTAAAAAAATTGTTCAAAGAATTTTATTCCAAGCAGAACTCTGGTTGCCATGGCAACCGAAAGAAAAAAATTAAAATATCTTCTTTTGGAAAACCGTAAGAGCTAGAGCTTAAATATTTGGCATGAAACATAATCTAGTCAGTGTCTACCAACTTTGTTCAAATAAATACCTGCGGTCAAATTGATCCCGCCCGGGGGGGGGGGGGGGGGGGGGGGGGGAATCTTTTTTTTAAAAAACCCAAATAGCTAGAGCTTAGCTATTAAGCATGAAACATCTTCAAGTGGGTGTCTACCAAGTTTGTTCAAATAAAAGCCCTGGGGTCAAAATTGGCCCCACCCCAGGGGTCATTGTTTTTCCCTTTATGCATAAAGTAGAAACTTAAAAAAATCTTCTTTTAAAAACCTTCAGAGCTAGAGCTAAGATATTTAGCATGAAACATCTTCTAATGGGTGTCTACCATTTTTGTTCAAATAAGGGCCCTGGGGTTAAAATTGGCCCCGCCCCGGGGATCATTGATTTCCTTAAATGTATATAGTAAAAACTTAAAAAAATCTTCTTTTAAAAAACCAAAGAGCTAGAGTTTAGATATTAAGCATGAATTATCTTCCAGTGAGTGTCTACCAAGTTTGTTCAAATAAAAGCCCTGGGGACAAAAATTGGCCCCGCCCAGAGGGGGGTCATTTTTTTTTCCTCGATATGTGTATAGTAAAAACTTAAAAAATCTTCTTAGAGCTAGAGCTTAGATAATTATTATTTTCATGAATCATCATCAAATGGATGTTGTACCAAGTTTGTTCAAATAAAAGCCCCTGGTTGAAATTGGCCCTGCCCTGGGGCCTATATACAGGTGAGCGATTTCAAGGCCATCATGGCCCTCTTGTTACATTATTTTGCCTGTTTTCTACCTTGTACTGAGAATAGCCAAGACTGCTGTCATACTGACAGCTCTTGTTGTCAATTCTTACATTATTTGGGCGTGTTTGCTACCAAGTACTGAGAATAATTGAGTGTGCTTTCCTGCTGACAGCTCTTGTTATTATATGTAATGTCTGTTATAAACAGTATTTAATCACCATTTACATGCTAAATTTACATTGCTTATGTTGAAAATAAGTTCGTAAGTTACAATTCAAAAAAAATGTTGATATATCTTTTTACAGTTTGTTGGGTTAGGTGAGAGGACATCAGTTAAAATTTACAAACTGCACTTTATTCTGGAACAAAACTGTGACAGCAAGACCAGTAGCAAAGGTAGTACAGGAATGATAGATATATCCAAGGTGAAGGGTTACCTACATAGTATGGGGGACAGTGCCCCTGAAGGAGGGACAAAACTTCTTCATGCTGTCGAAGATTACCAGCAGGTTTGTGATACAGATAGTATGTTATTTGATTGACTTTGTATGTATGTCTGAGTTGATAAAAAAAAAGTTTTAGAATTTTCTATAAATTGAGCACTCGTACAGTGCGCAGGTATAACCTATTAAATAACATGAAGCACATTGTTTAAGGTTCTACTTTAGGTTTATCAACAATATTTATTGTTTGGGATTTAACTTGGTTATGTACATATTGATAAAGACCAAAATAACTCACATATTCCATGCCTGAAATAGTTTTATACATTTGTATTTTGGAACTGCACTTCTATTTTATGTGGATAATTAAGTTACAGAATTTTTTTCAGACTCAGATGTCCAAGTTGGGAGCATTATCATCAGCTTTAAGTGTGGAAGGTGCTGACACCTCATCCATGCTTTCAAATCTTCTTTCCATGGTAACTAAATCACATGACACTAAAACATCCAGTGATAAAACACCAACTTCACAATTAAGAAATGATCAAGAAATCAAACAACAGGGCATGAAAAACAGCAGTCCATTAACTGCAATGTTGATGTCAATGTCAAGGTCACAGGATGTGGGTCAAGGTGAATCAGAAGGTCAAGGAGGGATGTTTGCTATGTTACAAAATATCTGTGGGAAAGTAGGCCAGATGAGAGTAGCAGAGCATGCAGCTGAAACAGGGGCAGAAACTCTGCAAGATGACCAAACTGACGTTACGGATACAAGGTATAATAATTTTACATTAAACAGTACAATACTGGAATATATTAAGATGGGTCACAGGTGGAGAAACGATATTGGATGAGCCATGCAAGTTTTATATGATTTCTTAAAGGGACTTAATTAAAGTTTTTTCACATGACAGGACTGGAAATAATTTTTCGAGATTAATGTTCCATTTGATGTAGGTATAGACCAATAACTTGTGTGCAAAATAGCAGATCATTAGCTCACTCCTTTTTCCCAGAATAATTATTTTAATTGTGGAAAATCGACCAAAAATTGAAAAATGGTTTAGTCTTTATTGAAAAATGGACACGTCCAATTACGGTAAGATATTTAGCAAGGGTTATTTGTAAGGGTTAATAACACAACTGTATATTGTACTTTACCAACCACAATATACATTTCATTAAAATGTGAAATTTGCAATTATAAAAAAAAGTACTATCAAATACTTTTGATTGTTCTAATAATTATTTAAATTGTGAAATTTAAATCTAAAAACAATTTCAGTGAGAATATTCTTAATTTTTAGCTCGACTATTTTATAAGAATAAGTAGAGCTATCCTAGTCACCAAAGCGTAACCACTTATGTTAAAGTTTTTGTAACACCTCAAATATTTTTAAAGTCCTGGTCACACTTGTTCACCATCATGCCCTCAACCTGTAGACAGGTGGAGGTAATTCTGTCAAGCATTTTGACAGAATTATGCCCCTTTTTGACTTTGAATTTATGTAAAAGTTTTTGAATAAACTCAAATATTTTCAGAGTCCATTGACATATGGCTTTGAAACTTTGCACACTTGTTTACCATCATGCCACAAACATGTAGACAGCAAGAGGTAACTCTACCAAACATTTTGGCAGAATTATGCCCCTTTTTCGCTTTAGAATTTACATTAAAGTTTGTGTACCACCTCAGATATTTTCATATTTCATTGACATCTTGCTTTAGACAAGTTGAAATTTTTTACTTTTTTTAGCTCAGCTGAGCGTGCTCGATGATTGTCCGTCGTCCGTCCACGTTTAGTTGTTAACACTCTAGCGGTCGCATTTTTGCCTCAATCATCATCAAACTTGGTCAGGATGCTTATCTAGTTTGTAGCTCGGATGAGTTCGAACATGGGTCATCTCGGATGAAAAACTAGGTCACCGGCAGCTAAAAAATAGAAAATCCTTGTTAACACTCTAGCGGTCACATTTTTGCCTCAATCATCATCAAACTTGGTCAGGATGCTTTTCTAGGTGATAGCTCGGATGAGTTCGAAATGGCATGGGTCATCTCGGATGAAAAACTAGGTCACCGGAGCTAAAAATAGAAAAACCTTGTTAACACTCTAGCGGTCACATTTTTGCATCAATCATCATCAAACTTGGTCAAGATGTTTGTCTAGGTGATAGCTTGAATGAGTTCGAACATGGGTCATCCTGAATGAAAAACTAGGTCACCGGAGCTAAAAATAGAAAAACCTTATTAACACTTAGCGGTCACATTTTTGCCTCAATCATCATCAAACTTGGTCAGGATGCTTTTCTAGGTGATAACTCGTATGAGTTCGAACATGGGTTGCATCTCGGATGAAAAACTAGTCACGGAGCTAAAAAATAGAAAAACCTTGTTCACACTCTAGCGGTCACATTTTTGCCTCAACATCATCATCAAATTTGCTCAGGATGCTTGTCTAGGTGGATAGCTTGGATGAGTTCGAACATGGGGTCATCTCTGATGAAAAACTAGCAGTCACAGGAGCTAAGAATAGAAAAATCTTGTTAACACTCTAGCGGTCACATTTTTGACACAAGTGTCATCAAAATTGATCAGGATGCTTTGTCTAGGTACTTGCTCGGATTTAGTTCGAACATGGGTCATCTCGGATGAAAAACTAGGTCACAGGAGCTAAAAATAGAAAAATCTTGTTAACACTCTAGTGGTCACAATTTTGACTCAATTGTCATCAAACTTGGTCAGGAAACTTGTCTAGGTAATTGCTCGGATTAGTTCGAACATGGGTCATCTCGGATGAAAAACTAGGTCACAGAGCTAAAAATAGAAAAATCTTTGTTAACACTCTAGTGGCTACTGTTTTGATCCAAATATCCTGTAAATTGGTCTGAAAGTTTGTTTTTGATAATTTCTAAGTCAAGTTCGAACATGGGTCATCTCGGATGAAAAACTAGGTCACACCGCCCAAATATGGAAAAAACCTTGTTAACACTCTCTAGTGGTCACATTTTCGACTCAATTATCATCAAACTTGGTCAGGATGCTTGTCTAGGTAATTGCTCGGATGAGTTCGAAATCGCATGTGAAACTAGGTCACCGGAGCTAAAAATAGAAAAATCTTGTTAAACACTCTAGTTGCTACTGTTTTGATCCAAGTACCTGGAAATTGGTCTGAAAGTTTGTTTTTTGATGATTTCTAGGTCAAGTATGGGTCACCTGGGTAAAAAAAGAGGTCACACTGCTCAAATATGGATAATCCTTGTTAACACTGTAGTGGTCACATTTTTAGCTCGACTTTTTCTATGAAAAGGGGAGCTATCCTAATCGCCCCGGCGTCGGCGTCGGCGTTGGCGTCACACCTTGGTTAAGTTTTTCGTACCACCCCACTTTATTTCAGAAGTATTACAAGTATGGCTTTGAAACTTACCATACTTGTTCACCATCATAACCTCCATCTACAGACAAGAGTACATAACTCTGTCAAGGTTTTTGACAGAATTATGGCCCTTTTTTGACTTAGAAAGTGTATTGAGCTTGGTTAAGTTTTTTGTACCACCTCACTTTATTTCAAAACCATTGGAGGTATTGCTTTGAAACTGACCATACTTGTTTACCATCACGACCTTCATCAACAGACAAGAGGACATAACTCTGTCAAGGTTTTGACAGAATTATGCCCCTTTTTTGACTTAGAAAATACATTGAATATGGGTAAAATCCACTTATTGCCTTAACCCTTTGAGATATTGCTTTGAAACTTTTAATGCTATTTCACATCATTACCCCCATCTGTACGCAAGAGAAGGTAACTCTGTCAAGGATTTGTTTTAAAAATTAAGGCCTTTTATCGACTTAGAATCTTGGTTAAGTTTTTAGTACCAGTCCACTTTTTTGACTGAACTGTTTGAGATATTAATTTGAAAGTTGGAATACTTGTTTACAATCATGATTCCCAAACATGTCCAGGAGAAGGTAATTCTGTCAAAGATTTTATTTGAATTATGGCCCTTAACTGTCAATGTTTTGTATTATAGGCAAGCACTAAAAAACTTAAAAAATCTAAAAAAATTCATTCCTATCCACTTGTTCACTTTACCATAAATTATGTCATATAAACATTGCTGTAATATTCAAGGGTATCAAACAACTAGTTATTTTTCTCTTTTTGTACTTGAAATTAAAATCACACAATTCAGTAAAATAATTCTTCACTAAATATCTTAATGCTCATGGCCATTGTTCACTTTAAAAATACAGAGATTCTTGTATTGCCTTTTACTGCAAAAACTTTTTTTATTGGCAAGCAATAAAAAAGTCGAGCGCGCTGTCTTACGGACAGCTCTTGTTGACTCACCTGTCATGAAACTTGGTCAGAATGCTTGTCTAGGTAATTGTTTGGATGAGTTTGATGGGTCAGGTGAGCAATCTAGGGCCATCAAATGGCCCTCTTGTTTGAGAGCATAATAGGACTCTCTCAAAGGCCTATAACTGTAACATGGATTTTAAAAAAAAATGGCCGTTTTGTGAACTTAGAAAATTTTACATTATCAAGGCTCTTTTACTATCAAGCACTAAGAATAGTCAAGCATGCTGTCCTACTGACAGCTCTTGTGTTTACTGTCTTTTTATGACCTTGTTAAATATCTTAACCTCAGAAAAAGCATGTTTTTCAGTTAAACATTGACAATTAATTTTTTATATTTCATAAATTCCAGGTCAAAGTCTCATCCAGATGTTGGTGCCAGTAATGATGACACATTATCACAAAATCTGACTGGTTCTCATATTGAAATGTTGCAGGCAACAATTCAACAGACTGTGTCACAAATGGTGCAATCAAGTGAAGAAAAAATACTTAAATATGTTGATACCAGACTAAACACAATGGAAACCAAACTTAACCAAAAACTTGATACAATAATTCAGTTGTTACAGAAAAAAGATAATATGGTAAAGGATTCAAGTCTGGATACTTGAAAATGTTTGAATGTATATAAAAGACTAACTGCTCTGTGATACTTGTTTTATTAACATGCAAGCATCTACTCAGGATGTGAAAAGCGTTTATTGTTGTTTTTTATGAAAACAAAAATTGCTGTGATGGGTGACTTTTATGCAAAGACAAATGATAAAATGAATTTTATGAATAAATATCAAAGATAACTGTTTAATAGAAAAGAAGAATTGTGAATTACATAATTATATGGTAAAGTAAATGTTTTTTACTGGTTTAAACTTTTGTTTTTAAACAGTATTTTTGAAATGTGTAGCTTTTGATACAGTGTCTTTAGGAAATCAATTTACTTTGCTATCAGATAATTTGAAATTAAAGTAAGATTATCCTTCACATTGTCAAAGCAATAATGAACCAGATCCAAAAAATTGTGGCTTGTTTTTATTACTACTTTCTATTTTTTTTATATTTGAGAATTTACAAAACCTTTTTTTTTGCGAGTCCTGTAAAATAAAGCTTCTGCGATTTCTGTGTGCTTCATTTTTTCTTACATGGCATGTTAACCAATTTGTTAAAGCATCAATAATTTCAATGAAATATAGTTTGTTTACAGTTACAAGAAATGAAAATAAATTTAAAATGCATGTCTGTAACAGAGTGGTTAAGGTCTTTGACTTAACATGTGGCCCCTCACCGCTGTAGGTTTGAATCACACCAGGGACTTTGGAGGCTTTCATGTGAGGAAGCTATCAAGCTGGCTTAACGAGTGTCAATGGTTCTACTTGGGTGCCCATTTATACTTAAGTAATGCACGGAGGGGCAATTGAGGTCTTCCACAGTCAGTAAAGCTGGAATGTCACCCTATGACTTTTACAGTGCACATTATTAGTAATCATTAAAATATATACATTCATTTCTTATCACAGACTTTAACGAAAATTAACTTCCAATTACCTCCCTTTATTTAGATGAAAATGTATATTCGGTAATATCTTTACAAATAATGCTTTTTTAAACTTACAATATTGATAAATTTTCATTTAAGCATTATATTTATGATATAAAACCATGAAAAATTGAGTTACAGGATCTTTAGTTATTTAGCAATAAGTTCAAAGATTTAGTTTTCATGTGACATCTATTGGTGAGGTAACGGTCTCTTATCAACATTAACAAACATAATATTGGATGCTTCTACATAAGTATTAGGTAACAACAATAAACCATATTTCTACAAAATTTATTCATCAATATTATACACAAATAACAATATAAAAATATTTACATAAACATATCACAGGGTGTTATAAATACATTACTATAAAATATCATTTCTCTACACAATAGGTTTCAAACCATCTTCCATTCAAGAACATAATTTCAACAATGCTTCTGTTCCAAATTAAATACATCAACAAAATACTGAAAAAAAATTCTTTTCTCTCAAAATACTTAAACCATGATTAAAGTGAAATGCATTATTTCTTCTAATGAAAGGTTTCAAGTTTATAAATAATTTTTATATAAAGTTTTCATAGTAAAAAGTTCAGATAATGCATTCTTCATTCTGCCACTTTGTGTATTTTGTTGATCCTCTGAATAATTTGACTTTCTTTATCTTGTAATTTTAATGCAATCTCACTCTGAAATAAGAAGAAAGAATATACATGTATATTATATGCACTTTTATTTAATATATTTATGTTAAAGGCACTCAACTAAGGTTTTTTTGGACAAGAGGGAAATATATTTTTGAGATTTGTGTACAATTTGATGTAGGTCTGAACCAATAACTTTTCAGAATTTTCAGATCATTCCCTCACACTGTTTTACCAGAATAATCGTTTTTATAGTACAAAATGACCAAAAATTGAAAAGCAATGTTGTCTGGTTAAGAATTGCATTAACTAATGATTTTCATTTTTTTTTCATTTTAAGTTAAAAAAAAACAATTTTATTTTTTTAGGCTTTTAGACTTCAGTGGAACTGAAATGATAAAATAACCATCTTTGTTTTTAAATATTTTATTGACATTTAAATATTTTACTGACTGCTCAACTTCTACAGGTACAACAATTTGGTACAAAGTCAAAGTGTACCAATTTACAACGGCTAGAAACAAGGAAACACTGTGACTGAATCAAAAGATATTAACATACTTGAGATACATAATTATTCTCAGGTGAGGAGATTAAGGGCTGCTTCTGAATGAGTTTTGAAAACCTTAAGAAAGAGAACTGTTAGAATATACCTGTAAATTTCCAAGCATTTCTTTAGTAACACTTTCAACAACTTCTCGGACATCTTCTGGTGTAAGTTCAGCAAACAGGTCAGATTGTGACACTTGATCCTCCAATTCTTTATTAGGATCCGGTTTTTCCTCTTCAGGCTATAAATAAACACATCATAACATTTTATACCTTAATACAATGTAAGATGTGCAATGACTTTCATGAAGAGTCACTCTTACCATGTGAGGATTATAAGCATTTAAGGCTATGATATGATCAAAAAGACGAAATCAGTATTTTGTTATTTAAGAATCGCTGAAACAATTCCTACAAAAGTCAAATCAGATTTGTCTTTTGTGTAAAACCAGACTGGAAAAAGATCAGTAACTTAACAATAACATATATTACTTTGAATGTGTTACTGAGGCAAGGTGAAAATCAAAATTAATCTTCAGGAATGATATCCCTGCAAAATTTTTCTATCATGTGAACTGAGTATGTGACAAATACAAATTTTTAGAAGTTGACTAGAAACATCATCTAAGGAAGTTTACAAAGATTTTACCATTATGGAACCACATAAATGATATTTATAAAAGAACATACACCACATACCGGTAATAAATAATAACAAGAATTTAATTACAAATGGTAAGATAAGTATAAGGGGCACAACTCTGGTGTTGTTAATTAAGGAATGTAGTACCTAATTTTAAAACTCAAATAAATTCATTCAAAACATTACAATGAGTAATGAGTTTATTGCTATTGATAATCATTATCACTATTGAACAGTTTTCATATAAGAATAATATGTTTTGTTATACAGTATGATAATAAAATATAATAAACCTGCATTCCTTGTTAATTTCTCGTTCTTCCTACTTATGGAAACAATATACCATTGAATTTAACATTTTAATGTTAGTATAAAGTGATATAATGTGCATTTGAATAGCAAAAATGTGAAAGCTAGTATTCAATATTGTTATTATATTATAATCAATATAATGATTTATTTCACTGTTTTCAACAAAACCAGTCCAGTGCTGCCAATGACCCCCTGTATTTTATACTTGTCCAGTACCTTTTGTTCTTAAGTCTTTCTATAACCATAAATTAAACTCTGCATTTTCTGTCTTTGATACAAAACAGTAACTAGTCTGCTGGTTTTCTTTGTTTGACCCCTATTTTCCTATGCTTGATACAGTTAAATAAACACCCTAGTACGGTCCTATGTTATTCCATAACATTTTAATTGATCCTGTATTTTTCCCTTAAAGGTAAATTGTCCCTTTAGATAAACAAATATTTTTCCAAAGTATTTTCTATGTATGTACTAGTAAAGTAGTACATGTGCCCTGTTAGTTCTATCATTGGTCTTTTACTTATGTTAGGCAATTGCAATTGATTGAATGAATTAATGAATGAATGAAATTATTTAAATAATTATTTATAAGATTTTATTATGAATTTGATGATGTGAATCTATAAATAAATAAATTCTTTTATGAATCATAAAGGATGATATCAATTATTACAAATATATACCGGTACTATAAACAAAAAGACTTGTAGTTTCTTTTTGAAGAAATGTTTAAATGAAAAAAAAGGGAAAGGTTTAATTAAAGCACTACCCATCAAGGTTAATGTTTTGGAAGTTTCAACGGTAAATTGGCAATACAGCATATTTTATTCTTACCACAATTTTCTTTCTAGAAGCAGACCCCTTAGATGACCCTCTAGATTTGGAGGCTGAACCTCGAGATTTAGGGGTAGTACCCCTTGATCTAGGGGTTGAGCCTCTTGATTTAGGGGTCTTTGGGGTCGCTACCCTTGACAAGGCAGATTTTGTTTCCCTTGACTTATGCTGTAAATGGTATATATATTATAAATGAATGTTAGGTAATGGAACAAAATGACTGATTGAGATGATATTTGATAAGAAATATTTAGTTACTGTCTAATATACATTGTATAAAGTAAAAGCTTGAATTTTATTTTGTGAAGAAAAAATATACATATGGTGCAACTCATTAAAACAAATCTGTAAAAATATTTAACAAACATGTACACCAGTTAAACATAATTATCTCTATACCTTTAAAATATTACATGAACTTCTTGGTAAAAAAAGAGTAATTTGCAGGTATCAATTTCAATCAAAACTGTAAAAAGTGTGAGTTAAAAAGTGTAAGACATGTATGCATACCTCTGGAGAAGGTGTAGGAGGTGGGGTCTTGATATAATCTTGAAATAAATCTGCGGACACTCCTTCATCTAGAGGTGGTGGGAACGGGACATCGGCTGCTTTAGCTACCTCAACCTCTAACTGGAAATATACCACAGTTAAATATATAATCACCACATGCAATCTTAAGGCTTTGTAAACATTCACAGTTTTATATATATTAATTTCTAGATATATTGTAACAATAACATAAAGGAAACAACATGAATAAGAATTAGATAATAGTTCTGTGAATAGTTAGTATAGGTTAAGATAACATGTACTTATAATTATGTCTTTAAGATAATTAAACATGCTATTGTTTGTAATCCTTTGCTTCTTAACCCTTTCCCTCATGAGCATATTGTGAAAAATGGCCGTTTTCACTGAAAAGCCTCCTGTTACAAGTTCAAACTGCTATGAAACTATGAAAAATGCTTCAATACTAATCAAACTTGACACAAATGTTGACTGGACCATTGCCTTTGTAACGACATGCTCAGTCTTAAATTTCCTGTTACCATGGCAACAAGGGGACATCTCAAAATTGCCAAAAATCACTATTTTGCCTCGATTTTTTTCATCAAAATTCATTTCAAAGTGCTGCAACTTCTCAAGGGATTGAGATAGAGTCAAAGGCTTTTCAGCCTCTCACAAGTCCAAAATTTTCTTGGCGATGAGGGAGACTCCGCCCCCCTTCAAACCCCCCAAACAGAAGGGGGCACATCCCCCTTCTGGCAACCCCCTGATGTATCTTTTGGATGGGGGGCGGCACCGATAAAGTGCTCACTTTTTTAAGCAACATTTCTCAAACGAAAACATGTGTTTGGGGCCCAAATAGGACATTTTTCACTATTTCAGACCTAAAAAAGGGGGGGGGTCAAAAAAAGGGGGGGGGGTCGAAAGTGCGTTGTTTCACGTATATATGAGGTAAAGGGTTAAAAAGGCAGGATTTCTTTTTCAAATAACAAAAATAAATCCTGCAGGAGGCTTTTTTTAACTAAATACTTTTGGATTGACTATTATGAACAAAAAAAGGAAGGAAAAAGTAGCTTTAAGTTCTAACTTACATCAGTACCAATGATTTCCTCAGCTTGTGAATGGGTGAACATGAACAAAAATAGTCTATAATGCTGAAATAACCTGCAATGTAAATATCAATAAGTATATCATTATAGCAATCATTATACCTTAATGCATAATATTTTGGATTTAGTTTTCATTAGCAAAGTTCTTAAAATCTATCTAGAGAAATCAGTGACTTATGAATAGTAATAATAAAAATACATGTAATAATAATAACAACAAAAATTCAATATAAAATAATGACTGTACAATAAAGTACAATGTATACATAATAATTAACACAAATATAAATACAAGAAACCAAATTATCTTTGCAACATTTTACTAACTTTATAAAACTAATGTTTAACTAACGGTTGATTTATGAAATGAAGGGAGAGAAAGAAACTCTTACGTAGTATAAACATATTGTGAGACTACTTTAGCTTCTTTTACAGAAAAGAAGTCGAGACTGCCTGATTTAACTTCATCAACACCAATACCTGCCAACATTTTACTGAACTCTACTGAGTTTTCAGTCATACTCAGATGTTTCTCTGAAAATAAAAAAAAGGATTGTTTAAGATGACTCAGCCAATTTAGTTATTATTTCATTATGTTTAACATTTGTGAAAATTTTGTGAAATATATGCAAAATAATTAATGACATATCAATATCAGGTGAAGTTATAGTTTATACCATTAATTCATTGCTTCAAGGAATGAGTGGCTGGCCAGCCAAAGTTTCAAAGTTGCAATCCAAAACCACATTAAACTTTGGTACCCACATTTGCTAAACATCATTTCCTTCTTTCATTTTTTAAACTATGAATATTTCCCCCAAGTGTTAAAATCATGTCCCCATGCAATAAATATCAGTAAACAGAAATCTCCACTCCCGCCAAACAGAATACTGTGCCATGCACTATCCCAAAATTAACAGGAGCACCGCTAGGCAGAGCATTATATGCCCGAAAGTGTTTTTTTTTAGTAAGGATGAAGCATTTGTAAGACATGGGAATTAGCTGTTCATCCTATAAAATTTTACAGATGTAGGTTGATTAATACTTAAGTTATTAATAATGACCTTAACCTTTGACCTTGTGACCCTAAAATCAATAGGGGTCTTCTACCTTATATGGACAATCATCCTAAGGAGTTTGAATATTGTGGGCCAAATGGAACTTTAGTTATGCTCCAGAAACTGTTTTCAATTTTAAGGTAATAGTGACCTTGACCTTTGACCTTGTGACCCAAAAATCAAAAGGGGTCTTCTATCCAATATGGACAATCATATTATGAAGTTTGAATATTGTGGGCCAAATGGAACTTAAGTTATGCTCTAGAAACTGTTTTCAGTATTAAGGTAAAAGTGACTTTGACCTTGTGACCCCAAAATCAATAGGGGTCTTCTACCCAATATGGACAATCATCCTATGAAGTTTGAATAAAGTGGGCCAAATGGAACTTATGTTATTCTCCAGAAACTGTTTTTGGTTTTAAGGTAATTGTGACCTTGACCTTTGACCTAGTGACCCCAAAATCAATAGGGGTCTTTTGCCCAATATGGACAATCATCCTATGAAGTTTGAACATTGTGGGTCAAATGGAACTTAAGTAATGCTCCGGAAACTGCTTTCAGTATCAAGGTAATAGTGACCTTGACCTTTGACCTTTTGACCCCAAAATCAATAGGGGTCTTCCACCTAATATGGACAATAATCCTATGAAGGTTGAACATTGTGGGTCAAATTGAACTTAAGTTATGCTCCGGAAACTGTTTTCAGTTTTAAGGTAATAGTGACCTTGACCTTTGACCTTTTGACCCCAAAATCAATAGAGGTCTTCTACCCAATATGGACAATCATCCTATGAAGTTTGAACATTGTGGGCCAAATGGAACTTAAGTTATGCTCCGGAAACCAAATTGCTAACAAACAAATTGCTAACGGACGGACGGACAGACAGACGGACGCCAGGGGGTATAACATAATATGCCCTTTCGGGCACATAACAACTAACTATGCATGGTGCATCACTATATGGGCAACCAAATGCAACAGTAAATAATCCAAAAGGAAAGAAAAAACAACAGACTTTTATAATGTTCAGGATATAATTTTGCTGTGTGAAACAATGATTTACCATAGCCTGTATATGAAAGAAAGTATCAAAGCTGTTTACCTTTTATATTTTCCAACAATGTGTGCATTACTGTGAAAAAGCCTGACAACTGTTGGGCAGTGAACTTCTGTTGTATTCCCCAATACACAGCTGACGTATAGTAGTCTAATATAGAAGCTTGTGTTATGTCTATTGCATTGTTCTCCAGATTAAATATCTCTTTTAGTTTGCTGAAAATATTAATAATGTACATCTATTCTTAATTATGCAAATAATATTACCTTGGTAATGTAATAACCTTACTTAAAAATATATATTCGATATTTTTTTTACTATAGAAATTGTAACAGTATATATATTTGCATACATGCCATAATTTTTACACTCATTTCCGGGACACTTTTCATTTGGGGGTGGGGCATTGATCAGCAAACGTATTTTTTTTAAAATTTACATAGTGGCATACAACCTGTATTACCGGTATTTTAATACAACTTGCAAATTTAATGACACCATAAACAAAAGACAGAATGTCAATAATTATTAACAGTTTTTCTATCTTTTTTAAGTATTTAGGCATCGTTAATTCAATCAGTCACAGAATAGAATAAAGCTATGTTAAGTAATGACAATTAGCCATGTCGTTTACCTGAAACATTCGCGGAATCTTGTAGATTTTATCACCTCAAATTTAGCGGTAATTTTCACGGTGTTTGACCACTAATAACTGCCTTCAGGCGGATTAAATTTATTCTGGCCAGTTGTTAATTACAGTGTATGACACCTTCGCTCAGGAAGCCACATGGGGTAAACATTTAATCTTTTAATTGATCAAAATTATTGCCGATAATTGTTTGTTGGAAGGGGCACGTAGATATACCAATCAAAGGATTAGTGTCACCATTGCAATGCTGTTAGGGGATAATCGTTCGTTATTAGCGTTCTAGACTAGTTTATAAAAAACTTGACAATAAAATTATATAAAAATGTAAAATTTCTTGCTTCAAAGTAGATTATTTTAGATTTTTTTTTACCGGGACATAAATAATCTCCGGGACACCTCCGGGACAGACACCTTATTTCCGGGACGTTATGGCATGTATGATATTTGATACTTTTTTACTATAGAAATTGTAACAGTTTTCAATCTTATAGCTCATAATAAATCTAAAGTTTTGATAAAGCCATGTCTCTTTCTATTATATCTATTTAAGATTCCACCTACTGATTCCACCAGTGCCACCTTGTATACCATTTATATAAGTATTAAACAAAAGTTATGGATCATTTTTCATATTTCATTATACATACTCTTGTATTTGATTGACATTCATGGGTAGAAGTTCATTAGTTTGTTCCTGTGTGAGCACCTTGAATGCCATAGACTCTTTATCATCTCCATCATCATCCTAGATAATAATAAATAACTGGTAATTATCTAATGGTTTAGGGATATATTCATATTATTGAAGGAACTACACTTATAAACATGAATTTACTTGCAACAAAGTGATATCAAATTTAATTAATTGGCCCACAAACAAGTATAATTACTATAACCCACACATATGCTTCTCCTCCAAAGGAATGCCGCAAAACATTAAAAATTAGAACAATATGGCCTTTAATAAGAACCCAAATTATTTCAGATTAATGCTCTAATTTTTTAAAGGTTTAAATCAATTTGAATAAAAGCAAATGAGTATCTTAGTAAATAGATCATGGACCAGCAACTAATGGGAGACAATGAAAGTTTATAACTTAAAATTTACACTGAAATTGAACTTTGAATTGTTTTGGAAAGTTGAGGATGAATTTTAATATACATGTAGCTGTCTAGACCTAGCATTTTATAAATCAGTAGAGAGAGGTGAAGGCATTGAGCATGCAACCTAATGTTGGATACCATTACCGGTACCTAGAAAAAACAGTCAGACTAAGAAGTCAAACCAGAGACCAATTCCCAATCTTCTTGCAGCTTATATTTTTTATACTTTTGCAACGATAGTATTCTGCAGTATATAATAATAGTATACTGCAGAATACTATCGAATGTATGGAAAAATGTTTAAAAAGTTTCTAGTTGATGGTTTTAAACAAGTATAGAATAGTTTACTAATTAATACGGGGAAGTCAAAGGCCGTGACCGCGAAGCGGGCCCGAGCTTTGACTTGCCCGGCTATAGACTACACATGTATATTTTAGAGGAGATCAGATAAAAAAAAAAACAATTACAAAATATATAGAATTCTATACCTATCAATGAAATTTCAGTGTCAGTTCTAATTGTGTGCCGCCATATTCAATGTAACTCAATGATAATAGGTGGGATATTCCGATGACATAACAATTTTTAAAATAATCGTCGAGTGCTCCGAATGAAAATGGAAGCAGCATATAAAATACCGAATGACACCTTTACAACAGAAAAGAAATTTTTTAAACCGACTTCCCCATTCATAGGCTTTGCTTAATTTCATATAAAAAAATGTGCAGCTGCAGTCCTACAACATCAAACCTCGATCCTCAGAATACCGTTCTGTTGACTGCTCTTCCAATGCACTTATAAAATTTCTCCTAAATTAGTGAACAGTAAATTTATACATTGACATACTGTATATGTACTTCATCCCATAAATGAAATTCAGTCTCAATACTTTAATGGGTGCGGAGAACCATATAAATCATCTGAGCGCTATAATGGATGTAATTAAAGCAGCCAAGGTCTGTCTTTAATTGGACGCTGAATGTGTTCAGTTAACAAAAATATGCAGTCTGATTCGGACTCAACCAAGCATCTATGAATACCACAAGACACAAGTAGGCCTACTAGTAGTGATATATAGGTATTATAACGTAAGGAAATGAAATGGCAATAGTGAACAAAGCTGTAAATTTGATGTAAACAATAAAATAATGAGGCGGAAAATGTAAACAAAGCTAAATAAGCACCGAATATGTAAATTTCAAATTAACTTCAACAGATATCTAATTTTTTTTTCTTGCATACATATATAGTACCTCTAGAGTTACTTTCTTTCCCCTTCCTTTAGAATCTGATTTTGCAGACAAAGTTGACCCACTTTTATTACTTTTCCCCGATTTGGACCCTTTCGAAGCCATGTTTACTTGTTGCTAAGCTTTATTCACTTTTCATTTTCAGAGAGCACTTGTCAAAGGGGAGCAACTTTTGAGATACTGTCTAAATCTTGCACGAATGTAATCTGCTTTATAATTTTACACCAGATAAGATCGTATAAATCTCAGAGTTTATTTTATTTTTTTTAATCTTGAAATTTTCAAATATTTCAAACTTACCTTTGATGGTTTCCCTTTTACCTTTCCCTAAAACATAAAATTACATGCTAAAATTTATGTCCTGTAAACTGGAGCATACAGTACAGCAGTGAAATGCTTTAGTGAAATGTTTTAAATAAATGTATGCTTCTAACCAAAATAATCACTTGATTTCATTAAAAACTGAAATAAATACAGTCATATTAATTAGCATCAATGTAGAAAAGCACGAAATAGAACCTGACAAGTCAAGATAGGCTACATCAAAACCATTAAATACACACATGTATATAGATCTAACTGCGGAGTCTAGGCCTAAAATTAAAATCTATTCATAAAATGTTTATTGTTTCATATAGAATACTTGAATATCCAGAAATCCTAACGATGGTTGTTTCTCGTCAAGAATTTACAGCTTATTTTAACAATCCATAAATGAGCCGCGTCACGACAAAACCAACATAATGTGTTTGCGACCAGCATGGATCCAGACCAGCCTGCGCATCCGCGCAGTCTGATCAGGATCCATATGCTGTTCGCTATCAGTTTCTTTACTTGTTATAGGGTCTGCAATCCCTATTCTGTTCGCAAACCCTTTATGTTGGTTTTGTCGTGACGCGGCTCAAATCGAGATAAATTATATTTAAAACATATATCATTTTTATTTAAAAAAAGGGGGGAACGAAATGTTAGTATTTCAAAAGACGTTGTCTTATAGTTCATATGCCGTGATGATGTGGTCCTGACACCAAATATATTATGGAAGACCATTCTTAGAACGAGATAGACAATTTATTATATACTTATAGATGAAATATTGAGATATATTGATGAAATAAAATGCTTATTTTCATTTTCCAAATTTTCACTGTAAAAATTTATTTTTCACTGCAGTGAAACATATTTTCCGTATTTTCACTGCTGTCTTGAGGGACTACTTTCTTTGAAATTCTGCCAGTACACAACATTAAGGGAAAGTCTTTCAAATTCATTTAATTGTAATGTCAAAAAAGAGGAAAATGTATATAATAAACAGAAAATTCAAGTTTTTTCTGTAAACACATGATTTATTTTCATCTTGTGGCCTGAAAATTAATATATTTCACTTGTGGCTACCGCCACTCATGAAATATTTATTTTCATACCACTTGATGAAAATAAATCATGTATTTACAGAAAAAACTTGAATATCCTCTATGTATTTTGTCGATAAATAAAATCTATTTTATAGCGTGTTAAAAAAAAGATTTGAATAAAGAAATTTATGTGTAAATCATATCAAAACAGCTAGGTTAATATATATATTACCTTTTTACTCATTCTGCGTCGATCTGCACCTGCCATAGATAAATAGTTTAATCAGCTGTTTATATTGGAAATAGAAACATCATGAAGTTACAAAAAAAGTATTTCTTGTTATTTAGATCTGACGTTGTTACGTATACTGTGTTACCAACGTCAACTCACGTCGTCACATGACGTAAACAATGGTAACGTTAGATAGGGCGTTCTATTCAGACTGGTATTATGAAGTCTGAATAAAAGACAGTAAAACCAATACTCGTACCAGATAAAAACATCTTATGGATTTTTTTCTCTTTAAATGCATACTTAATTAAATACCATAATTATATGTCGTGATTGAATCAAAGTCTTGCGAGACTCTAGAAAAGTAACTTCAGACGATAAAATTGCATGTATGACAGCATATACGGATTGCGTTGTAAATGAAGAATGTCGATCAGTATAGGCCCAGCAGTTTTATATTTTTCCGGAGAAAGAGTATTGGATAATACAAGCACTGATTTTTTTCTTATTTATTATATTTATCTTTTGAATTTGTGAAATTCTAGTTCATCATTACAAAATTAACGAAAAACGCCGCAGCAGCAGCAGCAATTTAAGCATCACGTGTCTATAGAAAAAAATGATCTAATTAATTTCTGATTATAATTTACATATTATTAACGACTTATTCTGTCATTAAAATTCGATATGCAATGCATGCCATAATTTAAATGACAGTACAAGTCACAAATCAAATATATAGAGAACGACGCATATAAAATGTTTTTGCGAATCTGAAATTTCACTAAATTGAGCATAGATTTCTACCACAGCCGATTCGCTAGATCAAAGCGTTTCACAATTTTTCTTCTGTCAGTTTCGACAAATTGTATTTTAAAAATGCTTTAAAATATAGTAAAAAATTTATTTCGTTGGTGACCTTTAAATTGTTCTTATGATTAATGGGTTACATTAAGTTTCTATAACATTTTGACAGAATAAAGATCGCACATCAAATTATGTGAAATAATAAAAAGAAAAGGTAAGGAAACACGTGTAAAAACCTTTTCAGTCTACAAAAATAAGTGCATAATTGATTCTCTCAAAATCTTTTGAAATAGTTACCTTGAAAACAATCTTTTTCAAACTTTGCCTTTTGATAACAACTTAATGGCTAATTCAAAACTAATATCTATAGAAAATTTTAATTTGACATACCATTCGATTATTTATATGATAGGTTTTCTACAATAATCCATTTATATCCTTTCTCGATTATATACTTTAATTAGTGATAAATAATTGATGAAAAGTACGGTGAAAAAAAAATCAATTCACATGTTTATACTAGTAACCATACTATGATATAAAGGGTGTCATACAATGTTTGTATGATTATACCATCTACAATAGCTGTGTCTATACAACTTGATATTTAAGGCCGAAATCAGATATGGATACAGTGTGGAACTTCAATTCACATTGATAAAGATAAACGATAATTCAAAAGGGGGATTGCAGTTCAATACGTACGATTAATATGCTTAGTTAAATACACAAACATTCAATTATTTTATGACAATATCTCTTAACTGGCTTATATCAACGGAAGACAAAAATATACCTCGATTTATTGTCAACCTAAATTTGATAACTTACAGCTCTCGCAGTATATCGCTGTCAAAAAATTGTCATTTGTAGGGGTTGAACGGGAAGATGAAGAAGGAGACATCTTAACATGCTAATACAGGGACAAGAGAAATGAAAAAAAAAGCATGAAGCAAACAGAAATTCCTGGATAATTACGAGGAAAAACACCATTAAATATATCATAATAAATGAAGACTCGGTTGTACTGCATTAAATCTAATATAAAGTAAAATAGAGAAGATTTAGTTAATCTGATAGTAACAAAAAAGAATGCTGAGTTAAGATGCTAAACAAAAAAATGTAATCACACTGATAAGAGTTAAGCCAACGGAATGGCTTGGCTTATACACAAAATGTATGATGCAATTCATTTAAACAACAGCTTCTACTGGTCGAGAATATTCAGGACATAGCCTTAACTCATATAAACTAAGATAGCCTGAAATCACATAAACTAAGATTGCCTAAACTCATATAGACAGTAAGAGATGACGTTCTTACAATACATGTCAGTAGAAGTTTCTTAAGTATGTACAATACATGTGTTTACCTTTCGTATTATATTATATGCATACCTTTTTTTCGAGAAAGATTTAAAAGACAATTTGTCAAGCCCATGTCGTATACGAACTAAAAAAATTTATTACTGACTTGGCCAATGAGTTCGAACACTAAGCAAAGAAACGGGGCTTCAGAAATATTTGATAAGTATATATTCTCTAACACTGTAAAAAGAAGAATAGTATATGTAATGTCTATGTGATGATTATCTTAGAATTCTACCTATCATGGCAATTCTGAAATAAAAATTAAACACAGCGTAACAGTATAAAGTTAAATCGCTAGGAAAAACAAATGAGAGGAGAATGTGGAGAATGTATTGTACAATATTTTTGAAACAATATTTAACCTTTTACAAAATTATGATAATAGTAAAAAACTTACTCATTATGATTCCTTAGTCCGTAATTTTTACCAACAAAATATTCCTTTTAATGTATAACTATCAACAATAACGTAATCTTAAAATCCATAAACTAAAATAATGGAGCGTTCGTTTTTCTTTAATCTGGCTGACTTATCAGATTAACTCGTTCATAAAGCTTTAACCATTTCATGAAATTAAATGACAGTACACTTGCATTTGATCTGTACTTTCCATTCATATATAAGTCAATGTCGAATGGCAAACTTCCAGTATTAACGGCATATGAAAGTCCTCAGACGGCCTTTAAGTACTTTAATTGTGCAGGCACGGTCACTGTATATGTTTTATAGTGAAAAGGCAAGATATAAAGCAAGTTTCAGGACTGTCAAAGAAAGTTTATAAATATATTTTTGTCAGGTTACATGCCTATTGTAATGTAATACACATTTAGTATGACTGCCCGAAACATCCGTCAATGACGCGATACTAAACTTCTAAAGTTCCTAAATCAGGCTGGCATTTTCTTGGTTTATACACTATCTCAGTAATAATCACACATGTTCTAAAAGTTATTTTAAAACATTTCACTTTGATGTACTTTTCTTTGTATTAGACGTACTTACGTTTTACCTTTCTTCAACTTAAGCTAGTAATCAAAATCCACGTGTTTTGTATAAAGAGTGTTTAATTGGTTCAACGTATGGACACTGGGTCATAGGTTCGATAATTTGCATCTGCACCAATTTAAATAATTTATTTTGTTTTCCTAAATAATTCTTAGAGCTGTCCTGGAAGCCTTGGAGCTGAGAGATACACAACCCACCTAACACCCATACTGCGTGTCTCTGTTTGCTACATGTAACAAACATACTGTAAAACTCACAATTCAGTAAACAATCATTGATAACCTCTAATATGTAATGTGTTTATTAAGTCTTTAGAGTCGTTAAGTAAATAGAGGATATTAAATGAGCGTAGATTCAATACTGAATTTACTGAACGAGTTGGGAAAAAAAACTTATATTGTGCGGTCCTCTGGCGAGCATATTACTTAATTCAACGAGTTCAATAAATTTAGTAATGAACCTGCACGAATATAATTCTATTAATCACATACCCAAATTAAGACATTTTAAAGTGAAAAAGAATCATTATTCATTGACGCGCCTATAGTTAGCGCGTCTTTACACTGCGTTTGAATGACGTCAAGCACAACCATGTAACACCATTTTTTACGCGGCAATAAACTAATTTTTTCACTCGAATTTATCATTGAATCAATATAGCATGTACCATGTTCAATGGGGGAATATTTTACATGTGCTGGCCAAATTGTACATTAAAAGCGTTAGCACGATCTTGTCAAAGCATGTTGTGTCCAAAATGCAATTAATCAATTTCAAGATTTATTGCAAAACTTTTAGAGGATCATACAAATATTATTGACGTATAATGTGATAAAGCCAGTTAGTCGCTCTTGGTCAATGACTAAATAACTGATAAATAGTAGAAGTGTTACACTAGATGTGAACATATTTTATCAGTATTATAGTTTTGTTCTGTTAAATTAAACACAGTGTTATCAAATATAAGAACCTATATGGGCAATCAAATTCTTTAATATTTTCCCAAAAGATATAGTGAAACTACTTACATTACAATGAATATGGAATGCTAAATAGGACTTTGGAATGCTACACAAAAGTTAGAATGCTATATCACCATTTAGAATGCTGTAAAAGCGTTATAGAACCATTTAGAATGCTACAAAACGGTTTAGAATGATATAAAAGTATAAATAGTGCTATATAACCACTTAAAATGCTATATAAGTATAAAGAATGCTAAATAACCACCTCAAACACTACATAAATATTTAGAATGCTTAATAAGCATCAGTAATGCTATATAACCATTCAGAATGTTGTATAAGTTATATAATATAACCATTAATAATGTTAGATAATCATATAACCTTTTTGATTGCTAAATAACCATTTAAAATGCTATATAACCTCTAAGTCTTTGTTTCAGAATATAGACACATTAAATATGTCATCTGTATTATTTATTTTAACTAGCTCAATTATTTCTACATTATGTCCCTTTGTACACTTTTTTATGTAGATATAGATTAAGGCTTTGGTTTAATATAATGTCAAGATTGTCAGTGTCACAATATATTCCACTTGTAATTACACCATAGTTCAATATGTTGACAATAGTCACCTTAGTATTATTTGTGTTGTGTTATTTAGACTTATGCCATCTTTACTTAATAACAAGAAATAATAACAGAGAACTAGAGTCTATTTTGTTTCTTTATTTTGTTGGTTATCAAGCTTAACCAAGGCATAAATATGATACTGTTAATTTAAAACAGATATACATTGATATCAACAAAAGAGAATTTTAATATAAATAACATTATTTGTGGGCTGGGTTTTATGTTGCAGCAACTCAGATATCACATGGTGGTTTTTCATTTACTTGAGATTTCAGATCTCCACCATACAAATTAACTGGATAGCATCCTCACAAGAAAGAATCCAAAGTCTCTAGCAGGATTCGTATCCACAACTGCAGGGAGCAAGTGGTTTAAAGTCAATAAACTTAACCACTCAACCATGGACATTTTTAACAAAGGAGATGTAAAAGTGGTGATTATTACCAATACAAAATATTTTTTACTGCTCCATTAAAGTACATTTGTATTTGTTTTCAAATTCATTTATTCTATTTAGTTTACTTGTAAATAAACAAGAATTTGTAACAGAGTTACCAACGTCCCCCGCCCCGGGAGTTTTATATGAAGCATAAAATTGTGCTATTTCAAAAGATTGAGGTATGGATCTCAGGACATTCAGTCCAAAATTTTGATCAATGCTAGATCTGCAAATGTAACAATAAATTTGTTAAAAAAATAAAATGAAACACGGAATTTAAAAATCTATCATGTTAATATTTGACCTGCAAGTGTGACCTTGACCTTGAAGGTAGGTGACTGGTTTTTGCGCATGACACATCGTCTGATTATTGTGAACAATTATGGCAAGTATTTACAAAATCCCTTCATAGATAAGAAAGTTATGGACTGGACACGACATATACCCTCAAATAGACAATGTTAACCTTGAATGAGCAAGTACGACCTTGACCCTGAAGGTACGGGTCTGGTTGTTGCGCATGACACATCGTCTTATTATAACAAACATTTGTGCCAAGTAATTTCAAATTCCTTTGATAAATGACAAAGTTATGGACCGGACACGAAATATACCCTGTAACAGACTATGTTAATATTTGACCTCCAAGTGTGACCTTGACCTTGAAGGTAGGTGACTGGTTTTTGCGCATGACACATCGTCTGATTATTGTGAACAATTATGGCAAGTATTTACAAAATCCCTTCATAGATAAGAAAGTTATGGACCGGACACGACATATACCCTCAAATAGGCAATGTTGACCTTGAATGAGCAAGTGTGACCTTGACCCTGGAGGTAGGGGTCTGGTTGTTGCGCATGACACATCGTCTTATTATAATAAACATTTGTGCCAAGTTATTTCAAATTCCTTTCATAAATGACAAAGTTATGGACCGGACACGAAATAGTGACGGACGGACAGACAGACGGACGGACGGACGGACAGACGGACGGAGCCTATTTCTATATCCCCCTTTTTTCTTCGAAAAAGCGGGGGACAAAAAAAACTTGTTTAAATATTAAGATCAAAACAAAATGCTGTATTAATGTGCCTTTTGTACAATTATTTACCTTAAAAAATTAGCAAGAGTTAAAATTAGGAAATAATTCATCATCATTACAATCATCATCATCATGATCACCATCACCACCACCACCCACATAACCATCACCCACCATCATTAATGTAACTTTATTTCATTAATTCCAAAATAAAAGTATAGAATATACAGTATCAACATAAGACATCAAAAAAATTGTTCTGGCTACAGCAGCAAGCTAAGTATCGGTATACTGAATTGTTACAATACAAACAAGAGGGCCATGATGGCCCTGAGGTCGCTCACCTGTATATAGGCCCCCCACCCCCGGGCCAATTTTTACCCAAGGGCTTTTATTTGTTTATTTGAACAGACTTGGTAGACACCCATAAGAAGATGTTTCATGCTAAACATCTAAGTTCTAGCTCATTGGCATTTTTAAAAGAAGATTTTTAAAGTTTTTACTATACACATATAGTTAAAAACAATGTCACCCCTGGGGCAGGGCCAGTTTTGACCCCAGGGCGTTTATTTTAACAAACTTTGTAGATATATACTTAAAGATGTTTCATGCTTAATATCTAAACTCTAGCTATTTGGGTTTTTCCAAAGAAGATTTTTAAGTTTTTGCTATACACATATAAGGAAAATCAATGACCCCCCCCCCCCCGGGCGGGGCCAGTTTTGACCCCAGGGCTTTTATTTGAACATACTTGGTAGACACCCATTAGAACATGTTTCATGCTAAATATCTTATCTCTAGCTCTTTGAGTTCTTTAAAAGAAGATTTTTTAAGTTTTTACTATATGCATATAGGGAAAATCAATGACCCCCTGGGGCGGGGCCAATTTTGACCCCAGAGCTTTTATTTGAACAAACTTGGTAGACACTCATTAGAAGATGTTTCATGCTAAATATCTTAGCTCTAGCTCTTTGGGTTCTTTAAAAGAAGATTTTTTAAGTTTTTACTATATGCATATAGGGAAAATCTATGACCCCCTGGGGCAGGGTCAATTTTGACCCCAGGGCTTTTATTTGAACAAACTTAGACATTAACTAGAAGATGTTTCATGCCAAATATCTAAGCTCTAGCTCTTATGGTTCTTTAAAAGAAGATTTTTTAAGTTTTTACCATATGCATATACAGGAAAATCAATGACCCCCGGGGCGGGGCCAATTTTGACCCCAGGGCTTTAATTTGAACAAACTTGGTAGACACTCACTAGAAGATGTTTCATGCTTAATATCTTAGCTCTAGCTCTTTGGGTTCTTTAAAAGAAGATTTTTTAAGTTTTTACTATATGCATATAGGGAAAATCTATGACCCCCTGGGGCGGGGTCAATTTTGACCCCAGGGCTTTTATTTGAACAAACTTGGTAGACATTCACTAGAAGATGTTTCATGCCAAATATCTAAGCTCTAGCTCTTATGGTTCTTTAAAAGAAGATTTTTTAAGTTTTTACTATATGCATATAGGGAAAATCAATGACCCCCGGGGCGGGGCCAATTTTGACCCCAGGGCTTTAATTTGAAAAAACTTGGTAGACACTCACTAGAAGATGTTTCATGCTTAATATCTTAGCTCTAGCTCTTTGGGTTCTTTAAAAGAAGATTTTTAAGTTTTTACTATATGCATATAGGGAAAATCAATGACCCCCTGGGTCGGGGCCAATTTTGACCCAAGGGCTTTAATTTGAACAAACTTGGTAGACATTCACTAGAAGATGTTTCATGCCAAATATCTAAGCTCTAGCTCTTACGGTTCTTTAAAAGAAGATTTTTTAAGTTTTTACTATATGCATATAGGGAAAATCAATGACCCCCAGGGGCGGGGCCAATTTTGACCCCAGGGCTTTTATTTGAACAAACTTGGTAGACACTCACTAGAAGATGTTTCATGCCAAATATCTAAGCTCTAGCTCTTATGGTTTTTTAAAAGAAGATATTTAAAGTTTTTTCTTTTGGTTGCCATGGCAACCAGAGTTCTGCATGGAATTAAATTCTTTGAACAATTTTTAAAGGTGACCACCAAAGGAACATTCCTGTGAAGTTTGGATGAAATTGGCTCAGTGGTTTATGAGGAGATGTCATTTAAAGCAAAAGTTTACGGACGGACGGACGATGGACGGACGCCGGACGAAAAGCGATCACAAAAGCTCACCCTGTCACTTTGTGACAGGTGAGCTAAAAAGTGGTCCGAAGATTCAATCAAACAGTATCAAATGAGAAAAAATAAGTGACCTTGACAATTCTGAGTTAATGTTGACAATAATAAAGTTCAATACATGAATTTAGATAGTAATTCACTAACAATAGGTGTTACTGAAGTATCCTAGGTTTTTATTGGCTACACAGGGATAAAATTTGTTGTTTTCTATCTCCCATCAGTAGGTGTCATAGAGATAAGTGAGAAATTTTTCTTTTAAACAATATTGTTTAGCTTACAACAATTACAAACTGTATAAACTTAATTGACAACATTATACATGACACTGACAATATTAAACATGACATATCAATAAAAGCAATGGCTGCTCCCCAAAACCTGTACATTTGATATACCTATTTCCAATAAATAAAGGCTGTATGATCAAAGTATAAAAATCTATTTTTAGAACCAGCAACCTTCATTAACCCCAGTGACCATTTGTTTAAGAACCACCCAACCTACCAAGTATGATACTTGGTAGGTTGGGTGGTCCTTAAACAAAGGGTCACCTGTATGAAATACATCATTTATATAATAAGAAGGTTGTGTAGAAATCTAATTTTAGAATGGGTGATCTTGAACCTTACTCCACTTTAAGTCAGAGAACCGCTTCTGTTATGTAAAAGACAAGTTAATAAATAAAGGCTGTAAAAGCAAGCTATAAAATCTATTTTTAGAATCAATGACCTTGGCCCAGAGGAATCATAACCCTACCCAAAGTTAGAGGGCCACCCATGTTATCTACCTACCAAATATGAAAAAACATCAGTCAATAAACAAGAGGGCCATAATGGCCCTGAAACTGCTCACCTGTATATAGAAACTCTCCATGACAAGGAACAAGTAATATTGTAAACTATAAACAAAAGCAGATATAAAATCTAAATCTTAAACTGATATCACAAAGTTCATATTTGTATCTGAAATAGTGCATGTGTAAAAACGTTAGTTTTTAATATATACATATAAAGAAAATCAATGACCATCCGGGGCAGGGCCAATTTTTACCCAAAGGGCTTTTATTTAAACAAACTTGGTAGACACTCAAAAGAGGATGTTTCATGCTAAAAAATCTAAGCTCTAGCTCTTTTGGTTTTTTCAAAGATGTTTTTTTTTACTATTTACATATAATGAAAATCAATGACCCCCTGGGGCAGGCCAATTTTGACCCTAGGGATTTTATTTGAACAAACTTGGTAGACACTTACTAGAAGATGTTTCATACTTAATATCTAACCTGCTCTTTGGGTTTTTTTTAAAAGAAGATTATAATGTTTAAGATTTTAATGTATACATATAGGGAAAACAATGACACCCAAGGCCGGGGCCAATTTTGACCCCAGGACTTTATTTTAACAAACTTGGTAGATACTGATTAGAAGATGTTTCATGCTTAATATCTTAGCTCTAGCTCTTTGAAATTTATAAAAGAAGAATTTTTTAAGTTTTTACTATGTACATATAAGGAATATCAATAAGTTGACAACCAAAGGAATATTCCTGTGAAATTGGAATGAAATTGGCTTAGCGATTTATGACGAGATGTCGTTTAAAGTAAAAGTTTACTGCTGGACGCCGGACGAAAAGCGATCACAAAAGCTCAACATGTCACTTTGTGACAGGTGAGCTAAAAAACTAAGTTATGTTAAGAAATAGTTCTTTAATTCTGAACTTCAGCTCTTTAATCTCTATAGCTGTATGAAGTTTCAATTTCATATCATGGACAGTCTAGGAACAAGATTTATTAAGCATTTATATGTAAAAGCACCATTAGGGCAGATAATTTAAAACTTTATCAAGGTAGAATTATGGTTCTCGAACACTACACATCCTCTTACTAATCTCTAGCACAGTGTGAGGTTTAAATCCATTTCCTTCAATTCTTTTAAAGTTTTTCTCCAGAAAGGAGAATGACTGACAGATGGACATGCCATGGAATGGTACAAAATGGTGAATTATTTTGTTATTTTCTTTTGTTGTAGAAAGGTCCAAGACCGCTTATGCTATAGTTATATAATAAATTTCATTTTTATCTTTTGTTTTGTTTAAAGTCACCTGGCCCTCTATTACTTTTGCAATGCCAAGACAGCTGGAAGAAAGGACAGTTAAGGTGGAATCCATACGCTGTCACACTGTGGAGTGCTTAATGCAGTAATCCGATATCACAGAGAATCTAATTCTGTATACAAAATTTTTAAAAAGGTTTCATCCGGTTACTTCCTTTATTAGCTCTCCCATGTTTTCTAGAATCACTATTCTGTCTACTATAACTTCTATCATCATAGGAATCTTTCCTCCAATTATAGTTACTAGCTCCATTACTTTGTATATGAGACTGATGGCCATGTGATGGTCCTTGATATGCTCCACTCCCCCAAGGTAGATTAGAGCTAGCTATATACGGTCCTCCACTATTACTGTAATAACCACCATCACTATATCCCTGGTTGTGTTGAAGATGTGCTGGTCTTCCTGGTATATCATATCCATAACAAACATTTGGATCAAGTTGATATTCCGCTATAACATCTTGATTGACATACTGTCCATTAGGATATCCCCAGTTACCTGACCCATACCCATACTGACCTCCAGAATAGTTTCCATTCCACATTACATTACCATGATCATCATAATTTCTGTCCCATCCTGCATCATAAGAATTGTGGATGTATTGTCTGTTTTGATAATTAGAATGTTCATAACTCCTGTCACTATGGGAATGACCTCCTGCTTCATCACTCGGATTATTTGGTTGATTTTTTCGTGCTAACTTTTTAAGTGATTTTTCTTTTCTCTCTTTCTCCTCTTGCTCTTCTTGTTTCTGATCTTCTTCTGGTACAGGTTCTCTAAAAAAAATATGAATAAATCAAGTAATAAAATCATAAAATATTCATAAACAAGAGCTGTCACCCAAGTGACGAATGCCCCCAAAAATATTTCTAAAGCATGCAGGTATTATGAAAAGAAAAGAGAATGAAAGTAACTAATTGCTGAATATTGTTCTTTGTATTATTGCATGTACCTGTAATCTCTAATTGTGATAGCATGAAGCTTCAAAATATAAGTGTGACCTTGACCTTTGAAGAATGGACGTGGTTCCTGGACGCGACAAAATGTTGTTATGAGATAGACATTTGTGCCAAATTATTTCAAAATCCCTCAATTCATGACAAAGTTACAGTCTGGACATGATTGTTGTGTAAGTGGGAACACATGGACGGACAGACGGACATGAGCCTTAGCCGTGACACATTGTCTTGATGTGGTAGACATTTGTGCCAAGTTATTTTAAAATCCTTCCATGCATGACAAAGTTACAGTCCAGACATGAATGTGTATCTTCAAACTCTTCTCGAGAGAATGAGTACCTTCAAACTATAAGTGTGACCTTGACCTTGAATGTAGCGACATGATTATTGGACACAATACATCGTCTGAATGTGGAAGATATTTATGCCAAGTTTACATATTTCTGCCAAGTTATTCTAAAATCCTTCCATGCATGACAAAGTTACAACCCGGACACGATTGTGTGCATCTATTAATTCTAATTGTGATGTGAAACTTCAAAATGTTAGTTAGACATTTATGCCTAGTTATCTTAAAATCATTCAATGAAAGACACAGTTATAGTCCGGACACGAATGTGTGTACCTATTTACTCTAATTGCAATAATGTGAAACTTCAAAATGATAGAGTGACCTTGACCTTTGGGGACGTGGTTCTTGGACGCAACACATCGCCTTGATGTGGTAGACATTTGTGCCAAGTTATTTCAAAATCCCTCAATATATGACAAAGTTAGAGTACATATCACTAGAGTACATATCACTAGAATACATATCAATAGAGTACATATCACTAGAGTACATATCACTAGAGTACATATCACAAGAGTACATATCTCTATAGTGCATATCTGTAGAGTACATATCAATAGAGAACATATCCCTAGAGTACATGTAAATAGAGTACATATCCCTAGAGTACATATCAATAGAGTACATATCACTAGAATGAATACATATCACTTGAGTTTTAACTGAAGTATGAAATAATTCACTGGCTTATTGTTAGAACACCTATATGGAATGTATTTTTCTAACACTTATTTCAGTTTTTCAAAATGGAACATTTTATTTTATGATGCCATTATAAACAATTCTAACTTCATTATCAGGCCTATCTGATTAAGATCATGTAATAAAATATCTAAAAATCATCAAGAAAATTGTCACTTTTTTCAAATTTTAAAGACAAAAATATTACAGCAGTTTTGTGATTCAAATAAATGTTGCCAATCATCATAAAAGTTAAAAACAGTTCATTCTCTATTGTGAATAATTTGGTTGATTCAATAAAAAAACTGAACAAGTTCTCTGCACAACAGTAACAAAAGAGGAACAAAACAAGGTCATCACATATGGTGTTAACGCTTGTCTGAGAAAAATTTTAGGTAAAAAAGGGGCATAACTCCAAAGATTGCTTTCAGAATTATGTCTCTTGTCTAACGACTGCACCTTGTTATGATAAGCAGGTATTCCAATTTGATGTTGATACCTTTTGAAATGTTTGAATAATGGGCTACATAAAAGATTTTGCACCACAACAACTATGACGATGTCACAACAATCATAATAGTGTGACCTTTTCTTCGAAACAGACATGCTAAAAATGTCTTTACATTTAACACTTAAATAAATTTGCCCAGTCACAACATGCCTTACACACACCTCATAGTAGTTTCAACATTGAGAGTTTCATCGATATTTGTTTAATGTCTTCATTTAATGGTGATTCACTCTATAAACTTACTTTGCTCTTCTCTTCAAATCATTAATGTAGTTGATCCTCTCTACAGGATAACCTCTCGCTGTCTTATATGCTAAAATGAAAAATAAACTTATTCACATGAACTTCAAAACAATATAAATACTTTACAACATTGTACATGTGCTCGTTGAATTGTAAAAATACAAATTCTCAGATCTTGAATCTATGAACTATCTATAAATAGAATTTGTAAGAAAAAGAAATTTTAATGAATGACTCGATCAATACATAATTGTTCATTCAAAATTTAATAAAACGCCTTTCAACAATACTTTATTATTTACCAGTCTGTGTTAGTTCTGGTAGTTACTTCCCTTTATCTAAAATTAGTTTTATCACATATATAAATGTTGATTTATTCCAATTAATTAACAACAGCACAAATTTACCATACATAAAAAAATTCCAAAAGTCTAACATTTATTTTCTTTCCCTTTTGTTTTTTACCTTTAATGTCCCATTAGCAAACATTGTTGATCACAGTTAATTTAAATCCCGCAAAAAGCTCAGAAAAATGCTTCTTATATAAAGGTTACTTTGCATGGTTAAAACAAATAAACAAATACATAATGATTATAGTCTGTAGGAAACAATGTGATATCATGTGATAAACAGTCATAGGAAAGTTAAATTGAATAAACATGTATATAGCTCTAATTTTATAAACTGTATTCATAAACATGTTTCATTCATTCAACTGTTAGATGTACTTTACCTAGTAATGATTCTGTTGCCTTCTTTTTTAGATGTTCCACCATATATCTGTAAAATGAGAAAATAGAGGATATTGAATGAGTGTAAGTTCATTACTGAATTTATTGCACGAGTTGAATAAAATTATATTATGAGAGCCTCTGGCGAGCATAATATTATTTTATTCAACGAGTGCAATAAATTCAGTAATGAACTTACACGAATTTAATATTCTATTTATCACATACCCAAAATAAAGACCGTTTAAAGTGAAATAAGAGTCATTTTTCATTGACGCTTCTATAGTATAACGCTAACATTTAGCGCGTGTTTACACTATGTTTGTATAACGCTAATGACGTCACGTCAAAATATATGCACGGCCGTGCAATACCATATTTACGGGGTCGCAAAATCGGCACGGGTGTGTGATAAATAACATTAAAACACTATTATTATTTGGAAGTAAATTTGGAAGTCAATATTTGCTAGCTGCTCAACATTATGCAATAATTGCCCAGAGATGTCCATATTGACTTGAAGTTGGAAAGCCTTTATGGATTTGGGGGCCATTATCACATAACCAAGTATAAATGTTTCTAATACCTAGGCCAGGTCTGCAGTGAAATACAGCCTTTAGACATCGCCGCTAATACTGGTTGTAAACACTTGAGCCATTCACTACAGTTTGAGAGATTGTCTTAATATTTGATATTGTTCTCTGAATAATTTTTCATTGATGTTTTTATCTATTTGGCCCCTGGATGTAATGAAAGAAGATCCAATGTGTTTATGGTGCATCTCTTTGTTATATTCAAACTAGACATAGAGTAGACATTGATATAACTAGACATAGAGCATTAATCTGACTAGACATAGAGCACTGATATAACTAGACATAGAGCATTAATCTGACTAGACATAGAGCACTGATATAACTAGACATAGAGCATTAATCTGACTAGACACAGAACACTGATATAACTAGACATAGATCATTAATCTGACTAGACATAGAGCACTGATATAACTAGACACAGGACATTAATCTGACTAGACATATAGCACTGATATAACTAGACACAGGACATTAATCTGACTAGACATAGAGCACTGATATAAATCTGACATGACATAAAGTATTGATATGACTCGACATACAGAAAACTCTTACATCATGACAGAGAATAATGCTACTGTTCACAATAGTCAACTACAATGTATGTGTAAATAGCTTACCTACAAACCACATATCCAGTTCTGTTTACACCATGTGTGCAGTGAACACCTATCAAACTATCTGAAAATTACAAAAAAATCAATAAGCTACTTATCATTAAGAAATCTATAAATTACCTTATTTTCCATGTTAACAATCTCACCTATGGTAGTTTTGCAATATGGAAAGGTTAATTAATTATCAATTTATAACTGTACATTGTTTATTTAAAGACACTGGAACTCGAACATCTTTGCTCAGTTTGGTGGAATACAAAGGCTGCTAGTTAAATGAACAAACTAAATAACACAAGAAAAAACAATTTACACAATCTTCATCCTGATGAAGGTCTTAGTAGGGCAAAACTTGTAGATCCTTGGATAATCCAGTTTACAAACCAACTTAATTTTAAACATGTATGCATTCTCTCCTTTAGTTATTTACTTTGTTTAAATCTTCATTAAAGAGGTAACTTGGTAAATCTGTTGCTGTGAGCAATGCCTCTATAAAACCTGGTTCTACGATTATAATTTTTTAAAGTAACATCTCATTATACAAGCCAAGTGTTCTAGTGTTAAGATTATATGTCTGCATCAATATAATCATACCTACCTTTTTCAGAAGACTTTAGGAAGTCGTCAACTGCATCATAAAATCTGAAAAGTTGAAAATTAATTCTTATTATAATAAAGAGAAAAACAATTGCTCAAATTAGTTTCTCCAAGCAGCAAAGAACTAAAGAGAACAGATATCTTATACTTGTGGCCAAGCTGACCAGGAAGCAACTTATATTTTGCAATTAACAATGTCCTGTTGAAAACATATTTTGCATACATATGTACTGTTACATATATTCTATACCATACGACCTATTAGTCAACAATTAGTTGTCTCCATTGACCTTTAAACCTGCTACTTTAACCTTGACTTGATATATTGACAATGGGTGTGAGTCTGCCTTTCTTGCAACAAAATTTAGACATAAAGAAATTTACCCTTACAGTGTGTCAGCAACAATAATATATTGTACAAATAAGTCATATCTATTAATAAAATAGAAAACAAACAAGAACTTAAAAAGTTAAAAAGTTATGATCCGGGATAAAGTTTGCGGATGGCAAAGGGAACACCCACACAACTGCAACAATAACACTATTTTTATTTCTTGAAAAAAATATTATCAAGCTAAAAATGTGTTCATAAGAGACACTACATTTGCATTTTACAGTGGCATATTTACAAACTTATGCATATTTCAGAAAGGTCAAGTTACTGATCTACAAATGAACTGATAAACAAACCTCCCCATCACAACATGCTCCCAATGACAAGTAAATTAACAGAAAATCAGTTATCATTTACATAAAATAATATTTCTGTGAGCATATGTGTATTACTGAAACAATAATTATGCACAAAGAGGACTTCATCATGAATATTTCCAACAAATTTAACTGAGATCTGATCTGAGCTGTTTTTTTAGATGAAAGATGAATAACATAAAAAGCCACAATGGATGGACATAAATGAACAGAAAAACAACAAATAGATAAAAAAAATAAAAATAAAATACATACTCATTCATCACATCTTGACTTGGTATCACATGACCCTCTACAAATATTTTCTTATACTGAACACCTTTTTCTGTAAATTCTTCTTTATCATAGTAGCGTGTGGTAAATGTAAGGTCTATAACAAGGCCCAGCTTCAGTTCTTTCTTTCTGATGTCCTCAATAAGTGTTGCTGGTGTAAACCTTTAATAACAAGAGTTGAACAATGAAAGGTAAAAATTTCTATACTAAGTAAAGTTGTCATGCGTATTGGCTATAATATAAATATTCAATATATTACATTGGCTGTGTTAAAATGTTAACAAATATATAAACATGAAAAAGAACTTAGCCTGCTGGTAGCTACAGAATCTATCCGAGCTACCAGTGCAGACCAACATTAGACAGCACATCTGGTCGGCACTGTTTTACAGTTTGCTATTCAAGCAGTACATATTTTGAATTTTTCCATATAAATAATGAATGATTTTGTCAAGAGTGAAAGTTGGATGAGTCCATTTAAGACATTTAGCATGTTCAGGGTACTGTCATCAATTTTCCTATATAAATATAGATCTCACAGAGCGTGTACAGTAAATTCACAATATAGACATTATGTACATTCAAATTTTCCATTGCCATTTATTGGCACATACAGCCTAAGGAATGAGTAAATTTTTTCGTTCTGCAGAAAGGGCGAACATCATGTGCTTTATAACATTGTAATTAATGGATTCAGAACATGTGAGATACTTACCACCTAAAGAAAAGACCTCAGAATGTGAAATAATTTGTGATAAAAGCAAAATGTAAACAATGGTATTTTGACTTTGATACAAAATACTAAAATCACTATTTCTGGACTTAAAAGAAGCAACAGATATATGGCCAATGAGGTTTCTTTTCAGAAACTGTAATAGGATACCAAAATAGAAAAAGCTTTAGAACAATAATGTTGAAGGCATGAGACTAAATGGGCCTTTTATATACATTTCTTCAATCCTTTTCTAATGAAGCAAATGTTATTTTGTAATGTGATATATTCTAAAAGAGAATATATATAAGATATTATGAATGACAAAGCAACAATAAATCTCAACTTACCTAGTATCTTTAGGTTTCTCATTAAAGAAATTCTGAAATGAACATCAAAAAGAATGGTTTAGTTATATAAGAAGTCTTCATACCAAACCAAAACAGAATCAGATCTGCTGTAAATAATACCATTGTACATACATGTACCTTCAAATATATTACATACTGTAACTCTTATCTCATGCAATAATATAAAAACATAGTAATTTGGATATTTTAGTAACAAAGATCCATAACTTACAGGAGCTCCACCGGGGTCAAAAAGCCTAAAAACATAAAATTTGAAATTCTTACATAGATCAAGTGATTCAGAAGCACTTTAATAGAAAAATCTGCAAAAGCTAATAAAGAATATACTCAGAATTAAATTGATTATCAATTTTTTGTTCGATTTCTTTTTCATTGGGTTATATTGCACAATAAAAATGATGATTCTGGAAAAACAGGGTGACAGTGGGATCTGAAAATTTGCACAAAAGTTAAATTAATAGTCTACACCTACATATACATGGAATGGTACACATATCTCAGGAAAATATTTCAAGTCCTATTATGTCAAAAAACCTCAGTGAAGCTCTTTATTTAAGACATGAAATTAAATAGTATTCAGTGGGCATCCGTTCATAAATAGAATCATCTTTAGTTTCATTACAAGAGAACCAGCCAATTCTAAGATATAAAACCAGACAGAAGGACAGTGCCATTTCATTATCTCCCTTCTCGATTTCATTGGAAAGGTATAACAAGATTGTCATCATGGCACTGGATTGCTCACCTAAGATACATTGCTAGGAAAGGTCACATTTGTTTATTGTTGGTTTGATTGGGTTTTTACATCACACCAACACAGTATGGGGGACCTTCCAAATTTACTGGTGGAGGGAGACCTTAGGTTCCCTTCCCATTATTATTTCAGGCACAAACGGGTACCTGAATAGAACCATAAACATTCTGTAAGATAAGTGAATACTATCATATAGCTTCATCCTTCATCACATGTAAGAATACAAAGTCCTTGTCGGGAAAGGTCACAATGTCAGTGTTGAGGTCTGATTGGGTTTGTCATTATTTAACACACCGTCATAATTTTAAAAATATTTGTAGATGTCTTGATGCTTCTTGACAAATATTTAAGTTCTTGGCATTCTGATTTCAAGTTAACCTAAATAAATGAATGTGTTTTGCTAGATGTAAGTCTATACTTGCCATTGGGGCAAGGACAAATTTTGACCCCAGGGTTATGATTATTTGAAATTCTTCTTTAAATTCTATTTATTTAGTAACATTTGTTTATATTGTTAAGTTAACCCTTTCCCTCATGAGCATATTGTGAAAAATGGCTGTTTTCATTGAAAAGCCTCCTGTTCAAACTGATATAAAACTATGAAAAATGCTTCAATACTAATAAAACTTGGCACAAATGTTGACTCAACCATTGCCTTTTCTTACAACATGCTCAGTCTTACATTTTGAGGGGACATCTCAAAATTGCCAAAAATCACTATTTTGCCTTGATTTTTTCCATCAAAATTGATTTCAAAGTGCTGCAACTTCCCATTGGATTGAGATAAAATCAAAGGCTTTTCATAGTTGATTACACATTACCTTATGATCGACCTGGTGTCATTTTTAGCCTCTCACAAGTCCAAAATTTTCTTGGCAAAGAGGGGGACTACCGCCCCCTTCAACCCTCTAAACAGAAAGGGGCACATCCCCCTTCTGGCAACCCCCTAATGTACCATTTTGATAAAAGTGATCACTTTTATTTAGCAACATTTCCCAAAAAAACACTGGCTTAAAGGGGCTAATTTTTCATTGTTTGAGGCCTCAAAAGGGGGTGGTCAAAAAGCCGTCAAAACACGTCTGTATGAAGTAAAGAGTTAAACGAAGACTGAACTGGTACATGCAATCCAGCTGCTGATGCCCTGACTGAAGCTGAGGGGAGTGGCTCTTCAAGGTGCATGTTGGTAGACACAACAAGGAAAGGTACTAGGGTGCTCGAACCAAAAGCACATAATGACTGTTTGAAAAGCAGTTCCTTTTATAGGCACCAACAGCCCATATCAGAGCTTCCTCATTTTCTTATTGTCTCAGGTTACCTGACGTGTTGCTTGTTTGCATTTATGAAATTAACTATCATAAGTTAAATACAAATTGATTAATGATAATTATTGTATAATAGAAAACCTTTTATTCAATTATGGTGACTGATAATGGTTCAAAAGAAGGAACATGTAGTACATGTAAGTTAATATGAGGAAATACTTTTTCAAATGCAATGGCAATGCACCTCAATTAATTGGTAAAGGGTTTCTACGCATCTCTTCAAAATTTTGTTTACCTCTTTTAATGGCACTTTAAAGGTTATTATTCTGGTTCCCTCAATAACATCTCCTATGTTTGAGTAATCAAGCCACCTGAAAAAATAAAAACACAATTTGTACATTCATGCTCATTGTAAAATGACAAAATTACTGGTCTTTCCAATTCAAAATAAAAGTCAATGTCCCTTTTCCCTCACACAGGCTCATATTGGTAAAAATTAATATTTAAAAGATCAATTATCAGACATTGTAAAAAAAATTCTTTTTTTATGCAATAAAGTATAGAGCCTGCTCAATCTTGTAAGTGACCCATACTTCAAACGTTTTCTTAGAAAAATAATTATTATTTAATTAAAGTGAAACCGTGTGTTTGAAAATACACATTTACCAAGAAAATGAAATTTTAGTCTGAACGTATATACTTGTTTTCTTATGCTTTGACAATTATTAACTCCAATACTCACATGGCAAAAACATCTTTAAAAATTATTTAAAACTACACTTCTTTTAGTACAAATTTGCAGCATAGTGCAATTAATAGACATCAAATTCCAGATCACTGTAGTTAGCAAATGCTAGAATGCTCATCAATTATAAAATTCAAAAAGCTATTTTTAAACAAACGTCACAAAGCTCAGCCTAAAAGGTCTGACTGTTTTGAGTATGTCTCAATTTATATATAAAAAAAAATGAATAAAAACAACAAAATTTTGCAATTGCATACTTTTCCTTATTTATATGACCCTTGAATAATTGTGTTTGATCCTAAGTTTGAAAGGCAAATCATTGACCATTGAGTTTCAGTCTACTGAACACATTGGTATGTGTAACAACATAGTATTATAAACTAGTAAAATAAGTGATTATGATTATTATATATACAGCAATTGACAGTCTCTATATGAACTACCTAAATAACCGAGGTATATCAAGTGAAAAAACATGAGTTGTTTCCCTTACGTTTGAGTAAGTGTGATATCTCTAATTCTAAAATAATGCAAAATTAGCCGTATTTAAACATAAATGTGATATGCCGGCGGGATTTTAAAAAATCCCGATATTTTGATACTGATCCTGATTCCCAATATTACAGCTTGAATTCCCGATATTTAAAAAAAATCAACATAAAAAAATCAAAAACAGCACCTGTATCTAAAATGTAAACCGTGCCTCCGGGCATTGATTGTTATCTGTCCATATCTTAAATTATAGCGGATTAAATGTTGAGTCACTAATTGACAGCAAGGTGACAAATTAATAAACAGTTCCATCACCCAAAGTTATTCTCAAATATTTAACTTAACACGTGTTGTGTGTCAGCCAATTTTATAATTTGGAAGTAGGTATTACACGCTACGTCATCAAAACGACCCTGTAAATTTACATGCTCAACCTTTGATTTTCTTTGATTAGTGCCGCACTGATAAAGATTAAAGGTGAGCAGAATCATTTAAAGTGGCTCATTCAAAATTCTGTTTGAGATGCGGCAAAACCGTGTCTAATTAACCTATTTTTAGCGGGTGGGTAATTTTTTTTGTTTTGTTTAGGAATTACACAATCATTGCAGCAAAAATATGGATTTTATTAACTAACGCTGCTTGCATTTATTTTGAGTCTTCTATTTATGTAACGTTACTTAACTTATTAACTTATTTAACTGTCAGAGTCTTATGTTCATGAAAAGTTGTTGCACGTTTTCAAATAGCTTGTGTTTTAAATTATTAGTAAATTATTGTATGACTGAAAAGACAGATATAATTATTTAATATGAAAATAATGAAATGTATTGATCAACAAAAATATCATAGAACAATATAATCATTTAATGATTATGAGGGTAATATAGATTCTTTGAACCAAATGTGCCAAACACGCATTGAAATTGGAGTCAATAAAAAAATCCAGTTTTGAGCCTCAAAATCCAGATTTGGCCCATTTCATTTGTCACATGTATGTTTAAACCGCTGGTTTGTGGCCATTAAATGTGCAATATTAAAATTTATTACACCAATAAAAAGCTTGTGATCTTAGTTTTGTCTCAGTAGATCTATATATTTCAACAAATGGTTTGACACTAAAGTTATTTTAATTTACGGTTAAACCTAGTCCAACTAATTGTACTGCGCGACGAGATATTGTGCTATTTTCGTGTCTGGGCAATATCTCGCCCATATATAAATATATATATAATATAAAGCGAGATTCTGCCCCAGAACGAAAATATCTCAGAATCAAGCTTTGGCACGTCAATATATTTTGACTACGGTTAAACCTACCACAAGTCTGAACATTTTACATATGTTTTATACAGTGAGATACCGGTCATCTTTACTCGCAATTCTACTGATAAGAATAGCCTGGTGTCTGCTAGTTCAGAAACTGTTGATTGGTGAATTATTATTAAATAACATTAAAATAGAATCTTTAACATTTTTTTAACTTTAACAGATTAATATTTTATCAAACACATATGCCTGTAAAGGACATGTTAACAATTTAAAAAAAATCTTTATCAATAGTTATTTCTGCATTTAAAGAACTGTTGTAACAACTTTAAATCTCAATATCTAAATCATCTTAATTGTCAATATGTAGATCAGACTCATTTTCTGAAAACCCGTTTGTATGTCCGAACTAAGCAAATCCGAATATTATAACACTTCTGGAGAAAGTTAAGTGTTGCCAAAAAGTCTAGCTTTAAACAACATGAATTAGATCATATCATAGCATATAAAGAAAATACCTGTCAGGAAATTTCGGCATTTTAATCCTATATGTCGTTTAATTTAAGATCTGTATTAATTTGTAAATTTTCCGTTTCGTTTCAACGTGATGAAATTTAAGCTACGGAAAATGCCGAAAGGTGACGAATATTTTAATCGCAACTTTTCGGTTCTTTCCGTCAAACTTCGGACAAGACGACGGCAAAATAGACTGGCTACGTTCTATATTTTGATAGAGTCGATGGATGGGGATCTGAAAACATGAGAGTGGTGGTGTTGGTAGTTTTGTTTTCACTCCGGATCAGGGCAGTACTGATACAAAGTGTGATATATATCACAGAACGTCAGCCATGACAAAATCCAGCCACACCAAACCACCATAGTTTGCACCAAGCAGTAAAAAAGGACAGAGTGAAATATACCATTAAATGATAACTATTATTAGTATTTAAAGAAGGTTACCACTCTAAACGAACCCTGAAGGGTTTATGAAAAATGTACGGGAGTGAAACACGATTATAACTTATTATTTATAAGGGAACGGATAGGACAGGGTATTGAAGAAAACCTTGAGGGGGATGGGGGCTGAAAATCATCGAGACAATGTTGTTAAAATCGGTTCTTCTAGCTATCAGTGTTTTTATGTAATGAAACTCTTAAAACTAAAATTGTCACGGACATCTGTTTTGTAAAAACAATTAATGTACTGATAATCGTGAAGTGCTTCTCGAGATCTACTTATCAAAACCAGGGTTTTTCAAATAGAATTAGAAAAACCTTTCAGTTTATAAGTTCTACATATATGATACCAAATGTTAAAAATTTTTTGGGTTTTGTTCCTTATTGCATACTTCTCCATTAAAATATCATTACTTTACTATTATAGTTAAAGGTTGCATCGAAATGATGAGTATAAACTTGAATTACTTTTGTATGCGCAGCGTCCGCATATTTGTTGCACGCCAAGCACGTGCGTCTTTTTTTCCCGCGCTCCAACGAAACGCTGTACAATAACTGTTGTATATGAAAGTTGTACATGTAAAAAATTGTACTTTCTGTGATTTTTTTTAAATTCTTATAATCCCTTCATATAATAAAACAATTATTGACTAGTGTGCCATTGAATATGATGTGATATTCACCGGCACAAAGTCATATTGTCATCTGCCGGGGAATATCACATCATATTCAATAGCACACGTACTAGTCAATAATTGTATAAAAAAGATACATTCGTATTTGATATTCTTATACGGGTGCTAGAACCAGCATTACATGTACAACTATTTTCCAGATTATGTTGACTTTTTAAGACCATTCGTGAGAATGACGACCTGCCTATCGTTGTGAAGGCGACTTTTGTGTTTCGTCGATATATAGTATAATAATTTAACGCATTAAAAACTTTATTGTTTTTATGTTTGGTATACCATAGACATTTTCCAAGCTACTAGTGTTATAATACTAAAAGGAAACATATGAAATATTATTCAGTTCTTTGTATGAGACAACAACAGCATCGCTTTAGTACATCATTCGCGAAAGCGGTGTTACATAGTAAAATTGTTTCAGTCACATTTTATCTGTTAACTGCAGTAGTAATTTACAAATGTCTCAGCTATATACCGAATATCAAAAATAATAATGTAATACAACACAGACGTCGCCTTTAACACGTCATTCTCACGAAAGATCTTAAAACCAACACTTTCCCGGAAGTATATGAGATTTACAATATAATGCCCCAACAATCCTATGCGCCAATTCATTTTTTTCTATTATCAGGCCAATTTCCTGATAAATATATTTATATTTTTAATATAACCTCGGGGTCTCGGTTATAGCTCTCCGGGGTGGGGAAATTTTATCAGGCCAATTTCCTGATAAATATATTTTTCTTTCTCTTTTTTTATTGTAAGTAATAATTGGCAGAAGTTTAAACCTCTCTATGCTTAACCTGCACAAGTTTCATTCATAAATAATGTTACCTTTGCATGCTAAATCCACAAATTTCTCCTATCGCTAATAATATATTAACATAAAAACTGAACAATATAATATACATTTCTAATAGCATAAAGTACCTAACCACTAATTAAGTAGCATAATCGTTTCCCCCAAATTAGGATGCATGTTTTACCAAAATTTAAAAAACTGTATAAATTAAGCCCGCATTCCGCAAACCGCAGTTTCGGATAGCGGAGTTCAGTATTTTACTTCTTATTTCAGGTAAGCTAAAAGTTCTTCTTAAAAATTTATAAATCTGTTCATATTATTTGTTAGTTTTGTGTATTTATAATTTTTAAAAATACATAAAACAAAATTTGAATAGTTATAATTTATTAAAAATATTCTGCTAAGGAACTTTTGTTACTATTTACAAATGGTACATACAATTTTATTTACAAACGGTATTTACAATTTATATTAAAAAAATAACTTTATATATGTATGTTTTACATTACAATCTATGCAATATTGTTAAGTATTCATATGTTCATAAATTACAGTTTTTGTACAATATAATAATATAATTTAAAAATAAAGTTTCAAATAGCGGAGTTCAGTAGTTTACTTCTTATTTCAAAATATATATAGGCTGAAGTAAGAGCAACATTAACGGTTCCTTTTCACGCTTATTAATTAATGATAACCAAATTAATGAAAAATTTATTTTGATTGCCCAGAACGAAAGAAAATCAACAGGAATGGAAAAAACATAGCACATAAAAGGTTTTGTCTTTTTAGTGCTGTATAAGTGACATGTAAACACATCATTAAACTTTTTATAAATCTTTCATTTATTTTAATTGAACTAATTAATTAGTAGTCATCGTTTGAAATGGTTAACCGTATATATGTTTTGCTTAAACTTGTACAAAGAGGAAACATAATTAAAAACTCGGCTTTTGTCCAATTTGTATGGAAGGATTGTCATTTAAATCGCACACTATTTTATCAGGTAATTATTGACAATCAAGATTTAAGAATTCTATTGACGACCGTATAAAACCGATCGGTGTGTTGTCAACACTCGGGATTTAAAGTACGCCGCAAATATTGAATATTGGAAAAATAAATGGAAAAGCTTGAAAGTTGAACTTAACCCAAGGGAATTATAACCCAATGTGTTTACAGTCTTTTTGGTGAGATATATTTTGTGACTTTGTGAGCGGTAAGTTCTTATTTCTACCTTATATAAAAATGATTTTATAATAAGTGGAAACGCTGTTTAACTTGCTCACATTTAGTTAATTTAAATTGATAAACACAATTAGTCAAAATGTTGTCATATTACCATGTGTCAAATATTTATTCATGACCCTTGAAATATATTTAATGTTTTAAACATGTTGAAAGTGAATGCATACAAAGATTACAAACAATAATACGAAGAATTGAAATATATTTAATTCCATAAACGAATTGAAAATGAATGCATACACAATTTACAAACAAATTAATACAAAGAACGTCTATAGTTTACATGTACTTTGCAAATTATAAATATTAGAGCTAACTTTTAAAACTTTAACTAAATGGATAACATTAAAGATAAAATTGACAAAAAGATATGTACTTAACATAACAAAATTGCGTATTAGTGTAATTGAAACAAATCAAACAATTTTCTTTCCAGACTGTTTTCAAGAGAGGACTAAGAATGGATATCATTCCAACATTGTTCCTTTGTCTGGCCGCTTTGTTGGCGTTGGTCATGAACATTTACTTCCTTGTGGTATTCATCAGACGAAAGCGACTTCGGACACCAACAACACTTCCTATCAGTATGGTTCTGGTACATTTAGCATGCATTGACCTTATTGCAACGTTTCTGTGGACAATTTTCGCTGCAATTTCCGCTATTAATAGCGCATGGGTAATTTCAGACGAAGATAGCAGTTTATATAAACCGTTATGTGACACTCAAGTTTATGTCATGTCGTTCTGCAACGTTATTACTGCACACACTCTAATGGCACTGATGTTTGAACGGTTTTTGTGGATTTTCAAACCATCAAAGCGGCAAGAAATAGTATTTGATTTAGTAGTGGTGGTGTTCCTCGTTGCCCTTTATGTCTTTGATGGTGGGATATCATCGTTTGTGTTATGGGGATTTGGAACTGCCATATACTTCCCAGAGCAGTATCAGTGTTCAGTGGATTATGAATTGTCTGTTTCTCATTTTCAATTTACACTCGCAATGCATTATTGGATACCGATAGTTGTTATAATAGCTCTATATGTTGCTATACTCATCCGGGTTAGAATCCTTATGACACGTCGTGGTCCTGGCGGAGTTATCGTTCTAGAAGAAAATCTGAAAGCTGTTGGCGATTCTTATTCAGACAAGCTGAAGGAGATTTATATGAAATTCCAGGGCGCTGGAGCAAAGTCTGTTAAACCGAAGGTAAAGGAAGTGAAACCGAAGTCAAATGATGGATTTGTAAGTGATGATGATGATTATAATTCATCTGACGACGAGAAAAGTAAAAAAGACCCAGCAAATGTAATGTCACGTGACTATGATGAAAAACCTGAAAAGAAACGAGAGAGAAAAATGTACTTTTTGTCACGACAAGATATGCGAGAAACACACATGTACGCTCTTATTTCAGCCGTTTACTTCAGCTTGTGGACCCCGTACATGGTCAGGAGCATCCTGTATACCTACTATTTCTATGACATCAGTATAAGCTCTGAGGTAGTGGCCACAGTGGCCATATTGACTCATTTTTCTACAAGCATCAAAGTTCCAATTTATCTGATGTCAGATAGACTTAGAAAGGCGATGAGAAAGACTCTTTGCTGCAGAGAAGAGATTAAAAAGAACAACAAGTTCGACGCACCACATCAAGATGAGAACATAAAACGTGAAGAAACAACCGAACTTTAATTTGAACAAATTGTAAATGTAAAATTAAGCACATTAATTGTTTGTCAAACGTATTTTTACAAGTCTGCTGGACAGACTTTGAATATTACATGTAAATTTCCTCTTTTTACGTTATAATTCCTATGCTATTTTGTATGATTAAAGATATTATCTACGTTTGTATTATATGAGTTTCGTTGGCTGTTTATATTAGTTACACCAGCAATATGAAAGCCACGAGGTCATGTACAGGAATACTAAATATTTGATTCTCAGTACAATATTTCAGACAATACCGGACACTAAAATACATCACATTGTTCTTCCATAAGCTAGTTTCTTCACAAGAAGTAACGTTAACTCTTTGCCTATGGCAGGTTTTGAACCTGCACAATTGTAAATTATGTCATACTAATATTGCTGTATACATAAATCTTTAACTTTTTCTTTCATTGACATAATGTGCATTTACACACGATGTTATTTTTTATTAAATGTTATAAAAAAGCTTGACTATCATGAATCTTCATTGTAACAGTTCATGTACTACTCCTTTCACATCTGGGATAAATGTGTTTCAGTGTGCAAATCTGTTTGAATAGAGAAAAACAGAATCCCTAAAGAACGCACAGAACGGCAAAACTGTAAATATTGCAGATTCGGTTTGTTTGAATCTGTTCATGAGTGGTAGTGGTAGTTGCAAGCTTCTGTCAACGCCCCCCTAGCACCGGCTTAATCAGAATTCAACATTTAAACATGAAAATGTAAAATATTAGAAACATCAGCAGATGTGGTGGAAATACGTCAGTTCCCACAGAACCCTCAATGTGAATTAAGTTGTTTAAAGGCTTGGTGTCCCTGAGAAAAAAAATATATTATTTCTTGAAAAGTTGCAAATATGTCTTAAGTAATGTTTAAATGGTGTATTGAACGAATATTAGGGGCTAATAACCGTATATAAGTGCGCTGAATATGAAATAGTTGTCATAAATGGAGCAAAGACATTAGTGTAAGCAAATTGGTATTTTGATTTACAAGATACAAGAAACTTTATTTTAAGTCGGTTAAAAACAATACATGTATACCAATGTCCAACTATAGGTGGTTCAGCTATAAGACAAACATATCCTCTATCGGACATTGTAACAGAATATTAAAAAGAAAAAGTGTTTGATACATGAAAATAGCACTCTTAAGACATAATGGGCCCTTAATTTCTACCTCTATATCATATAATTATATAATGATATTGCAAAAATCCATTTAGACCTACCGGTAGAGCAAACAAACAAATGTGTTTGCTGAAGATTTAAGTGTTTATTTATGCGAAAGATATTCAGCGGTTCGTAAAATGACTACATATATACACTTGCTTTGTTACTTTGAATTATTCATAGGCGTAATTTACACTGTTTAAAAATTCAATGAATACGTTAAAGTGATTGATCCGCGTGTTTTAAGTTCATTTAATTAGACGACTGTATATTCTATCTGACGAAAACTAATTTGAAAAAAAAATGCAAATGAAACAAAATATATCTAAACAATTGATTAAACAAACAGAGGCATTCTTTCATTTCTGTTCACTAGTAATATTTTGACAATGACTGGAATAACTTTTTCTTGCATATCAGACTGGCGTTTCCGAAATTTCATCTGGCCAGATGAGTCGCGTGCTGTACAATGGCACGATTAGGATGACGTCATTTTACCGTTATGAATGAAGTTGTAATTCATACGCTGTTGTAAGAAAGAAGTTACGGTTGTAATGATATAAATTTTCATTGAAAATAAAGATAAAGAATTTAAAGTATAATGGAATATGCAAGAAAAAATATCTGACATATGTTTGTGGTTCGGATCGGAATATCCGTCCCGAGATGACCCGCCCATGGCCCATGGGCGGGTCATCTCGGGACGGATATTCCGATCCGAACCGCAAAATATGACAAATATTATTAATAGTGTTTCTTTTTTCTGAAAATGTTCATTCCCACCTTTTCATATTACACATTTTTAAATATTTAAAAATATTTTAAAATACTAACATTTTCGACGCGCATATTTCCTGCAAGAGGAGTTTGCATGGCTGCAACTGGACGAGCGCAGACCAAGACCAGCACTGTTTGTTATTGAATGCACTCAGTGTAAACGGTCATGTTTGAATCTTTTCCTAAAAATGATGAACAATTTTGTCCAGATTAAACGAATGATACTTCTATTTCTAAGGACATTTAACGTTGTAAGGTTCTGTTATTTAGGATTTTGTTATTTATTGGTCGGCGGACGAAGAAAATGCCCGTGACACTTTATTTCTTTTTATTTTCTGTATTACGCAATTTTAAACATTTAGATATAATATACATAAAAACACAATCCGTAAGGAACCTTACGCGATCAGAATATATGGACACCCGTAGTAGAAGACGACAACGATAAAAAAGTAATACATTATTCCCGGCGAGGAAATCGAAACCAGTCTAATCAGTTTTTTTTGGCGGGAATGTTCAAATAGTGGCCACGGTAGGTTTAACAACCATTTGAAATTTGTTGACAGTTTCTTTTTAGTTTATTATGATGAAATACTTTTTTCAAAATTGAATTTTAATTATGGGAAATTTATGTTTCTGTTGTATGGATAGAGTCTATAAACTCTATTTTACAACTTGAGGAATCTCATTTCTTTGTTGTCATCATCATGATCATGTTTAATGTCTGAGACTGAATCAAAATGTAAATTTTCATGATATTTTATTTCCACGAGTTATTTTGAATTTATATAAAATGATGAGAATTTTTTTATTGTGCAATAAATTTTGTATCTTACAGGCTCTACATTTCATGAACACTTAAAGGTTCAAGATGTTTTACAGCCAAGATATTCTCCAAAAAAGAGGAGGGAAATTTGGCAAAATATGGTAAAATTTTTAAATGGAAATTTGTTGTATAAGGGGTGCACTTCGGTAGCGGTGTCATTAAAAATCATGATAATAGAATCTATTCCCATACACAGACAGCCTGCCCCCAACGTGATATGCCCCTGTAAACAATCTATCAAAACTATTTTAATATTTAAACACAAATATGGGACATCTATTACAACAATACAAGCGTCTTATATGACAAAGGTGACTATAACTTACTTAGAGATAAAATTTCTGCTATAGATTGGGATCAATTTAAGGATAACGATATCAACCATCAGTTGGAGAAACATCTAGGTACAATTTACGAAATGCTTCTGACATGCAAACAATACGCACAAGAACTTCTCTTTACCATAATGCATTTCTGCCATCTACTTTGAGAGATTGGAACTTACTATCAACAGAGGTACAAAACTCAATATCTTCGTCCTCCTTTAAAACACAGCTTAACGGTAATCAATAAAAAAATGCCCCAAATATTATGACATAGGTGAAAGAAAATGGCAAGTCATGCACACATGGCTCCGAACAGAATGTAGCTCTTTAAACCATCACTTATTCAGAAAAAATATGTCCCCCTCACCAAATTGTCAATGTGGACTCCTGGAAAGTAACCACCACTTCTTTTTGAGTGTCATTTCTATAATGATCTCAGACTATTTGATGCTGTTTTTAACATCTGTATTATAACACTTCATACTTTACTAAACGGAGACCAGAATCTTAGCCATGACATTAATTCTGAAATTGTTCAAGCGGTCCATGTATATATATGTGAAAGTAACCGATTTCCATGAGCTTAGATTCACAAAATAGTATGCCAACTTGACCTATCCGAATGAATCTTCTTTACCTTCTTTCTAATTCTATTCAATTATTTATATTTAGAAAAAAAGATCTTTTGAACAATAGCTTAAATCTTCCATTTTTTGTTTTGTTCCAAATATGTTAAAAATTAACTTCATTGTTTCAAACAAAATTGCAAACACTGTCATAATTTAACTGCATTGTACAAATATGTAGGAGAAGACCTTTATAAGCTTTATAGCTATCGGCTCTAATCCTTTTTCATTTGTGTATCTACTTATTGTAAATGTATTAACAACATGTTGTATCATTGTTTGAAATAAACTATGTTTAAACTAAAACTATTACAACGATAAAACTGGTTTTCAAACAATTTTTAAAATATATAAAAAAAATCGTATACCATCAATGATAAAGTAAAGTAAAAGGGGAATAAAAATAGGCTCCGGCTGTTCGTCCGTCCGTCACTTTCTTGTCCGGTCCATAACTTTGTCATTTATCAAAGGAATCTGGAATAATTTGGCACAAATGTTTGTTATAATAAGACGATGTGTCATGCTTAATAACCAGACCTCTACCTCCAGGGTCAAGGTCGCACTTGCTCATTCAAGGTCAACACTGTCTATTTGAGGGTTTATGACGTGTCCGGTCCATAACTTTCTTATCTTTGAAGGGATTTTGTAAATACTTGCCGCAATTGTTAGCAATAATGAGACAATGTGTCATGCCCAAAACCGGTCACCTGCCTCCAAGGTCAAGGTCACACTTGGAGGTCAAAGATTAACATAGTCTGTTATATATTTTGTGTCTGGTCCATAACTTTTTCATAGATCAAAGGATTTTGAAAATACTTGGCACAAAAAGTCACTATAATAAGACGCTTTGTCATGCACAACACAATGATAATACAATGTCATGCACAACACCTGCACCCCTACCTCCAAGGTCAAGGTCACACTTAGAGGTCAAAGGTAAACAGAGTCTATTATATGGTATATTTTGTGTCCCATCAATAACTTCTTCATAGATCAAGGGATTTTAAAAATACTTGGCACAAAAAGTCACAATGATAAGATGGAATGTCATGCATAACACCTGTGTCCCTACCTCCAAGGTCAAGGTCACACTTAGAGGTCAAAGATTTACATAGTCTGTTATAGGGTATATTTTGTGTCCGATCTAGAACTTCTTCATAGTTCAAGGGATTTTGAAAATACTTGGCACAAATAGTTACAATAGTAAGACGATATGTCATGCACAACTGTACCCCTACCACCAAGGTCAAGGTCACACTTAGAGGTCAAAGCTGAACACGATAGATTTTTAAATTCCGTGTTTCATTTTATTTCCTTAATAAATTTATTGTTGCATTTGCAGATCTAGCATTGATCATAATTTTTGACTGAAGGTCCTGAGATCCATACCTCAATCTTTTGAAATAGCACAATTTTATGCTTTATATAAAACTTTCCCGAGGCGGGGGACGTTGGTAACTCTGTTACAAATTCTTGTTAAATTAACCTTACTGTGACTTTTCCGGTGTAAATCAATAGCATATAGAATTATCTTTTAGATGCAATTAGAATAAACATTTATGCATCACATTTTAATATGAAAATCAACATTTAATTAAAACCGAAAGTTAATTTTGCATTCTGTCCAACCAGTAAGAGAAGAGTCCCAGATCTGCATGGTGGGCTTGTCAAGCTGGTACACAAACAGTGTACATGCTTTCGACTACTCCAGCATTCTATCGTCATGTCCCGCGTGTTCAGCTGTCTGCAAGGACTCGTTTAAAAGACATTTTTTTGTAACAAAACTATGACCAAGATGCAGTGTGTTGTTTCCCAAGTTTTTTATTCCATATAATTAATGTACAGTATAAATATTTGAATTTGGCGGTCATAGTGGGTCTCCAGAAAGTGACGTTTTTGATCATGAGAGAATTATAAAGTGTTTGGTCCCGGCTCAAAAAGCGAAACAAGAATGCAAACATATGCTGGGCTCATGTCGCGTATTGGTTGGACTGTTTACATTTTTGAGTCTGCAATCTTTACTTTATTAAGACTTGATTGTATATGGTGTTTTTTTAGCTCACCTGACCACGAAGTGGTCAAGGTGAGGTATAGTGATGGGGCTATGTCTGGCGTCCGTCGTCGTGCGTCGTTCGTCGTCAACAATTTCAGGGTTCGACACTAACTGTTTTTACCAGGGATCCCATAGGAATCCCTGAGATTTAATTCAGGGATTCCTCCTAAATGTCAGGGATTCCTCAGATCAAAATAGTAAAATATGGAGGTGAAGAATAACAAGGGATTGCAGCAATTCGATTTCAAATTCTTTTCATTTTTGAGACTATATACAGGATATATTGTCTTGTTTCAGATGCAGAAAATGTAGTTTCTAGTTTATGAGCTCTTTGGAAATAATGCTATTTAAAGTTTTAAAAGCGTTTCAAAGTATATATTTGGACTGCTAAGATAAATTAAAACATAATATATTTTTACATGAACATGGAAACAGAATAACATTAAGCTCACTGAACAAGAGTTCGATTTGAAAATAGCTTGCTAAAACCCGTTTTCTCCCTGGAGTTGATAATTGTGAACCAGTTTCTGTATCTAAATGAAGGTATAATGCATGTGACTTGACAAGGTGGTTTGAATTTTTGAAGTTAAATAGGAACTGGGGAAACATTTTCCCAGATAGCCTAGGGTTCACTGAAATAGAGCCCACTTATCATATGTAGATCTTTAAAAAGTTACAGGTAATGATCAGGCTCCTTATTCCAGAAAGGTCTGGTATGGATAACTGTCTATAATTATTTACTTTCATGTCATTTTTAAGGAAATTCTTAATTATAATCACTTTAAAAAAATATTTGATTTCATTTTACATTTTTGTGTTTAAAAGGAAAAATCCCATAGATTGTTGTAAATTAAATATTTTGATAATCTTTTACTTAAGCTAATAAAAATATCAAGAAACAGTTTTGTTTGCATTACAAGTACGGTACCTTTAAATGATTTCATTTTTAAAAATGATAAGTTGCTCCAAGTCCCTGACAGGATGGGCAATATCCAAATTTATTGTTCTCAATTTTTACACTGAAATGTCCGATCCCTTTCCTCCCTGTGTATTGATTTTTTTGTAAGTTTTGACACCTGTCACATCAAAGGCACTCACCCCATACAAGCAGTCATGTAGCTAACAACACTGATTGGCTAAAAGCACTGTCAGATGAAATATACGTCATTTGCTGTATATTTCGTCATTTGCTGTATGTTTCACGTAACGCGTAAGGATTTTTTGTATTTCTTGTCGGTAAATAATGCGTGACCTTGATTGAACTTAGACTTTAGTTAGACAATGTTTTTTAATTTAGCATTGAAGGCTGTGAGTTTCAAAAAGGATTTTAAACTTAAAAGTATGGATTCTTTTTATTTTGTTTATTAATTATACTTTTGCTGTAGTCTACTGTAGGGAGAAAAAATACACCAGTTATCTTTTTTTCACAATTTTGACGAAATTTACAATGGTCACAAGTGCCGAATTTTGGCAATAAAAAAACAAACAACAAACACTGGATAACTGTACAGTAGCTACCGCCGGCATTGCCGATCAACACAAATTTGAAGTACACATCGCTTGTGTAATAATTATACGATAATTACATTTCTTTTTTGAATTTTCACAACTCTATTTTATGAAGTCAATGCATGATATAAAATTACTGTATACAAGAATGTTTCTTCAGTCAAAACATTTTTGTCATTTTATATCGCAAATGAGTTGATAGCAGTCACTGCACAAAGAAAAACTAGCGTACATAATTCAAGAGTGTAGATTTTACCGGCGGGGTTTTTCTTTTCTTTCTTGAACCACTTTTCTTGAATATTTGTGATTCAATGACATTAATTCAGAAAATTTCAAAAATTAACACAGCAATTTTTCAGGGATCCCAACGGAATCCCCAGCTAGGAATCACAGGGATTCCTCCCGACTTTTTGGGATCCTCGGAATCCTGGGACCCCGTTAGTGTCGAACCCTGAATTTGGGTTGTTAACAGTCTAGCAGTCACAGTTTTGATTGGATCATCATCAAACTTTGTCAGAATGTTTGTCTCAATGAAATACAGATCCAGTTCGAAGATGGGTTATCTCGGGTCAAAAACTAGGTCACAA